CCTCACCGTTGTAGATTCCGCACTTATGCGCTCTGCGGCTAATAAAGCCGCGTTCGCGCCCGAACATATTGCGCCTTCGTCATGCAGCAGCCTATACATACTTTTGGGACACCCTGTATTGAGGAACGGATTCTACCCAAACTGATGATAAACACTGTTAGAAGAGAGATCAAAAAGAAGAAGCATATTGACCGGAAGCGGATAGTAGTCTATCCACTACAATAACTTGAGTTATATTTGACCGAAAAGCAGATTAATTTGCCAAAGCTTGAGACACCCTGCAATAAAAAACGGATTACGGATTTGATAAGAAGAAATCTGCTTCATATCCGCTTGAAGCTATGAGGCAGAACACACAGACTTGCAGATCTTAGCGATAATGCTCAGAAAATTCCACATGAACTTCCTCTGTACTATCTTCATAAATAGATCAGATTGCCTTATTTGACAAAGCTAAGGGTTGCGTCTAGAGTTGCCCTGCCAGCGCCATGCTAACGCCGTGCAGGAATGCTAGATTAATATACACGCGTGCATGTGGTGGCACGGTGCTGGCACAGCTCCGGCATACAGGCACCTCTGGAGGCTTAATCGAGGGCGTTATCCTAAGATTGTCCCAGCTATATATCGCAAATGAGTCCTATAACCCAAGCTGTTCATTCTACCCCGCAGCAGTCTTTTTAACGGTGATTTTTGAATACAGTTTTAGGAAGATAAAATACCAAATTTAGATGATTTCGTTCAGCTTTTATGGATCTTCTAATTTTGATTATGTTCTTTCCACTGCTCTCAACATGGATCGACCTCGACGAATTGGATTTGGAACTGGACAGGCTTTTGTTACACTTTCTTGCCCGTAACCATCTCAAAGATTTTATAACAGCAGCTCAAGACGAAGGCTGGCAACATATCCATTTCTTAAAGGCACCGCCCACCCAAAATCTCGAATTCAATGTTTTTGTCGCTTTAAGGCCTTCTGAAAGCCCTGATTCCGAATATGGAGTCGAAAATCCGCGAAAACCCCAAAAATCCCTGTTTCGAGAACCCTCTGCAACAAGCGCAGGCGAGATAAAGCATGCAAGTGGGCGGGGCGACCATGGTCGCCCGATTTCTCGCTCCAGAAGCAGTCTTTTGCGGCGAAGCTTGAAGGTTTGTCTAGTATGGGGGGCCACACTAGTATGCCATCATAATCTCGCCAACCTCCATTTTGGGTGGACGGTGCCTTTAAGGCTACGTTCAGAGTTGCCGTGTGCTGGGGCTGTGCCGATGCCATAACGGCGTCCGAACTGTCCTGCACTGCCCCGCATTGATCTTTGTTGTAAAAATTTAAAAAATCTTTAATCTAAAAATCTAAAAATCAAAATCAAAAAAAATGATAATAAAGTAAAATAAAAATAAAAATGAAATAAAAATCAATAATAATATAAAAAATCTAGATCTAAAATCTAAAAACTGCTGAATAAGTGCAGGAATATGTTCGATTACTGGACCTTATATCATTATTGGAAGGTGCCCACAAATTTGCGAAAAAAACTGCACCAATTGCTGCAGAGGATAAGGAGCTCAAGGAGAAATTTAAAATGAGTGCTACATTAGATAAAGGCTTTTAATTTTTCTGATCACTTTCAAGGGCACGGATTGGAAGAAGACAGTCGGTGACTACTCAGGAGTATGCTTACAAACCATGCTACCGCTTTACATTTGAAGTTCCCTCATGAAAAACTCTGGAAATCTCTACGTCCAAAATGATTATTGTAGATGTAAAGTTTCTGTCATGAAAAATTCTTCTTTTTCATTTCTTTGCCTGTTTAAGCTAATTTTGATTACAGATTTGATAATTACACCCTGTTGAATAAGGTTATACAAAAAATATCTGCGAAAAAGAGCACAACTAAAGTTTATAAATATTAGGTGGGTGCAAAAGTTCGATCGCCAATTTTTCAAGAAATCATAACTTCCTTTCGACTCGATGAATCTCTTTGCATTCATACCCATTTGAAAGGAGAAAGCCTTTCTCTTTACAGAAGTTTCTTTGATTTGAAATGAGAAAGTTCGAGAATCAAAAGCAATTGAGGAAAAGTACTCAATTTACATTTTTTGAGCAGGGTCACGAAAAATTCTGGAAAATTGTGTGTGACAGAGAAAATTATGCTCTTTAATACAGTGGCTTTCCCATGAATCAAAACGGAAAAAATCGAGAGTTAGAGGCAATTAAAGAGAATTGCTTCAGTTTTGCAAATTTTAAGCATGTTCAAAAAAGCCTAAGAACGTCCTCGAAAAGACGGGAAGTCAAGAACATGCGTTTCATGACCTTTCCATTCTAGCTGAGCGAGTTTTGAGCTAATCAAGAGCAATTTTGATTTTTGTGAGAAACGCACATCCGAAAATTCGAAAAAATCACGACAAAAATCAAAGTTGCCTTCGCTCAGCTCGAAGCTCGCTCAGGTACAAAAAGAAGGTCACAAAACCCATGTTCATTACCTTTCGTCTTTTCTGTGACGTTTTTAGGCCTTTTTGAGCATGCTCAAAAATTGCAAAATTGAAGTAATTCTCTTTATTTGCTTTTAACTCTCGATCTTTTTCGTTTTAAATCATAGAAAAGGCGCCACAGTAATGAGCATAATTTTCTAGAACAAATAAAAGTACTTCAAGAATTTTTTGTGACCCTACTTGAAAAACGCCAATTTTGAGTATTTTTATTCAATTGCTTTTAACTTTTGAATTTATTCATGCCAACTCACGGCAAAGGTACTGCTGTAGAGAGAATGGTCTTTTCAAATGGATTTAGTTAAAGGAAATTCATTGAGTTTGATGGTAACTATGATTTCTCGAAAAAGTGGCGAACGAACTTTTGCACCCACCTAAAACAATTTAAAGAGTACAGACATATTTGGTCTCGACTTTGGTAGGCTCTACCATTCGCAGAAAGCTGGTACGCGCTGCAGTTGATATGTATGAAAGTGTTTGCTAAGATGTCGGCGCGGCTCCTCCTCTTTCTCATCTTCTATCAAAGGAATGGGTTTAGACATAAGAAAATGAAGAAACCTCAGAACATGTCAGCATCACTCGAAGATGTTATGCGTTAGAGGGGAAAAGTCAAGTTTTCTGCTTTACGTGAACGCTTTTGCATTTTTCAGGATTTCATCGCCATGCTAATTCGGAATGTTTCATGAAATTATTTGAGCTTTGTCAGCTTTATTGCTGGGTCGTTAATGTTTCGAAATGTTGTTTGAAAGCTTTGATCTCTTATCCCTAGTTTATCGATGCTTCCTAACGCCAATTTCGCCAATACATCAATGAAATTTCCAATTTCGTATATCAAAAACCAAAATATACTGCGATTATATTGAGGTTACTCACATAAATAGCCGTTGAGAACGCATCCTTTACCACTATACTTTCGTTTCTTCGACGATCTTGTGGCTTTTCAATCATTTTTACAAAAAGTATACACTAGTCTAGTCTTCTCATAGCTGAAAAAGTTCATTACCGCTGGTGCACTCAAGCGGCCAAATTGCTCGTCAGAACAAGCTATATTTTTGTATACGAAAGGCAAAAATAATAAAAAATTACGAAGGTATTTTCTTTTCGGTTTTTACGCCAGTTTTGATAATTTTCAGAAAAAGCGCTTGTAAAAAACCGAAAATTTCTATTTGTGCTTGCAATATAGACTTAAATGCGAACAGGCCAACACATATTGCTTTGTCTACATCTTTCGGTTCTCATTTATTTAATTACAAAACAAACACGATATCTTTCTACGAATCTCTTATCGAAGATTATAAGTATAAGAAAGTTTGAGGGTGGTAAAGCTCATTCCTTCGAAGGTCATTAAATTTTATTTTTCATCTCACAAGGGGAGGATACCAACATTAGTTGGCAACTGAAGATGAGATGTATATCATCAGATGCGCTTTTGAACGCTGGTTCCAAATCTGCTTTCCTTTCTTACGGAATAAATTTCCGAAAGGAGTTCTCAGCGTTTGAATGTTCAAATTTGCCAGGCTTAAAATCAGCGAAAAAGTTCTAAAACAACACCCATTGGATTTCCACCGGCTTTGTTCCTTCCTTGCAAGCAATATACTCGAATACAAAAATGATATTCCACTTTCCGGTGTTTTCGTACGGCTTTTCGCCAATTTTAGGTCACCTAAACCTTGAAAAATTTGGACATTCATACGCTCATAACTTCTTTCGGAAACTTATTCCGCAGAAAAGGAAAGCAGATTTGGAATCAGCTTTCAAAGGCGCGTTTACTGACCTGCATCTCATCTTCAGTCACCAACTAATGCTGGTATCCTTCCCTTGTCAGTTAACGTAGAACCAAAGTGCGAATGTTTTAAGGATATCTAAGAAGAGATAACTGCTGACCACTGCTTTTGTGATACATCATAAATTAGAGTGCTCGCCTCAAAACGCTGATCTCAAAACTAAAATCATTATCTGCGGAATGCTTTTTTTTCAAAGAAATAGTGCCAGTGAAAGCGAACGCAAACATATCCGCGCCGGCAGTTGTGCACTAATTGACAACGCTAACCGCTAAACTCTTTGACACTTTCAGCACCTATCAACATTAGTCGTATTCTTGTGCAAACACATTAGATCTGAAAAAATACGGTGTTTGTAAAGAATCTTTGCCGATAACGAACACAGTTTTGAAATTAGTGTCCCAAAACGAATGTCATGACATATGTCACATATCAAAAGGTCAAGGTCAGCAATTTTCCCTTCCCCGTTCGTAGCTTTGATTTGTCAAATGACATGTTTATACAGTGTTTAAATCTAGTCTCCCGCGATGGCATGAGGAACATCCAGTTTCAAAGTGCAGTATTATGCAATCATAATTTGCAAGTTTGGTTAGTGAGTTAGTGCTAACCTCGTTTACACGCTAACTTGTTGATACCTCACGGAGTTAACTTGTTGATAACTAGCTACCAGATTTATGTGGAGTAATTGGTTTTCTCAAACCACTGCTCGTTATATGACAGACAAAAATTATAATTTGCGAATACTGATCTTCTTGTGCATTCTCCCATCATGCGACTGTATTTCTATTTCTAGCCACCCAGTTGAAGTAGTTGGGATACTGCGTTGTAACACCAAACCCGCTGTTAACGTGGATATGATGCTGGTAGAAAAAGGAGCTTGTGAGTTAGAACTGCAACTGAGCTCAATTCAAACTATAATTTCAGCTTCCAGACGAATCCTGGCTCTTTCCGAATCGCGCCGCCAAGGTTCTTTCAGAATTTCAGGCCATGCTAGAGATACAACCCGAACACGACTTTTCATCTATCATAGATGCAACTATAAAGGGGTACAGCTTGTTTACTCTTTCCCGATGAACAACTGGATTTCCAGAAGAATGACAATGTAGCAAACTTATATCACACGAATGCTGTTTAGATTGGCTACAAGAAGCTCACCATAAAGATCCCACAATATCGTGTACACAAAGTCAAAGGAGTATCAAAAAATCTCTACAGTACAAGACTACTGGAACTCGCCGAGGAGCACAAGCACAACGGACAAAGGATCGATGTCGTTGAAGGGCTTCCCGCAGTAATGGTTGCAAGAAACCGGGGCGGCTAAGTTACACAAGATGAATAAAGACTTCCTCATTCGACCGCAACTTTTAGGTGTATGGGACATGGGTTGAAGTCAGTCATATGCACATGAACAAGACTCAAAGATGCACCTGTCATAGAAGCATACGCCTTCTTCTCTTTCTTCTTCTTGTCATTCCTCTAAGCAATTAAGCTTAATTTTGAAGTCCTCCATGATATTGCTTTTTTGCAATAATTTTTAGTTTGCCGCAAGACTAAGATGGGAAAAAGAAAGACAAAAAAATGAAGTCCTGCGTCAGACAAAATAAGGCATGAGTGCAGTACTCAAATTTGAGCCACTTCATACTTCTTACCTAAGCTTTGCTCTCGTTTTCACATTTTACTGGCAATGAGATAATAGGTAGTAAAATCAGCTTTTTCGGCTAAACGCTCCAAAGACTCTATAAATTTTACGTAAGCGTTCTTGAAGGCGCACGGGATCTGGCTGTAAACCCACATGTATTGCATTCCCGTCTTAACACCGCTGAATTTGTGTAAACAATGCCGTTGAGCACGAAAATTCAACGTGGACCGCTTAAGTTGGTTCGCACCTGCCTGAGGCATGTTGGAAGCTTTTACGATATTGCGCAAAACTCTCGGTTCTAGACTGCGCAGGTGCAAGACTTGGGTCAAGATCCAAGATTGAAAGCGCGTCATTAATAAGAGTATCGTTTATACGTTGACCGTAACGACTGCTGACCGCGCGGCGCTGCGCGTGCATGATGTTTTCGTAGAAAAAATGAATAGAAAGAAAACAGAGGATTCCTCTGATCTTTATAATGTAGAAAAGAAACAAAGAATTCTTTTCATCTTAAGCCACGGTCTAACTTGTCACTTTTTCGCAAGTTTAGAAGGCACGCGTCGCAGTCGCCACGCGGTCGGCAGTCCGTACGGTCAACGAATGAACGATACATTTGCCAAGGATGGAAACACGTGAATTTGGTTTGTCTGGTACCCTCGCAGAGGTGTCATTTACACATAGAGTTTTCCCCTATAGGGCTAGTATTGGCTAATGCACGCGAACTCTGGCTTTACCCTCGACTAACCAAACTCTTCAATTTCTCTTGAAGTTTAGACTTGACGTCGATGCAAACGTGATCACAAGTTTTTATCGATCTACCCACAATTCTCGTCCAAGGTCCTCGGGCACGAGACGTTAGCAACACTGCTCCTTGTATAAGCATTTGACAGAAGCGAGCATATGTGATTTTGCTTCGTTTCTAAACAGTTCGCAGCAAACGTTGTTGTTCAAAACTAGGGAGAAGGAAAACAGAAGAAGACAGTGAAGACATATGAAGTAATTTTGGAAAAAAGTAATGCCTACAGTTGAATCACAGTTTTCTTGTAATGTTTATAAGTCATCATCTGATTTGATAGCCTAGTAGAACTATTTCAGCAATTCATATGTTTGCTTGTTAAAGTCACCTTCTTTGAAAGCAGGAAGTATGCAGGAGCAAGGGCTCTTTTACAAAGTGCTGGAAATCATTCGATATATCGGTAGCTGATAACCTTATATTACGGATGCTCGAAAAACTTCAAAAAAGACCAAACAGTAACTACTAAGCCGGACGTCGGCAACTTGTAGAAATAGGTTTGTATCCAACCTATCTACACCTTTTGAGTTCGATCAGAGCTTGGCACAAAATAAATATCAAACTTCAACGTCTACAGGAAAGACCAAAAAGAAGAATGGTCCGAAGTGTGTGCAGAGTCTCAGAAACATCGTTAGACATAACTACAAGCACGATAGGACAAATACGAAAATTATGTAAAAGTTAAGTGAATGAAGGGCGCGTATTTTTTTCTTGAAAGTCTCCTATCACCGCCAAAAAATAGTTTGTTTCTGCAGCACACAGGTAACGATCTAGCACCAAATTCAGTATAAATTCATTGTGTGGGATAGGAGCAAAGCTTGAATTTATCTTACGCACATAAAGAGTGTTTCAACTCATTTTGCAGGTTAGGATAGCAATGCCATTCCAATGCCACTTTAAACTTATCGCAACCAAAGGAGTAAAAGAAAATGGCGTAATCTTATATATAAAGCTAAATGTCTGCTTGTCTGTCTGTCTTCTGTATGTCTGTGCGTACAATACACTTTCAGAATTTGCAAAATTTCCGTGAATGTCGCAAAATCGCCGGAATTCCGCGACATTCTGGGAATTTCGCGAAATCCACGAATCACGCAAACTACGCAGCGCCATAACTTCCTTCGGAATGGATCTATTCTAAATTGACAGTAGCATTGTATACAGTTTGTCAAGGAAGATCTTTTGATATATAGTATGTTCTCGATATTCCGTTTCCACTTTTCTCAAATTCTTCTGCGGAGGTCTTTTTGCAAGAACTTAACGCAGCGTCTGTTCGATGTAAAAGATGACAGTAAGTACCATTCGATAGAACTGTTCTTGCAGATTATAGGTCGCTATAAAGTAGCCTGCTCTTGCTAGTCAGATGTGATTTTCGTAATCAGCAGATCAGATAACTATATTAAGCAAGCTTCCGAGAAGTTCAGGTCATCTCATTTTTTCCCGTTTTACGCTCTGAAGCTCGCCGATGGATTTGCCCTATTGATGGTCTTGGATTGTAACGAAACTTCGCTTATAGTAGAGGTTTGCACACGCACACGCGGTTTACGAGAATTGTGGTCTTTGAGGAATACAGGGTCTTTTTGCAGAGAGAACTTCGTCTTCACTTTTCGCGCATCTCTCAGAAAACTTGCCCGCTTTCTTATAGGTTATTACTGGAAACTGCATGTCTCAGGCTCCAGTCACAAAGTTGAGTTACGAGCCTACGAAAACACGCCCTCATGAATTTTGACGACGGCGGTTATTCGTGCTTCTGCTTAGTTGAATATCAAAGCAGTTTCAAGCGCAGATCTATCTAACTATCAAATCCAACACAGGAAGATCTGTCAAGTTAAGCGATGCGAACAGATTTGATCAGCGTGTTATACAACCGCTCAAGATGGAATGTCGGCGAGGTATAGTGTGGGCCCCAGCCAGCTTCCCGTAGATACCTCCGCGACGCATACGCTACGCGCGCTCTGTTGACGCTTCTCATCCCACTCATGAACAAAAAAGCATTTTTACGTGAACATAGGAGTGGAAAGAGAAGTGGAACCCCTCCAATCTCAGCTCGAGAAAAGCTTAAGCAGAAAAGGACGCTTCTACAACTTCCACTACCACTTAGTTTCTAATTAGTTTCATGGACATAGTATGGTACTGATGAGTGAAAATCGTAGAAGTAAAGGATCATTTCAAGAAACATTCCTTCTGTAATCATTTGAAATCTGAGAAATGTAAGCTCGAGAGCGTAATTGTACAAGCAGGAGCTTCAGTGTCGCATTGAAAAAAAACGAAAAGCATCTATACAAAACAAACCTAGTAGGATAATGCGCTAAGTCCGTGAGAGAAACATTTAAGGGTGAATTCTCCCTAAAGTAGGCTCAATCTTCACTACAAGGAAAAAACGAGAACTTTCCGAGACAGAGCTCCCAGGACTGATTTCAGACTTTTAAGGGTGAAAACTTATCAACATCAGCTGTCGTGGGTCGTTCAACTCTAATATGAAGAGATTACAGAAAAAACAAAGTCAGCGAAGAGAAAAACGCATAAAAACCACTGGAGCCTGGGACGAACAACGCACTGAAGGCATGCGCTGCGTGAGCGGCGCGGAGGTACATATGGGAAGCTGGCTGGGGTCCGCACTATATGAGACTTTCACATTTTGGGCAAAATTCATAAGGATATGTTTTCGTAGGCTCGTAACTCGGCGATTTTTGTAGACTGGAGCCTGAGACATTCACCACTGGATGGTACAGTTGCTAGTAACTTTAAACTATAAAAGCAAGCAGGCAAGCTCTTTGAGAGGTGCGCGAGAAGTGAAGACGAAGTTATGAACCTTCGTAACTCAATTACAATTACTTCACCGTATCTCCGCAAAAAGACCCTGTATTCCTCAAAGACGTAAATAGCGTGTTCGAAAACCTCCATAAGCGAAGTTTCCTTACAATTAATCATCAATATTTGGCCAAAATCCATCGGTGAGCTTCAGAGCGTAAAACGGGAAAAAATGAGATAACCCGAGCATCTCGGAAAACTTGCTTGATAGAGGTTCTCTAAGCTGCTGATTGCGAAAATCACATCTGATTAGCAAGAGAGCTTCATATATCAGGGTCATGGTGAGTGAGATTTAGAACGACATGATTTTTCCAGAATTCACCAGCCTTACCATTCCTAAGGATAAAACTCTGCGGTTACTTTCCAGCGCTCCAGAATTTACAGAAGAAATGCTATTGGAAGGTTCTTGAAGTTCAATGTTTCAACGGGTTTTTTAATGATATGCCATTATTTACGAGCAGTGGAAATGAATGTGTAATTTATTTGCCTTTTGCGCAATCTATCAAGCGGTAAATGCATGAAATCTATTCTCTTCAAGGCAATCTAAAAATTCTTGTTTCAGGCCAATTCTTACGAGAACCGATGTACTCTTCAATAACAGTGACATTCTTCTCATGCATTCTGGTAATCACAGCCCAACCAAACAAAAAACTGCAAATGACTTTGTATAAACTCCTCACTGATCTCAAAGACTATACGGGTACCCAGATAAATTGGCAGAGGCTTGTGCCAATTTTTATTCAAAACCAGTTGTTCCTTAAAAAATGCATTATTTTCGCAGACTTTGATGGACACTTGCGAGAAAGACGTGGAGTTTAGACTAGCCGCTCATGATCCTATTGATTCACAATGCCCGGATTTTTGAATAAAATTTATAACAGCAGTTGTAGAAGACAAGCAGTTTAGAAAAGATCTTGCTGGTAAGCATTCAAATGATTTTCTTCTGCAGTTATGCCTCAAAATTCACATTATCCTAGGCTAAGGATTCTATGGGAACCGCGCTTGAATTCTGCGACAAGCACGACTATGGAGCTGTGACGAAACCACAAAAATCCGTTTTATCCGTTTTAAAAACTGAAATCCGTTTCGAAACAGCTTTGACAATCCTCCAAGATATATTTTGTGTATATGAAGTAATTGTTTCGCAATGATCACAGATAAATTGGTGAAAGAAGTGAGCGGGATGAGAGGCGTGCTATTTCTACTCACTCGGTCCCTTCAGTTTTTGATAAATTCAAAAAAAATGTAGACTATCCTTGCATTCACTCGCAAATGATCAGAATAATTCAAAATAATTTGTAAAATTTTTGAACAAATTAGCATTGTAAAAAAAATTTACAGGAGCACGCCACGCACCTTTGTTCGATAAAATTTCACGTCAAACCGGCCCCACCTAAAAAAAGTGTTTTTGAACAGCCACTGCTCCCCACTCAGACCTAAAAAAATGTCTGTCTGTACTGCTTATGTTCCAAAATTCGGAAGATATATTCAGCCGAGGATTAGTCTTTCTTCAGTGATCTATTGAAGCCAACGCATATGATAATCTCCCATAACCTCTACACCTCTTCCTCTTTTTCTCTCTCTCAACTCCCCCCCCCCCCAAAAAAAAAATTCTAACGAGTATCACCGATTACCTACCAAACTCGTCTATCTCCTTCAGCATTCATGGTCGGAAACTAAGACTGCCTACACCTAAAAAGGACCCTGCTCCCTCTATTGCATCTATGCTTAATACCCTTTTCAAGGTTCCTACCATAATCCTACAGTAATGAGCGGAAAAATGTTCCATAAATCTAAGCCGAAAATAGTCAAACCACTTCTATAAACTAGACTACTTCCCTCTTAAACTTCATTTTATTACCATGTCTGTCTATCAAAAAACAAACACGACTGCTCCGCTCAAATACACCCCATTTTTCCTTCTTTCACTCCGATAAACCTCGAAAATGCCTCTATTCTGAGACTTTGAGAATTCGCTGGTGTTTTGTGCAAGCTTGATAGCTGTCATTCATCATGGCGAATTGGGCGAACGGGGACGGAAGAGGAAGAGGAGGGCACATGCTTTGGCGCAAATTTGACAAATAATAATTTTTGAGTCGTAGAATTAGGCAAAGAATTAGTAGAAGGAAAGATAATTTACCCGGGCCACAAATAAAGTGGACCTTTACAGCAATGCAACAGTTCTCTACCCCGAGAATGGCAAATTCACCTCACTGGGTAAGCCACCTGTTACCTATGCGTAACTGTTAGAACTCACAATTTCCACATTTCATTCGTCCCCTCTTCCCCCTGAACCCTTACCCTCTCTGACCCTAAACAATATTCTAGCACATTCGTCTATTCAACTCTTTCCACAAATGTCTTCTCCTCGCTTCTCTTTCCGCCCCTCTTCCTCCTCTCGGGGGATGTTCCCGCATCGATCCTTGCCAATCTCGTCGGCAGCATGGTCGAAGGAGGGGTGGCCATTGTTAAATATCTACTATTTCTCTCAAATTTGATCTTATGGGTAAGTAATTTTGTTATTTTCACTGGACTTTCATATTAATGGTTAGGAAAAGAGTAGGTAGGATAAGCTACAAGCAAATTTTTCTGGCAACTGCTCCGAGGAACAATTGCGGAGTTAACCCCTTTAGCGCATACCAGTCTGATATTTCGTTTCGAAAAAAAAATTTTTAAAGCCTCTAAATTAGCCACATTTGTGGTAAAACTATTGAAACTCATCTTCGCTTTTGATTTTTCAACTTTTTCTTGATATACTGCATTTATGTATTTTTCTTGGGATCTTTGGTGAATCTCTCTGAAATACATTTTTTTTAAATTTCATTCTACGTTTTCTAAATCACTTTCGTCTTTATCGCTCCTATAAAGCTTCTTGATAGCTAGTCCCACTTCAAAATGTTCCATTTTTTTTTAAAAGAAAAACAAATACACTTAACCTGACTCAAAGTGATGGAATCGGCATTTTACGAAAGCTTACATTACAATACATTACGAAAGATTACATTACAATTTTAGTACTTTAGGATATTATTTTTAGATTTTTCCCAGAAGGAATTAGGCCTAAGCTTCTCCTTCATCGAGTGATATTCTCATAGCCTTTGTGACATTTCTCTCAGCAAAGTCAACAATTGCGTGAAGAATTCCCAAAAAAGATACTATTCCCCAGAAAGTACTTTATAGCGTCCACAATAGTACAAAGTATCGTGAAATCGAAAATAAAAACAATTTTTACAAAAGGGTTCAGCATTTGCATTGAATGATCGTACTGTAGTGACGACTCAGCTAGACTGTGAGGACTAGTAAATTTATGCAATTTTGGCAAAATTTCCAAACTACTAGAGGGCATAAGTGCTGTATGATTGAGTTTTTTTTAGGAATTCTCAGAATTTGAAAAAAAAACACATCTTAAAAAAAGAAAGCTTTATACCAGATGAACTATAGGAATTCGATACTTTGTCAGGGCGAGGACCCGTAGTTTTGAAAATTTTGAGAAACCTTTTTACTGATAGAGGATAATACTGCTGTAAAATATACTATACGTTATTTTGTAAAGTTACAGAAATCGCTATTTTTTATTTTTTCTATTAGGTTGTCCCGAAAGTTCGTTCGCACCATTTTCAAAAAATCATAACTTCTTTGCATCATAACAATTTTGCGCAGTTTAAATTTTATTAGAAAGCGCAAAGCATGTAGTTTCCAAAAGCCCCCTGGTGACTTTTTGACATGCTCAGGTTGCAGAGATAAAATGAAAGAACGAGAACATCCGAAATTCGGAATTTTTGAGCAAAAATTCTAGAAATTCAGAAACTGTGCGATAAAATCCAAAACAACCATCATCCTAAAGTTTTCTCATATTTGATTACTAAGAGTTAAGTTTGGGCTGATTGAGCTCTTCTTTCAAAAGTTATGATTTTTTGAAATAAAATGCTGAAAAATCAATTTTCTAAGAATTCCTAAGAAATTGATTTTTCGGCATTTTATTTCAAAAAATCATAACTTTTGAAAGAAGAGCTCGATCAACCCAAACTGAAATCAGTTAGTAATCAAATATAAGAAAAATTAGGATAATGGCTTTTTTGGATTTTATCGCGCAGTTTGTAGATTTTTAGAATTTTTGCTCAAAAATTCCGAATTTCGGATGTTTTCGTTCTTTCATTTTTATCTCTGCAATCTGAGCACACTGGAAAGTCACCAGCGGACTGTTGGAAACTACATGCCTTACGCTTTCTAATAAAATTTAAATTGCTTAAAAAGGTTATGACGCAAAGAAGTTATGATTTTTTGAATATGGTGCGAACGAACTTTCGGGACAACCTAATATTTCTTCAAAACCGCTAATAAAAAAATTCCTGCTATAGTCTTAGGAGCGACTGCAGCTTTCTTTTTGTTGAAATTCCCCCCAAAATGTCTCTCAAATTCTCCTAATCAAATTTTTGCAAACATTCAAATTGTGCCCAAAATGAAGCACAAATTAGTATGCTATGCGCTCTGCAAATGGGCTTGTAGGGCTCTCGCACGAAATGCAAGCTGTTTTCGTCCGAAAACGGCTCATTGGCTGGCAACAGCGCATGAATCAAGTCAATCAGAGACCACCGACACTCGGCTAAGTATGTGAGAACTCGTCCTGACTTTGACCATCGTCGTCAAGAATAAACGTCCATTGTCTGCTTCTGTTGAAACAAACACCCTGGAGAATATATAGGATGTCATAAAGGGAGACATAATCCATCAAAGGGCAGCTCTCTTTTCAGCGTATATTTTTTTTGAAAAAAATAGTGAAAAAACCGACATCTTCTGCATCTCTCTGCCCGATTACGATATCATGTTCCAGAAGAAATTCTAGAATCCATAGTCCCAAAGGATTAATGAAAGTCCATTTTAGACCCTTTTTTTCCAAAAAAACGCTCTATAAAATCTTTCTACTAGATTCAGCGCAAAAGCAGATTATGCCCGCTATCCCATGATGTAAACACAGACAATCTCATCTTCCCCCATGGACTATAAAAATGTCCTAGCTGGAAAATTCAGCTTTTATGGCACCCAAACTGACTGAGAAGTTCTTTGAATTTGCCACATTTTTCATCTATGAATGAATAAATGATCTACGGGACCTTTTGCGCACATATACTGAACGCTATCGTAACTCTACCGTAATATTGTGTTTTTCGCGCTACTAATTTGGATCCCAGATTTAAAGTGCAAAAAACCTCGAGCAGCATCTCGACAGCAAACATGTAAAGCATGTGCAAGCTATGGCAGCATACTGTAACGGTGCAAAGGGGCTGCCACATGTAAAAACTCTTTATGTGGGAAAAACGGCCCTTATACATGATAGTATGCTATGCCACTCTGCAAGGGTTGCCATAATTTGCGCGCATGACAAATTTTTCCTTCGTATTTCGATTCACTCGAGGATTAACGGTCGCACAGTGGCTGCATGCTATTGCGGGGTCCCGCATGGAATACCGTGGCGCATTACGGTAGTGCAAAATGCCCAAACTTCGTTAGAGTAGATTTCTTCATAAAAGCTTTTCCTGGTGTTATCTCAAAACAAGATCTTGCTGAGACTTCGTCTAAACTGTCCTTCTACATTTTACGAACTGAAAATGGGATTTTTGGCCGCATTTTATGAATTATTTTATCAGAAATAGTTGTAAGATAGTGTGATATCTTAGGTCATAAATTCTTGAAAAATGTACTCACACGTCATGCTGAGAAAATTCCACTAAAAGTACACTTGTTGTACTATTTACATACACCCAAGAGGACGATTACGTTTCCCCCACACTTCGCCTTCCTAACTCATTTAAGTGCAAATGCGGATCGGCTTCCCCTCAGAGGACCTCTTTTCTGCCATAACTGACTAAAGTTACGTCATTGGCGTGACGTCCGTTCCCGATGGGTACAGTGACGTGAAGTTCCCGACTAAAAGTGGCGATAAACAAGGGAGATTTGGAGATTTGTTTTGTCATTTTGCTGGCACTTTGCACAGCGAAATGATGGATGACGTAAATGTATTGCCTTGACATGCAAAATTCCCTAGCTTTTCCAGACTGGAGGGCTTGGTCTCATCATTCTCGGATCGGTATTACAATTGAAATTCGCTGGCGTTTTGGATATATTAGGTGATGAACGGTGAGTACTCCGATTTTTCATTTATAAATTCCCAACAGAAAATGTTAACTTTCGAAATGTACCATGAATATGCGGTAGCGAGAGTTTGATTTATATGCATTCTAACATGGTTTGACGCTACGCAACCGCGACGCTGGCGCAGCGCTAATCAACGAAGCAGAATATCCACTAGGAGTCTAGCCTCGGTGCAATTTCATCTCATTCCCAGAATTTTAAAGTCAAACTCCGCTGAGACTTGTTCACGAGGGTTATCTGGCATGCTAACTGCTAGAATGATACGGTTTTTCCACTGATTGTGGTTCTTCTGTTGTGAGGTTACGGTATGCGTACAAGAATCAAGATATTAGATTGGAGCGAACTTTATGCAATAAAGAGCAATACATCCAGTCCTTGCAGTGTTTGCTCATTTTGCGGTTATGATCGGTATTGTAGAGTCCGTATTTGCCAGAAAAAGAGTGGGACTGCCATGCCAGGGGAGGGTTTCCCCTTGAAAATTGGTCCCAAAAGTTCCGAAAGAAGTTTATGGGTCACAGAAGAACTGACATGTTTTGAGTAGTAGATAATTGGAGTATTCCTTTTGATTCTCTTGAAATTCAAGTTATCTCTGTGATTTCGGGGACATGGCCGCTACTGTCCCCCCCCCCCTCATCTATTTATATAATTCCGGGGATGTAGACAGCAAAATGTTTCAGCATGCAAAATTTTCGGAAGGTCTAACGCCACTCCCCTTCATTCAAAAAAGATTCTGTCCCCTCCCCCCTTACCAAAAAAGATTCTCATATCCACTAAAATATAAGAGTAATTCTACACGGGCTGTCAAACAATTCCCCAAGCAATAATTCAGTGATTTTCAAGACTTCATTCATTAACGCACGCCTGCGTAACCTCAAAAAATGCATTACCATGCGAAAAGTATCACTTCCTTTATTTTCCAACTCTCATGCGCATAATTACAGGTAATTCTGAGATTATGAGGAGGACAATGGTGGATCGATCTTCCATCTGGGGGGAGGGGAGGGGGTAGAGGGGGGCAGGACAAAGAGATTGAATAAAGCTGGTGGCGTTGATCCACTCCGAAATTTTTTTTGTTGGAATACTTCCCTCGTTGCGGGCTACCGTTCAAAAAGAGGGGCGTGGCGGCAGCCATTCCCGAAAAAGTTTTTCACAATTTGCTCTTCGAAAAATTTTGAATTGGAAATACTGGAAAGTGCTAGTGCCTTTTTTGAACACTAACTATTCCACCACAGCTCATGCATTCTAATCGCATGCAAGTGATGTGATGCCCAGACTATTTTACCACTAAACTATCTGCAGCGGTTAATTTATGCGTTTTATAAGAAAGCACAGAAGGCTTATGGAAATTTTGAAAGGAAAAAAAGGCATCAGAGAAAGCGGACAAGCAGGATCAAGGGTGAATAGGGAGTAAAGAAACTAGAAAGAACAGTGATCTTTTTTGTAAAAGACGATCAAAAAGAGGAGACGAATAATCAAAAGAGTATAAGAAGTCTATGGAAAACCAGCAGAAAGAGAGTATGTAGCAAGCTCAGACAACCGGCCGGAACTTCCCAGCGCTTTTGCAGCATTTCCGCTGGGTCACATGCGGAAACCCTGCGCAGGCGCTGCGGAACCGCTGCAAATCCTGCTTGTCCTGTGGAAGTTCCGGTGAATTGTCTGAGAAGGAAGCAAAGAGAGTCCAATCAAGAACTTTCTATGAAAAAGTCTATTTCTCAAAACTTCCTAATTTACCATATTCAGGTTAGCAACGCCAGTGATGTTACTTGCATTTGGCTCTCTATGTACACTACTAGGTTTTCTTGGATGCTGTGGTGCAATTCGAGAAAACTACTGTCTTACCGTATCCTTCGCTGTATTGCTTGCACTTGTCATTGTGAGTTTTATATAATAGTTTTTCGAATTACGTCATTTAAATTTGTGTGATCTATGGCAAATGGGCTTTTTGCACGCATACCGTATGCTACCGTAGTGCAGCAATAAGAAACACGAAGGCAAACACCACTAAGCAGCAGAACTCATTTCTCTACCCTTGTTCAATTTACAGAGAATTTTACTCACGAAACCAAAAATCGGTTACCGAATGTTTTATTAGTCATGGTAGCATACTGTAACGGTGCAGAATTTCACTCTCTTTATAACCTACTAAAATCATCGTAAAAAAATTGTACCTGTTAAGTTTAGATGCTTGAAACGGCTGCAGTCATAACAGCTTATGCTCTACACGAAGATCTCCGAAGCGGACTATCCACACAGTTGCAGGTTTGTGCACATAACATCATCACTACAAAAAGATAATTCCCTATCCAATCACATCAACTCAGACAACTGACCGGAACTTCCGCAGAACGTTTGGGGAAGTTCCGCCGAGTCACCTGTGGGAGCTCCGTAAACGTGCTGCGGAAGTTCCCAAATGAGCTGCTGCGGAAGCTATGATGAATGCGAACCACAACAGCAGAAGAGAACACCTAAGCGAGATTTGAAAATCACTCTATTGACTGTGAGACCCAACTAATATCCTCTGCACTACTGCTGACTTTCGATAATGCACTCTAGCTGTTGGCGGACAACATCACGAAACAACACATTCAAAACCCTGCGGAAGTACCGGCATGTCAAAGTGCTGCGGAACCGCTGGCAATTTCCGGAAGTTCCGCAGCGCTTTGTAGAAGGTCCTGCGGAAGTTCTCATTTACAACGTTTCTACTTTTGCAATAGAAAACAAAACCTGCGGAACCGCTGCAAATTTTGCTTGTTCTGCGGAAGTTCCGATGAATTGTCTGGGAAGTAAATCGATGAGCCAAAATTATTCTGTAGGTTACCGTTTCACTTATGGGTGAGATAAAAATGAGCAGTAACTGCCTTATCAAATTCTTCACTTGAATCACTGCTGATTCCAAGACAATTCGTCTTCGATCTAAAAAACTTTCACTTCTTGTTGACACATCGCTATTCGTTATTATCAATCTCGCTATAAAAACTGTTGCCTTTGCAAAAAATGACAAATCATAGAGGTGAAAGTGAAGGCAAAATCGACCAATTTCTAAAGTTAGTTCACACGATATAAAAATCCTGGGGGGTTAGTTATATAGGTGTTCCGATTCTCATAGATGAGAAAAGTCTATGCTATTCGAATCCCTAGAGCCATGATTTTGAAGAAAATTTCGAAAATAGTATTTTTGCTGTTTTATCTGATACATAACACCTAAACTACCGACAATCCAGAGTTCCTTCGCAAAGCTTGGGATATTTGAGACTCACTCGGAAAATGAAATTTCCATTATCTTCTTTTGTGATGGTCCTAGAACCCGCGTAATACATAGCCGCCAATGCCATTGTAAAAATATGATTTCCCCTTAGTAAAACAAAATCGAGCATATGTTAAGAAAGCAGAATTTTTGCGACCTTCAAATAGTCATATGACAAAACTTCCGGAACGACCTATTTTTTGTTTAAAGGAATCTCAATCCTCAAGGCAAAAGGATGTAGACTTTTCTAGTCAGTTTTATAAATTGAAGTCTGTAAATGAGGCACGATTTATCGCCCAGCCGCTTAGCTGTTGACAGATTTCCATCTCTGTCAAACTTATGAAAATTGCAAAACACTGTTTCTGACTATGAGCAATCCTTTTTGGAGGAATATTAACAAAATTGCACTCTCTAGGCTCGGATGATTTTCGCACTGTAGCGTAGATTTCCAGCATTTTCCTTTTGCAATGTTCAAAAGCTGAATTTCTCCAAATTCTTCAAGTAGCACTAATGTTACGGAAGACTCATAAAGATTTATCACTATATCGCGTTTTCGTTGAAAACATATCTAGGGCAGAGAATTTCTTTGAATTCAGCTCTTTGAATTATCCTTTGACCAGTGAACCGGTATTAAAGGTGCTGGATTTAGAGGAGATTTCGCTGCGGGAGCCGCGCGGTTTCCCGCAATTTCACCCTTTTGGATTTTGAATAGGCACAACAATCCTTTATATATATTAAATTGATTGAATGTTGACAGCTGTTATTCGAGTATGAATTTTCCCATCTATCTGCAGAGCTGTTGGCCATGGTTCTACCGCTTTTTTCTCTTTTTCCACTCCCTTTTTGCAACGTTTTAGAACTTTTCAAACTAATAGAACTAATGCATACGTTCAGTAATTAAAAGCGAAAATGTTAGGTGAACTATATGAATTTTTTTGATGGCATTTTGTAGCAAATTAAATTAATGAGAGGCTTTCAAGTCATTACTCTCTCCAGGGGATGAAGACCGTCGGAACAATCCTGAATCATTGAGCAAAGTTACAGTAACCTTTGGTGGTAGGCTAGTTCAGGATAGCAGATTTTGAGGCAGGCGTCATTTTTTGACCTGTGTTTTTGCAACTACTGCTCATCAAAGCACGCGAACAAAGCAGAAGAAGTGCAAGTGGAAACATTTGGCAAAAAATTCATTGATCCACATCTTTATCCTAACTTTTTCAGGGTAAATTGGCTCATTTAACGGCTACAGGGATTCAGACACAATTTGGCAAACTTAGAACAGCCAAAGTCACAGTTTTTTTCGAGCTTAACCCACTGACGACGATGTGGAACACCGGTGGCCCGCGCATTTTTTGCTGCCAGGGGGGCGATGTGGACACCGGTGGCCCACGCCTCCGGAAAAGTCATATCATTTGTAGGCCTAGTATTTTTTCCACATATTGATATTTTTCAATTTTTTGCACTTTTGAGACCTTTGTAGGCTCCGTCGTTCAAGATAATATTTACAGTTGTTTGCAAAACAATCTTTCATTTTTTAAATAACCCAAAACTTTTCCACAACGCAAGTGTTGCGCAAAATCTCGTCGTCTCACAGCTCCGCCACGCAAAATCAAGCGTCGTCGTCATTTGGCTAATAAGACTGAAAAAATTTCTGCTACGGCTGTTATTTACAAAATGTGACCGAAAAAAACAGTCAAAAAGTGCAAAAAATGAACAAAAAAAATCCGAAATTTTGAACCAGGTTGTTTCTGCAAAACTATTTTCAAGGGAAAGGTCCAGAAAACCAGTCTATGCTAATAAAAATGTTCTCTTATGGGTCTTACTTTCCCATGTCAATCTCGCCTTATCGCAATGTGCTTATCCGTCAATTGCTCCCTCTCTTGCTTTCAGATGGGACTCTCTCGTTACAATCGCAGTAGCGGCGTTCAAATGGCATGGGACCAAACGCAGCAAGTAAGTCAGAGAGACGAGTAAAAGAGCTGGCTGTTATTGGATTTATGGGGTTTTCCAGACACTTTCCTGCTGCGGAGTGGCAAATTCGAGCGATTGGTCAGCACTGGGGGCAATTCCGGATTCGTGCTGTATCGAGTCAAGCACGGGATGTGCCCGAGAACTGGCACCACTACACCCTGGTGGATGCATGGAAAAAGTTGAAAGTAAGGGTTTAGTGCGAAGTTTTGATTATCTTCGAAAATTGAACCTAAAGATAGAAAAAAGCCTTTAATTTACGATCTTGAAAACTAATATTGTATTCGTAATCTGCATGCTCGATTACCCCCCTGTGCAAAATCCCAGCCTCGCATGTCAAAATTTACAAAAAATCGATAAAATCAATAAAAGTAATCGATAATTCTGAAAACCAATATTGTATTCGGAATCCCCATGCTCACTTCCCCCCTGTGCCAACTCCTAGCCCTGTAGGTGAACTCTGCAAAAAAATCGATAAAAATCTGTAAAATCGACATCGATCGATAACGAAAAGTGGACTGTGACACCCGCCGGGGCCCGAAGTGTATGTGTGCCAAGTTTGGTCCGGATACGGCGGAGCCGGGTAAGCCAGCTAGTGAAATGTAAAGTTGCTTTGTAAACAACTACAATAATCTTCTTGGACCACAAAGTCTAGAGGTTCCAAGAGTGCAAAGAATTCGAAAAAGTACTGAACGTGTAAGAAAGCCTAGACCTGGAAAGGATATGGTTTTGCAAACCGTGTGGGCCAGCGGTGGCCCACATCGTCGTCAATGGGTTAATGACCATAGGAGTAATCAGCGCGTAAACATGAATGCTAATAAGAGGATTAAGAGGTGCGTCGGGCATTGTTTGAAAAGTTTGTCTATCTTTCAACGAGTTTTTGTGATAGGTCGAGAAAACGGAACGGACTTTTGGAACGATCTAATATATTAAAAAGTACAACCCTTCATGTAATCATGTAATCAGAACCTTCCATAGATAAATTTGAAAAGCGTGGGTAATCTTTCGCCCCTTCCTTGTATTCCAAATGTGAGACTTTGCCGAAGTTTTCGATCTTCCAAGAGAAACAAAAAAAGTGTAGGAAGGCTAAGTTCCAACCAAATGTTTCTACTTCAGACAAGAACTTCTACTTCTTAACTACCTCAACTACATTTCCTCCCCCCCTCCCCCCCCCCCCCCCCCACCTTCCCCTTCCTCCCCAGCCCTCCCAATGAACGCAGCAGTTGGTTTGCGGTGCAGCTTCATGGGGCCTAATCGATGTCAGAAAATGACGGATCACCGCCGTCCGCTCACATGGCTCTCGCTCGGTGTGTGTCCATAATGAGCATCTCTCGAGGTCAATGCATGTCGAGATCCGATAGACTGATTTATTGCCGTCCACAAGATCTTTCCAGAAAACATGCAAAACCCCGAGGAAAAGTGCAGTTTTCCAAAGTTTTCCCCCGCTATAGCTTCCGTTCTGCTCGCTTTTCCAGCGCAATTTTCATTGTGACAGCCAGATAATAGGATTTCGAGACTGGAACTGGGGATGTTTCGTAATAAGCGGACATAATCGCGTGCCTAGCGCAGCTTAGCAGCTCCCAGCTCCGGAAACTATAGCTGCGTCGTAATTGAGAATGGACCAGAACGAAGAACAAAAGGATGGGGTAAATTAATTGGGTAATTTGACCCCACATACCATAGACTCCTAGCTGCACCATTTTCCTACTACTTCGTATTTGCATATCCTCCCCTCCCTCTCCCCGATTGTCCACCTCTTAATTTTCCCTTGGCAAGGCAATCACATGCTTCCACAATACCGTAATCTCTCACCTCAACCGCGCGTCTTGAAAAAGCTCCCATAACACGGCGGAGACATGGCCGCGTGGCGCAATGGATAACGCGTCTGCCTACGGAGCAGAAGATTGCAGGTTCGAATCCTGCCGTGGTCGAAATGTTTTGACTTGTTTGCATTTGAGTATCACTGCATACACTTGGCCTAAGAAACCTTCCTTTGACTTCCTTTTTCAAACCTGATGGTTTTACAAACTTGCTTTTGACTTATGAGTGCAAAAATAAACCCAAGAATTATTTGTTTTACCTCACCCTTTTCCAGACTGGATCCTCATCAATGCCGCTCTCGTAGGCAGTGCATCAGCTGTCCTTGCTGGGCTTCAAGTGGTTGGCGTATGCTTTGCCTGCTGTTTGTCCAAGAGCATTCTCAAGGATTTCCATGATTTCTATTATTGATCGAAAAGGATTCGCTTAGCTTATTGTAACTACAAGAATCCACAATAGTGAAATCATATGCAATTTGCAGAACGGTTCTAAAAATGCTTTAACTAGTACTTTTTTAATGTGCTCAAAATCAAAAGTTCACCGTAAGCTGTTGAGCTCGAATGGGAAAGATATTGAAAAAAGGCTTGTACGACGAAATCCCAACTTTTACGTATGTTGACCTAGTATTCGTTTAAACGGGAGAACTGAACATAATAGACTGTGTATCTTCCATTCTATTCCAGTTTCTTATGATGCTTGCAAAAATCCTTGAATCATAGCGGCAACCCAAGATAGAAGCCATCGTACTATATAATTTGACTTGAGCATGATTGTCACTTTTTCGTACGTTATGACCAAATTTTTGGCCTTTTTCAAGTTAAACTTTGTCAAGCAGCTTATGCGTTAGTTATTTTTGTAATTTTGTACTCTCGTTTAGAACAGTAAATTTGAGATCAGTTAAATCTTACCCAGCTTCCTAATACCATTGACTAGTTCTCATAAGTCTTGCACAATATTGAAATTTTGTGATTTCCTCTATTTTCAACAATTAATTCACCATTAGAAGAGTGAAAACCGTGCAACCGTGCACTTTATGTTGATTGTTATATTTGACTGTTAAAAATTGGCCTGGTTTTGAACTAAAGAGAAAATTGCGGATTTTCAGATTGTTTTACAAAAGATGCCAAAAGATTTAATGCATCTCTCAGTCTGCATTCTGGTTTCATGATAAAATGATTGAATTTTTGAACATTCGTCCTGTCTGATTATCGATGGAAATGTTTACTTTACCCTTTTTCGTTGAATTTATTTTGAGGAAATGTGATCTAGTAAACAATTCCAGCTTAAATTGAAGTCTTTGTATTGTAACGTTTTGAAAGACTTTTGGGCAGGTTTCCAAAATGAGTGGTGCGAGACTTGTGAGACAACCTGATACATCCCCAAAAATAATTGTTCGTATGTTGTAACCCTTGTACTTGCATTATTCTGTATGATTATGTATGACTATGATAAATTTTTGCAATTCAGCCACGACAAAGAGTACATTCAAGATGTTTGCTTTTTATTCCCTTTGACAAAAATTTCGTTCTCTTTTTCAGAACTTGAGGACGAGGCCTCCTTTGACCGAAAAATTTCTGCTCTTTCCAGCTCTCCCTTTTAAGTTTGAAAAAACAAGGCATTCTGTGTTTTGCCTCAAAAAAATTAACCCGATGTTAAGAACAGAAATCATAAAAAATTATCAATTACTGACAACTCTTCGCGTCAACATTTGCCTCTGTACATTCGAGTGAACCCAAAAGTTCGACCGTGGAGAGATTCCATGTGTAATGATTGCTAAGTTTCCTCAGGCTTATAGCCTCTCCTTGACTCTACAGTATCAAACTCAAAGTCAAAACTCATCATACTACTTCATTTCGTCACATACAAATACATAAAATATAAAAAAACACCCTGTGCACTAGACACCTTGTATGTCGAAACAATCGGTAAAAAAAAAATAGTAAGCAGTTCATGCACACATAAGGACTTGCTCAGGGGCTAAATATACACAGACAAGCGCAGGCCACTTTGAATCCATAAGAGTCATGGGGTAGAGAGAGTGAAAAATAAAAAATTTGAGCATGTGAAAAAAAGCTACCTTGTTCAGTTCATAACGAGTACCTTGTATGGGTGACATGGCATGACAATAATTACTAACAAATAATCAACAATATCATGATACAAAATGAATAAAAATAGCAAAAAAAAAACTATAGATACAAAGAAGCGAATATTTGAGACTGGAAAGGGAAATTTAGAGCGCAAGACACATTGTAAAAGCGGTACGGCACACGTAATCATAAAAAAATGAATTGCATGTATTCATAAGCGAGATGATGGGGGGAGGCAAGTTAATCTGAGAGAAAAATTCCAAAGAAAGAACTTTTGTTGAATGAGATGAAAAAAGTTAAGTAAAAAATATTAGTGCAAATAAAATAGTGAAAAAAAAGGTTAGATGTAAAGACTAAAGACAGTGAATGTAAAGCAAAGCCTCGAAAAAAAATTGTGATTTTTTTCTCGCTTTTTCCCTTTCGACTTCACAAAATCCCTCTTTGCGCTGATGCTGAAAAGATAGCAGCGGGCACGACGTGCGCGCCCAAGCACAGCATGTGGGGAAGCCAATTCATCACCAAGAGACTCGAACTTATGACGAGTCTTTCGTTTTCGTCTCCGGGGACTATGAGCTATGGCGCCCCGCAGTGCTAAGTCACTTTTGCATTGAAGTGATAGTACACATTCTTAAACTAGGACAGGTGATGTGAAAAAAATCAAAAGTGAGAAAAGGACAATCAGCAAAAAATCAAGAAACCGCTTTTGCGGAGCCGCATTAGCCCAAAAAAAGTTTAGGATTAGAGGAGACAATGGTTGCGAAAGACAAAAAAAATCCTGAAGGGAAAATTTCGATGCCAATTTTATGATAAAGCTTTCTCACCCCCAATTGCATCTTTTTTCCCATTTGCACTTCCTACTTCAAGTCGAAGATTTCTGACTAGTGGCAGATGGCTAAGCCTGACAGCCGTCGCATCAATCGCAAAGATTCTCGTCCGAAATTCAGACATTTTCTTCATCAGCCTTGGGCGGCAAACATTTCACAGAACTGCCGTAAGAGCTTATTTGGTTTTTACTAAGGGAAAGAGCGAGAAAAGAAATAAAAAAAAAATTTTTGCGCTAAGCTATACAACAAATATTGATTCTAACTTACAAACTCGCAAAAATTATGCAATAACAAAGGCTAATGCCTCATTTGTTTTCTATAATGCAGAGACCATCGGTGGTTGCACAGAGAATGCAGATACATAGCAAAATTGGCAGAACAACACTGCAAAGTTGATAGTTCTATGAACTCATTAGTGTTCGTCAGTGGCCACTGCAGCTCGTCGTAGAATGATTCTGGCGTAAGCTTTTTGGTAACTAGCCACCGTCTTTGCACTACAGATCCATACCGCACAAGTTATGCCAACAATAAGCTGACACAGATATCTGAAAGTGTCCGTAAGATGATAATTTCAGAAAAGAAAAAAAAACAGATCTAAGCAAGTTGAAGGCACCGTTCAACCAGATTGAAGATGTAAAGGTTTTGACGCTGTATCATAGCGGAGCAGCTAAGTGAATGCTCAAGGCTTGCTGCAAAAGATGAATTTCGAGCTCATAAAGTTGCTTCAGAAGGTACAAGCAGCCGAGGTGGCTCCGCCCATCAACGCGGGTGGTCTGGAGTTAACAGGTCCAAAAATGGTAGGATAGTCATGGATCCAAACCTTATTAGGATTACCAAAGTTTCGATACTCAACAGTGAAGCCCACTTTCGAACTCAGCATCTTCAGACCACCCATAACGACAAGCTGCACCACGCGATTTTCTCGCTGGAGATTCACCTTTAGCAACAGGACTTCGGCGACTACTTACCTAAGGACAATGCTATTATACAGCATTATGTTACCATCCTCAGTTTGGGTGGGGCGGTACCTTTGAGGCGCATCCAGGCAAATTTGGAACTATGAAGATTTTACGTGGAAAGTAATTTTGGGGCCCTAACTAAGGCACTGCCCAAGCGGCAACGCAGGTGACTCAATGCGGCTGAGATACGCCTTCTAAACTGGACCCCAGGTTCGTATTTCGCATGGATTCATGGCGCAACCCATCAGTTTCGCGCGAGAACCCATGCGACCATGGGGTAAGTTTCGAGAGGAATATCTCAGCCATTAGCACATACCTGAGCTGCCGGTCTGGCTTAATCAGGGCCCTAAAATTACTATCCACGTGAGATCCTCATATGTCCAGATTTGCCTGGACGCTGCCTTATCAAGCTTGAAACAAAAATGTAAATTTACTAAACCCACTTGATAAATATCAAGACTAGTTCTGGACCAGGTGGCATCGTATCCATACGCTGCTTACAGCTTGTCCTTGGCATGGTGAAACCAAACTTGATCCGGTCCGGGTGGAGGCAACGCAGTGTATATAACGCTAAAGAAAACCAACTAGAAAAAAATAGTTTATTAAAAGACCAAAACTTTGTTTTAGAACAGCACACTGTGGTGTTCAGACTTTCTGCGGACATGATGACCCCTACTCCCCAACAATCCGTTAAAATCCCCCTAATGCGCAAATTTGGGTTACACAATCGCGGAACTGACTCATCCACGTTACGCTCATTAGCATTCCTTCGCTTAGCCTCGGCACATATGCATGCACTTTCAAATGTTGAATTCGAAATCAGACGGAGGTGAGTCAGTAGCGAGGAAAGGAACAAAGAATAAATTCTTTTCGAGCGATTGAGCACTGTAAACTATGAAGAACACAAAACTGAGAGGAACAAAGCTGTATGACACGCACAAAAGAACAATGTATTGCATTTCTGTTTAAACAAAATCACTTACTGTCCAGCCAAATTGGCATTTGCAAAGCTTGGTAGCATAGTACGGCAGCACTTGCGGCAGTGGGTAAAACGTACATAACGGCAAAGCCGCTCACCCTGAACAATGCAATGAAAATTCAATCAGAATAGATTCCATTTATGCAGACTCACCTAAACATGAGTTTTTCCAATTTCCTTATATTTTTATCCACATCAGCATGTTGCAGTTTAATATAAGTACGGATACGCATCATCGAGCATATTCCACATGCCAAAAGGACAAGACCAAGAACTGAAATGAGAATTTTCTGAAGCAAAGAAAAAAGCGAATTTGACTGAGGATGACAAAAAAAAATTGCCAAGCCCACAAAATTCCAAATTTCTCACCGATGCATCCGCTCAGTGGGAGGAACAGATAGTAGAGAAGCGCCTTCGGCTGCAAGTTTCCAACCGAGCAGATGCCTAGAACAAGACGTAAATTGCACAACAGATCCGTACTCACTGAATAGTTCTTGATGCTTCTTTTGTCGTTCCCACTTGATAATTAACCCCCCTCTCTGAGTAAACTTCACAGCACTTTGTTGCAGTTCGAAAAGTAGAGTTCATTTCTTATGCCAATCAAGTTTTTCCTGCGATAAGCATCAGAGAACTGCAGCAACGACACCTTGCTCACCAGTAAAAACATCGCCATCGATGGAATTTGTGACGAGAACGACAACAGATAACAGTGCAGGTATCCCCCAGCATGCTGCATGGAAATATGGAGCAAGTCCCGCGATGGATTCAGCGCCCCATTTGCGATTTGCTGCCAGAAACCATGCTAAGCACAGCACTACCCACCTAAAATAAAAATAGAGTAGTAACGTTGCCGTTGGTTGTCATCCATCTTCTAGACTGTAATCTCTCAAGACGTAATCCATCATTGAAACGCACATTTGTCGCGGAATAACAAGGCGTCCGTTCTTAGTTATGGGAGAAAAAACGAGAGGAACCCTTGGCCTCGATATTGAGATTGACAGGGGCAAGCTAACAAATGAATGTATTGTTCGGGGAAACATCGTAAAGTCAGGATAGAAAAGTGCATGAAGTTCGTCGTACAAAAAAGGTCCTGTACAAGTGGAAGAGGGAATAACTCTCCTTTGCGATGATATTAAAAAAGCAAATCTTCACTTGTTCATACAGCCAAAGATGACAACGATAAGATGGGCTCAAAAGTGGAAGGAGAGATAAAACGTAAAAAAAAGTTTTCGTCTTTTGAGAAAAAATACGCTCTCAGATAAGTGGCTTAGCAATTTCAAAACGTTGACTGTAAACTTCGAAAAAGTGACGTTAAAGCTTTCGAACACCATAGCCTTTTTCAGAGTGATGAGGGATAACATCGGGCTTTAAAAACAGTGCAATGGAATTCTAAATTACCTAGTTTAGGAGAAGAACACAGTAAAAGAAAAAAGAGTGCTGGCTTTGAAATGTATGAAGCATCAAAGTGAGAAATCAATCTATCGGAAGAACTCCAAATCATGATGGCAATAGAAAAAAATTGAAATTTAAAACAAATGTTGATTGTCTATACTCACCAAGCACTGCTTGAGATCGTAAAGTAATAATGTGCAACAGCTAGACCACTACAGGCTGTGCCTTCACCACCTTGCGCTACAAGTAGCTGCGGTGTACCACCATATGGACCGCATGCAAAGCTGTCCTCTCCAACGACACCTGAAACAAATAAAAATGTCAGGTAACGTTCTACTTTTTTACGTTTTACAGGTTATCAAAAAGTCTTTAGGGGAAAAGAAGCACACTTGAGGGGAGGAGAACCACTCACCAATCATATATACAATAGAGATCATCAAATAGCACATAGCCATGTACAGAATCGGACGAACAGGATAGGCGAATCGTGCAAGATCTACCAGAAATGTGGTGATGGTGAACAGAGCACATACACAACATGCCACAGCCCATCCTCCGGTCCAGAAACGAAGGTAGCGACGATGGCGCTTGTCGAAGAACACCGGCACCTAGTATTGGGGAAGAAATGTTACTGCAGAAAGGATCACTCTTACTCAAAAAAATCACAGCCACTCTAAGGTGAGTTATGGTAGGAGTAACTCAAGTAGTGAGGAAAAAATGAGAAAAGGAGGACTGCAAAATGAATACAGACAAATAGATACCTGATTGTCAGCGGCACAAGGCAAACTGCAATCCTCAAGCGTTCCACTTGGTAGTGGAAGAGAAAAGTGTGACCGCATAGAGGCTGTCATGGTCAATGGACATTCCAAATCACCAGATGAAGAATGAGACCTAAATTTAGAGTTATTCATCAAAACGTATGAAAAAATGCTAGTTCTGAAGAAGAAGAAAATAGGAAAGAGCAACGAAAAGCATTTGAAACATGCAAAAAGCTAAAACAAATGAAAGGGAGACCACATACCTGTTGGGCGTCGGTGTGCTGCTTGTTTTATTTTCTCCCACGCATATTCCTTCAGCTGGGAAATGATTACAATCCAGCTGTTCGGGCCAACGAAAACCAAACTTGATCATGAGACTTTCGCAACCATTTTTTGCAGAAAGGCAAAGATCTCGACATGGTTGGATCGGTTTCTCCAATTGAGTGCAGACAGGTGCATATCTGAAACAGATGGATCTAGAACGTATATACCTTCTATATGATTGATGATAAGTAGTACTATTTGCAAGATTTATAGTGATTTTTCAGTTATTGTGTGATAAAATAAATTCAACACATTCATCTGGTGAAATGCCTCTCCATTCCGTTTTCTCCATCTCAGTTCTGGCGCAAACTACAAAATTCATAGCAGTTCGACAGCTAGCAGACATCAAATGTGGCGTCACACCCGTACTCGACATCTGGAACCCCATTAACACACACATTTTTCAAACGCGCAACATTAGTGCTCAATGCGTACATTACAAACATAAGTTGAAAAAACTACATTTTTCATAAAATGAAGCCCAACTTTCCATCGCTCTTACAATCGTTATGATTTCGTAACATTTGCGTGCAGAAAACATTAGCATTTCAAAAGCAAAGCCGATAAGAAGTGTTGCTAAATAAGCATTTGCTCTTATCAGCGACAAATGAAAATAAATTGATGAGCCATTAAATGTCCAATCAGAGCCCCTATAGGGCTTCTGACTCGATTCACATGTGCTAAATAAAGAATATAATGAAAGAATGGCCAATTCTCATCTCGCAAAACTATGCCAGGCAGCTGGATGCGATCACATAGTGTAATACTCTGTCAATGACTTTGAAATCAAAAACACTTTTATCACCGGTGCAATCAACGACACATGATGGCGCCAGCTCTCCCCGTGATCTGGCAAAAGCGCTTATTGCGAGCTTTTTTCTTGCGAGCTTTTTTCGAGGCATCGTGTACTTTCTGTTGATAACCACCCAGATCTTCTACACAAATGTCGAAAAAGATTTGAGAAGACGAGAAGCACTTTCATAACAAAAAGGCGTGTAATTGCAGAAACGACTCACACTGTACACAGGAACAGCTTGATATCTTCAGAGCATTTCACTTTCACGAGTGGATTGAACTGATTGATTGCGATTTCAGCATCGGCTTGCGTTTGATGATTCAACAAATTCGGATAGACGGTTGTATTGTAGGGCAAATCCATACACATCGGAATCGTGAGTGGCACACATTTTCGACCCGATGGAAGCATTTGCTAAAAAAGTTATGATGCAAAAGTGTTTGGTCAAAGTACAAAAGGTAACAGTGTTTGAAAAATGTTATTTGGCAATCTTATGATGAGTTTAACAATAACATTTCGCAGATAGATAAAAATAATATCCGATTTCGTGGAGTACATAGCAAAACGTATGAGTTTTGAACATGAGAAAATGAAACTTACAAAGAAGAGTACCTCACCTGTTGATAAACCTGAGCTTCAGCATTATAAGCATTGAATATAAACAGTATTAGAGGAGAAAGTGCGAAAAATCGTTCGTTAATCATCTTTTCAGTGTTATGGATCGTCTACAACATTCCTCGCACTTCCTAAAAGGAAACATCATCAAATTTACGCAAACGAGGTACTTAAATAAACGCGCATCACATAAAATTGAGTAATAGCCGCATTTAATGGCCCATAAATCAATGCAGCGCTCCAGCGGCTTAGCCCGCCCCTCGCTGGCCACACGCCAACACGCCCACTTCGTGTTCGCGCCGAGACCATGCAGAAGACGCAAACATGCAGAAAATTTTGAAGAGTACAGTAATTTGCAGCATTAAATAAATTCGCATGAAAATTTTATGCTTGCTGCGGTTAAACTATTCTTTTTCAGTTCTTTTTCTTTTGAAGGTATTAGCAAATTCTTTGAGTCTTCTATTCTACTAAGAGAACTAAGCTAGACATCCTTGTATGGAAAACATCTTCTTGTTGCTTTTTCCATCTGTACTCGCCGTTTTTTGGAACTATCTGGCTATGCTGAATTTCCTTTTATTGTCAGCAATTTCTAGGATACTCAAAAAACATCTTTCTTTCCTCTTCCGTTCTGTTTTTTCTGAAAACCTAACTATTTTCCGGTTTTGCGGAAGAATGATGCTGTTATCCTCATCAGTTACAAAAGGTAAAAGTTTTTGTTTATATTACTCTGTATATCTTCAAAGTCACTGTTATAGTAGATTGCTTCCTTGGCGTAATTTTGGGAATTTGCCATGCTGCTTTGGTACACATAGTGTATCGCTATGTTCCTGAACCCTATATGGATGAGATATTCCACATTCGTCAAACGAGAAGGTCAGCTTTTCTACAGAGGTCGATATACCATATCTATCTTAATCTGACTTATAAAAATAGCAGATATTGCAATGGCGACTGGACTTGGGATCCAATGATTACCACACCACCGGCTTTGTATCTACTAGGAATGCCATTTTGTGGTTTTGAGCGCTACACAAATAGTGTGCTCGTCGCGTTAACGTTCGTAGGATTCTGTCGATTTCGAAGGATGTTTACGACGGATTCTGTGCATACTTCCGCACTTGTAGCCTTACTTTTTCCGGTAAGTGTTGGCCAGTCTGGTTTAAGCATTCAAGCTTTTTATTTATATCTTAGTAATTTGTTTTATAAATCTGGTTCATTTTTGCTAATAAGTGATTTCCATTTTCATCAACTCAACAAACAATCTACTTCCCGCACTGTACTTGACCGAATCGCCGTTGTAACCAAAGCTACCACTGTTACCGTTGTCATTGCTATCATTATTGCCCGTGTTACTGGCCGCCTCGAAATGAATCCTCCCGTTTTATTCCGTTTCCGATTGTCTTGGTGGCTAAGTTTGCTTAACTAACTTTTTGAAATAAAAAAACTGCGTGGCTTTCATTCAAAGCAACCCTGGTAACAGCGGTAGGAATCGTAATGAAAGAGGGTAACAAAACAGTGGTAAGGCTAATAACATCTGGGGAGTACATGACCGAAATCTTGATGACGAAGTCAACTTGAAACTCTAATGTCTTCCAGGTTCTATTCCATTCATCGTTGCTGTTTTACACCGATTTGCTCTCAGTATGTGCTGTAGTATGGGGATTCTCGTTGGATTCTCCACTTCTTTCTTCTCTGTCTTTTGGAGTGGCTGTCCTGACGCGACAAACGAACATTGTGTGGGCTGGTTTCAGTGCTGCCATTCGCCTTTTCCGAGGTATCGACACGTCCAAGCCATTCTCTTCACTGTTTCATTCGCTCATTAGTCTTTCTTCTTTTATAATCCTTGCACTTTCTTTTGTTATTTTCGTTTTTATCAACGGAGGCATTGTCCTTGGTGATGCTTCCGCTCATCATCCACGTTTACACCTCTCCCAACTCCTCTATCTTGCTCTCTTTATAGCCATTCATGCTTGGCCTCATGCTCTACCGCGAGTGGCCAAGTTAGTGCCACAATTGGCTCGACCTCTTCCCATTCTTTTAGTGGTCCCTATAGCACTGGCAGCGCAATATTTCGCATATGACCATCCATACCTAATCGCGGACAATCGCCATGTTACCTTCTATCTTTGGCGTTGGTGGTTGTCCAAATCTGTTCGTCGAGTGCTTCTAACGCCAATTTTCTTGTCTTCTTTCATTTTTATGCTGGAATTATGCGCACACCTCTCTCCTTTATCGCGCATTCTTTTTACTTTATGCTCCTTTGCTGTTGTGGTACCGGCACATCTCATTGAACCTCGTTATTTTATAGTTCCGTATGTTTTATGGAGGTTATGCGCCAAAACTTCCACGAATAGATTGCTGATAGCAGCCGAGGTAATCTCGCAAGCGATTGTTTTTAGTTCTGTCTTTTATCTATTTCTTTTTAAACCATTTGAATGGGCCAATGAGCCGGGGGCAAAACAAAGATTCATGTGGTGATCGAGATTTGTATCTCGACACGCCTAGTAGGGGTGCTTTGTGAATTTCGATCCTTATTGTGCACGAATTGCACGAAAAAAGTTTTTAGGAGCCCAAACAAATTTTTATTGATTTTACGGGTGCTTTCTTTTGTTGTTGTTTTCTTTTAAGTTGTTTTTATACAATTATAATTATTTATTTCGAAAGGGATGTGATCAGTAAAACCTTTTCTTTTTTCCTGTCAATCGTTTGACTTACAAGAATCAAATAATCTACAAAGCTGACAAGACACTTTGGCGAGATGTATGGGTCAAAGGCAAGAATAGTGAGCGAGACACGAAGTAAAAGCACCGATCAAAGTGAGGCAAAAAATGCCGAATATCAAACTGACAACACTGGAAAAATTTGTAACAAAATGCACAAACATCAATGTAATGAATACGCGGAGCTGCACAAGATAAAAGGGACGAAATGCGAAGAAATGGAAACAAGGGAGATATGAAACAACAAACGAAAGAAAGAGATTGTAAAGCTAAGCGCATAGGAAAAAAAAGAAATGCATGGCTTAAATGCCGTGTTCACCCATTCAATTATGCGTATGCGATGATTGCGCGCTGATCAGAATTTGAGACATAGAGAGATTAAATTACTAAGTACTGCGCTATCCCGTTTTCACTCATTATGGAATACAAAGTTATAAGACTCAAGAATGTGAGTGGTCAAGAAACGGTAAAACATCATGGAATGGCTTCAACGGGTGATATGGCCGGAAAGCATGTACGGCACCAAATCAGCTGTATATGTATAATATCATAAGTGTTTGTACTGTAGTACAGTCAATCAAAAATTTCCAAGGGGGATGGAGAGAGAGGAAAACAAATGATGAGACAGAAAGTTTCAGATTGAGAAAATGGTATACCTAGGGCGTAACAATATAATAACAACAATGGGAAAGACATTCACAAGGGGTTCGAGAACTAATTGAATATAAAACAAACGACTTCCTACTGTCGTTACGTATAATGTGATATCTGATCTACCAGCGCGTCAATCGATGCAAGGCTTGCTGCCTTTGAGCCGTGACACATATGCCGTTGAGCTTGTGGCATCGTCTCTGGGCAGTGAATTGGATGGTAGATGTGCACCAAGCCTGGTTCGGGAGATCGAATTATTCGTAGACCTCGTTTCACGGCCTGAAAAGCAGTTCCAGTCAATTAGGTGAGCCACAACAGTGTAGATGCATAATTTACAAAATTGCACAGAGCTCAAAAATATGAAAAAGAGCTCAAAATCTATAAAAATTGGCAACAAGAGCCGCTAAGTCAAATGAGAGGAAGTCAGAACTAAGCTTTCTGCACGATTCTCATCAAATTCGATGAAATAAAAGAAGAAGTGAATGAAGGACAACGTACCTTTTCAAACAAATCAACATCCTCTAATCCCCATCCTTCGATCTTCGTATCAAAGCCGCCTATCGAAATCAAGTCGGCCTGAAATGCAGAACATCATTTATAAATGATGAAATGGAGAGAATCTTCTGATGCTCCAAACAGTACCTTGTATAGTGCAGCAAGACCATATCCAAAGTGTCTAAAGTATCCTCGTCTTCTACCATAATGAAATGCATCAGCTAACAGGCGATCGTTTTCCGACCAACTTTCCGGTGAAAATTCCGAAAAGACGATAGGGAAGTAAACCTAAACCTAGTGAACTTTCAACTAGTCCAGTATGTTTATACTTCTTGTCGCCGACCTGCGCGTTAAGTATCGTATTTAGTCTAATTCGATGAAGAGCATCACATGTGAATAACATGTCAACGTCGGTAAAGAACATTAGTCCATCAGCGGAGACACGCTCTGCACCTTTCATCAGAGCTACTCCTCTGCTAAATGGCGCATTATCCATTTCGATTACTTCGACTCGTACGAAGCTTTGGCGTAGTTCTTCGATCGTCGCTCTAAAATGCACTCAATGGACTACATGTTGGTGCTATTAGCGACTGTGTAAAAACAAAGACGAAGCGAGTGTGGAAAGAGTATGAACTAAACTCGTACAAAAGAAAAGCATTACCGATTGGCACCTTCATCCTCGCTGGCGTATAACACTACTACGAGCGAGATATCCCCAGCTCGAGCGCAGACATTCTTCAAATGACCCGCGAACCTAAATTTTTCCATGTAATTGCTCAAGCAATACAAAATTTTGATCAAACAACCTCGCAAATATCTCTGCTCTTCCTTTGAGAGGTAAAATCATATGAAGGTGAACATTCTCTCCGGTGAAATTACTTCCTCGACGAAGATTGGACCTGTGAGAGAAACCAGTTCACCGTAAATTGCGGTAGATGTCAAATTTTGTGTAGAAAATAAGCGAAAGCCAGTGATGTGTACCTCATCTTTTTTTCAGAAAGTGCCTGAAGTGGCGCAAATACTTGTTGAACGTACGCATGACGTCGAACCGACAGTGTTGTTCGATGTGGAGGTCGGAATTTTTTGAACCTGAAAATAGTGGATAGATCTCAAAAACCATCATGGCCAGCCTCAAAAAAGAATGCAAAAAAATTATCTAAAAAAAAGCGAAGAAAAAAAACGGTTTGAAAAATTCAGCTACGATTAAAAAAATACATGTAAGGAAAAAATAAACAAAAAGGGGCTAGATAAAAAAAACCAAAGAATCAAAATAACATACCAGAGGATCATATCCAGCACGTAGTCGACACCATAACGTGGCTCGACTCTCATGTAACCATATTGTAGACTTTGAAATTGTAAGACTCTCCCTCTTTGACGAGCATTCGAGTTGAACTCTTCAAACAACTAAAAAGACAAAGTCAACGATAGCAATCACTGCTACACAATAAAACAAAGCTGGAACTAGTAGCTATACAAGTCAATTAGTTCCTCAGTTTCTTCTACCATAGGTCATAAAAGCAGTAACTACAGAAAAGTCCATCGGAAATTCAAAAGCAAAACAAACTTGTGTGACAATGTCGCCCATTTCTGTGCGTATACTCAGATCCACTGTATGTCTAGGACAATTGACACGATCAGCACAGAAGAGTATCTTGTTATTGTTGATATAGTCCCATGGTGTGAGATCACGTGAGCTGCAATAAAGTATTTTTTTCTTATGAAGCGAGAGACAGCCTTGAAGCACCGTTCATTCAAATCTGAGCTTGCTAAGACTTTGATGCGGTGCGATAGTGAGGCCCTTAATTGAGCGACTAATCAGGTTCGGAAGCAAAAGGTGTACTCTGAAGTGAAAAATGTGTTCCAGAATGTGGATGCTGCTGGGGTCCCCACGCCCATCAACGTGGGGGCCAAAACTGCCTAGTACTGTCAGAAATCCTTCCTACATTGTGAAATAATGAAATTTAGGCATTCTGGTACGCCTAATTACCTTCAAACCGCCCACATTGGTGGGCGTGGCGGCCCCAGCAGCATCCACTTCCGAAGCGATTTTCTCGCTAACATCGAAATACATGAAGCTCTCTTTTTGCAGCGACACTTGGGAAACTACTTAGTCAGAGGCCTCGCTATTATTCTGCATCAAGATCATATCAACCTCAGATTTGCAAGGACGGTGGCTTCGGATCATTGCAAGTTTTGCTCGAAAGCCATTCATCTTTACACTTTTGCGGTCTTTTTTACGATCCACAAATAGACAAACAACAGCCATCAAACATTGAAAAATGTGATGTTTCACCTGTTCGGCATTATTCGCACTAATGTCGGCTGTTGTACATCGCTACGTTCCGTGCGCAAAGCGACACGGCGTGCTCGTAATGCCTGTAGACGGAAGGCACGATCGTGTACGTGAACGCGTCGCATTACAGCTGGATCTTTGATGGGGTGTACTGTTATGGCGGCCCTGACCTCCGATAAATCACCCGTATATGCCTGAAAAAAAGCTTGTTCTCATTTGTGGTTTTGTGGCCAAAAATCGCCGCCGTTATACGACCTCCTCATATAACTGTGTAGGAAGAACCTGACCGAAAAACATAACACCCGAAATGGATTTCATGAATCTATTTTCTTAATAGCCGGTCAGGTCGCAAATGTAGGATGCTCCAGATTGTTTAGTGATGTGCTGGATGTTTATGAATATTACTGAGATCAAACTGTACCACTTAACCATTCTCTTCAACGCCTTATGGAATACTCTGCTTTAGTGATCCCCGCGGATTTCTGATGCTCTAGATCCTTGCTCCCGCTTATAAAAAAGTAATCCTAGATTTATCATCAAGCGCTAACCAAGGCAACTCGTACCGTTTCGGTTACTCGCTGTCTTTCTACAAAAAATGCAAAACAGTATTAGCAACAATGTCATCTTACAGAACTATTCGATTTATCACGTAAACAGAGACTTCAAGTAAGCATTCACACCCATTAGAACGATCCAAAATCCATAGCACCACTTTCAAACATTCATTTTCTAAAGCAGCATTTTCGAAGATTCACTCTTGCTTTCCCAATAGGCAAAGCTTTGAAGGGGGGGGGGGAATCAAGCGCTTTATGGCAGATTCCAATCGACTTTCTGTTATGCATGTACTGCAGAGAGAGATAAATTGAATCAAGAAGAGGATTACTCAAGATTCCATCTGCAATTTGTTTCTTTGCCAAAAACGCAACTTGAAAATTAGTCACAATTTTTGGTTATGATATTACTGAACTACGATTTTTTGATGGTAAATGCTACAAATATTAACTTTTTGCCTACTTCCAAAAATGCTACTTATCAGGAAGACGTTTCAACACAAACTTAGCTTAGCTATACTGATTCATGAATTTCAGGGTACTAAATGTTCACAATCTCACCGCAACTTTCAAGTCAAACCGTTTGAAACCTCATAAAAGTATGATTTTGAAGTGGCATAGTTCCTCTATCCCTGTGCGTGGAGTACTAGCCGATAAAGTGCCTTCATAAAGCGCATGTTCTCCTCTTTCATGCAAAATTGACCTTTTTTAAATACGTTGAGAAAGCAACGATTATAAATTTTGGAAAATGGTGCAGCTCAATTTCGAGCACACCGGAACAATATTGCATCAACAATTTTTTGGGCTTAATTACCTCGACTGGAATTTCAAGTGCATGGGGTCCAGAAACAGAAACATGCAACTTATGATCGAGAGTATATATCTTTCAAAAAATTCAAACTACTTCACCCCGTCATGATAAGTTCTGTATATGGCAAACATCAAAAAATGTAATATGTAAAAGATGGAGCTCTTGCCTTGGCCGCAGTCTGATTGTTGTGAAATAATTTCTGCATTTCATAGTTCCAAGTGCATGCGACACCAACATGACGTCGAATGCATCGGCCTAATTCTACGTCTTCATGTGTGGTCAGTAGATGTTGCAAACATGACTCCAGATGCGGAGCTAACAACCTGAACTACGTCTTTATCACAGAAATTAGCTTTATTTAAGAGCGTATGCCATACCGTAACGTTTCTCTGCTCATGACCACTCCAGGACCCCCCATACAATAATTGTCAGTGGATCCTAATGCAAGCAAACCATATTCGGCACTATTGCCCAAACCAGCTTGACCAATGGCGTGGGCCCTGATGAGATAGAATCATCTTATGCTGCACTTCCACTTGAGAATGAATACGAGTTCGATGCTGATGCTAACCTGGATGAATCCAGGGATCGTAGGAATTTTTCTAGTTCTTCACCACGCACGTATAGGTCATCATCAGCTCGTAGAAACCAGTCGAACTCGTCCAGCTGCATGGGAAAAAAGGTGTCATACAATCATCATAAATAAACCAGCTAGTTTAGTGGATCCGTTTCGTTTAAGCACGCATGTGAGAATAGTTAGCGCTATTAACGGATGCTTTTTATAGATTTGTAACGGATTGGATGCTTTGTTGCGTAAGATACCTTTTAATTTTCGAGGTCGAATTACAGTGCTCATTTTCACAATTTCAGCAAAGCAAATTTCCAACACTGATGCGATTATCGGGGGGGCAAGCGTTATGGAGCAAAGTTACGCCGCATTACCCTGCGGTATATCCTGAGGGCCAATTGCGTTGCGTCGCCTTCAATTGCTCAGGAGTAACGCTGCTCCTGCCAGCGGATTGAGCCATTCCCTGTTACCGACCAGATTTCAAACTGTATTAATGCAATAAAGACAACAAAGAAGACTAAATTCAGAAAATTCAAAACAAAATAGATGAGTTTTAGGGATGAATCAAAGGCTCATTCTGGAATGATCCAATACTGGATATTGAGTTAAAAGTGTTCAAGAGAAGTAGAACACGAGAATTAGAGAAAACGGATAGAAATTTTCCGTCAGTAACTTCCCAAGAAAAATTACTTCCTCAACTTTTACTTACTCTTGGATTGCTTTGCAGACACTCCTACCTCATATTCTTTGTTCGAAATGCGTATATCATTCACGTTTTGATCTCTTTATCTATGAAGGATGAGGAAAATGACTCAGTAGCACTAGCTCCTCTGCGACTGCAATTAGGAGCGACGCAACGCAAAGGGCCCTCAGGATATACCATAGGCAAATGCGGCGTACCTTTGCTCCATAACGCGGCGCCGCCCGATTATCGAAACATATTAGACAAACGATCCGTAATGGAGAACTTCAAGTGAGAGGTGTGGGTGTAGGACACACTTTCCCTTGCAAAACGAAATCGAAAATGAACGAGTCCCTCATTCAGCAACTTTTTCTTGCATCGAACACACGCGGTAAACAATATAAACAAGAGGACGTCATTGAACTGACAAAAAGACCCCAATCGCTCATGATTTTCTATCAGCTGGTTGGAAATTTGTTACACCGATCAGCAGTGGATCTGTACCTGGCAAACAATCATAGACCCCGTTCACCGTTTGATAAACAGCGTCGGCAGGGCCATTTTTCAAATAAAAGCATGAAGGCGAGATGTATACATGTGTTCACGCCCCATAGGCCCCCTCGCTACTCTTACGACCAAACTAATATGAGAATTATTGAACAATGGCAAGATCGACGACCTTCGACATCAATGTCATAAGCGATTGTCGGGCGTGAAAAAACAGGTTTCACAACTTGTTCAAACTTTCAATGGGCGGAAAATCATAAAAAACTATGTGCCCTTCTCTCGATAATTATACGCAAAATGTGAACGCAAACACAGCTCCAATCAATCATTAACAAATTGAGCTTACATAATTTTCGGCCATCCACTTTACCATGGCAAAGCTCTTCTTTTGCGGTGGATAGGTATCGTCGACGCCTTTCAAGCGGATAAGTGGTAGATCCGGGTGGATAGTTTCGGTGTTTTCTGCCACGAAGAACAACACCTAAACATGGTCGCAGTACTGGAGTTTTGAACCGGATGTGTGTGAAAGCAGAAAAACACCAAAGCAGCGAGTACGATGCAACACATTCAATTAGCAAAATGAGCGTAAAAGGCGCGTACTTTGCCGGGGACGTGTTTCGCCCATGTCTTCCAAACGTTGTAGGCGCGTGTGTCGACGTACTTTGCCGCTGTCATGATACCCATCAGAATCAGACCAGTCCGCTGCCGTGGTCCGACCAGCTGCGCACATTCCGACGATGATAACGAGTGCCTTTGCAATCGTGCAACAGAAGATACACAATAACTAAAATACCATTCCATTTAATTCAGAAGCACCGCGCACCCAGTTTGAGGGTGGTAGCAGGGGCCCTAACTAAGTAATCGCCCAAATCCCGCTGCAAAAGATGAATTCCAAAGCGAGAAAATTACTCAAGAAGGTGGAAGCGATCAAGGTGACTCCGCCCATCAACATAGGTGGTCCTGGAGAAACTGAGTTCGAAAATAGGTTTAAGGTAAAAAGAAATGCAGAAAACCTGATAATTATGATGAAAAGTAATATACGACAATTCCACATACTTTAGCTCAATTTTCAACTTATCAAGTTCAGACCGTACACGTCAATGGGCGGAGCCACCTTTACTACCTGTACCTTCTGGAGCAATTTTTTTGCTCCAAAATGCATATTTTGCAGTAGAATGTTAGCAATTACCTAATCAAGAATTTTGCTATACAGCCTCAAAATCTCACCACCCTCAATTTAGACGTGCCTTTGTAATAAATATAAACTCTCGCAAAAAACCTCCAAAACTCACGTTAATGATAATCCAAGTAGAGTACCGAGCAGTGTGAGAAAGACGGGTCGTGAAATTGGCATACTATAGGACTGGAAAAGTGAGAAGTTAGTACTTAGATAGTAATCTAGATGTAGATGAAAAACATTCAAATAAGGCAATGCCCGCGTCTAAACAAAGCGTGCAAAATAGAAAACATGTTCTCAGTTCTCTAAGTGATAAGTTTTGACATCAGTATCAACCTGGACGATGACAATTTTTTGTTTAATCGCTTGAAAACTTTATTTTAAGACGAGCAAAGCCCGTTTCAGTCGAAGTTCATACCCACACTTGTCTTCGTCAAAATTTTTTCTTGTATCAATATTTCGCTCTCGCCGGAGACACAAATCAAATTCATACAAAATTTCTTTGCGCGTCGTCACGCACAGTGTGTGGGGAGCTTTATAAAAAAAAGCAAACATGAATACGTACGAAAGAGAAAATAACATCGATAGATTACACAAGATGACATATATAAGTATTTGCTTTTATTGATTTTATTTTACTACGATTTTTGAAGATGCCAAAGCATTTTATCAGTTGATACTAACCAAGAAATTTATAGAAAGAAAAGCCAAACAAAAGGAAATAATACTCAAAATCAAAGATTTTTTTTGGTTCACTGTACTCACCCCCTTCAATCTCATTTGGTTCTCAATGATGATTGATTGAGAATTACTTCTGATGTATCAGCTCCTAGACGACTGGGGGTCAACCCAACAACACCGTGATGACGCCGTCTTCGATGTGTCGTTCCTGTACAGTTGCGCAGCCTGGAATGATTTAACAACATTTCAGACAAAATATACATAGCGTCAACGAGCGGAAGGGCACATCTCTCGGGAAGCGACGACGACGACGACGCATACACTCACACACACGCCTTGTCAAAACAATGGCGCGTGTATGGCTCCCGCCGCGCCATCAAAGGAAGAAGAGCTGCGTGTGAGAATAGTGACACGCGCGACCACACTGCTGCAGAATGATAAGGTGATGTTAGAGGAGCGTAGCGCAATATGCGCGAACCACGAGTACGACCTCGAAATAGCACAGAGAGTCTCAAACGTATGTGTGCGTGTGGTGCGGGCTGACTCAGTCCTAATTTGTGAGGAGGACTGAATGCTGAAATTGCAACAAAACTGTCAGTCTTCGTCTTTTAAAAGTAGACGTACCAAAACTTTTTAAGAAGTCCAACACCGGGAAGATATTGTAGAGTTTAAACGCAAAGACCTATGGCAAAACGAAACCAATCTTGGACATAGCGACTAGTCTGCTTATCCGGAACAAATAGCTCATCCCAAAGAAAGAGCATCAATTTTACGATAACGTCCCGCTCATGAAACCCTTCCTTACTATCACAACATAGACAGGCCGTGCTAGGAGAAGAGACGAACAACCCTTCAGACACAAAATCTCCATCGGTTCATCAATAACTAAGGATTTCTTCATACACAAACATAGCCGGAGTAGTCAACACTAGATCATTTGGTTTTTTCATTCCAATCATTACTCAAAAAACGAGGAGTTACGCAAATTTCCAAAAAAAAAAAACCATTTTGGCCTGCAGCCTCTTAGATATTCACCAAAATGGTCTTTTTTCTCAGAATTTGCGTAACACCTCGTTTGTTTGAGTGATGAGCTGTAAGGGAAATCTCCAAGTGACCTAATGTTGACTAATTCAGGTACGTCTGAGTTCTATGAAGAAATTCTTAGTCATCGTCTAGGGAAAATCCATTGGCTTAAAAATTCAAAAAAACGTGATCACTGCAATAATCCAAGAAAAAAAGGGGTTCAAACAGAGATAAATGAGTAGAAACAAGCCTATTATATCTATGACACAACAGCAGAAAGAAAACCAAATGAAGATTACACAAATTCGTATCACTTACTGTCTAGTTATAGATTGATTGCCGAAATTAGTGGATGTCCGAACAACCATGAAACTTGCATAGTGCGTAGTTTATCGCGGACTTGCGGCCATAATCTCAACAAAAAAGCCCCAAGCACTTGCACGCGCGGCGCTCACTCCCCGACAGATCCACATGGATTCTCGGGATGCACTTTACATTACAATATGGTCCTTCTTCACAGCGAAAGGCCTATTGAACATAAAGTATGAAAGAATTTCTCCAAAATATACAAGAGATTGTTTAAGGGAACAAAAAAAAAAGAAGAATGAAAATCGATGCTAGTTATTGAAGTATCAGTTATCAATTGATCCATAAGTCTTGCACAAAAATTTCTGATAAATAATTTTTCTAGTGACAACAGATTCCTTCAATTCATTACTGCTCAAAAAGAGAAAATCGTGCATTTTCTGAAGAATTCTCAAGTGAAAATCCATATTGGCGTATCATGGTGATACAACTTGATAAATAGAAAATCAAATCGTATATTTTTGAGCTATGGCCTTAAAAAATGCCAAGCCGCAAAGAGTGCTAGAGGGCCCAACAAGATTTGATTTTACTTTTGATTGTAGCCGACTTAAATTTCTTCAACCGAAAGGAGTTGGTGCTGATTTGATCTACCTATGAATTTAATGATTTTGGGGGTTTTTCGACTTTTCTTGTCCATTAAATAACCTCTACTATGCGTGGCAGATTGAAACAATCGTTATATGTTAAAAATATGGAAAACAAGATAAAATGTTCTTCTAAGCGTTTTTGGAGCAAAAATTTTATATTTGCGCAAGACTTATGCAACCAATATAGACTTACTAAAAAAAAGGATACAAATATTGTTAATAGTGAAAAAAAACAATAAAACAAAGTCTTGCTCAAAGCACCATTACTTTCCCAAATGTAAGAGAGGATTAAGCTTCTACCCAAGAGAGTTCGAGTCACTAGGAAAGAAATGAAAAATAGCAAAGACTACATCACGTGTGGATTTGCGGCTGAACGTTCTCACTAGATCACGCGGATCATTCTCTTACTTTCAGTTGTACGAACGAGCGGAGAAAGGGGGGAGGTATGTACATCGTGACATGGTACGATCTAGAAACTCAACAAAAACTCGTCGAATGAAAGTTCCACGAAAATCCATGGGAAGAAGCTGTAAGCAGTAATTGATAAGTTGTCAATGAAATCTATGGAAAAATGTGCAACAGGTGGTGGCGATTTGTCAAAAATGCAACATTCACTAGCGCTTACCTCTGGCAAAACATCAATTAAAAAAAGTGTAATTAGACGCAGCAATTAGCTCTCTTTATTTGTAGCTAATGAGAAACACGATTTATAGACTGAAGACTGCACCTTTGCCACATGCAAAAGTAGCACAGTGAAAGACTATTCTATTGCTATGCAGAACTGGCTTGCAGAACTTCGTTTAATGTGGTATTGAAAAAAAGCCCATTAGCAACCAAAAATCTAATAAGCATGCCGTTCTCGAAACAAAGGATACAAAACTCGATGAGGAAGTTAGTGAAGTGCATTTACATTCAAAAGAAAAAGAATATCAATTCTAAAGGAATGAGGGGAATAGGAAACTTTTTATCAGGAATTTTATGACGGAACTAGCAGAGCAGGAAAAGACTGTTGTATTAAGTTGTTCTAAAACGTTTTGGAATAAATGAAGCTGTTTTTGTCCTACTAGCAGACTTAGGGTACCATTTGTTAGAGTAAAGGGAGCAAGTTCCAAATCCGCTTAATTCGTAATCTAGGTGAAACTTGGAGCCAAAAATTAGAATTTTTGAGGTACCCTGAAGATCGGATCTCTATCCAGAAAATTTTTACAGACCTCCAATTTGATCATTACGCAGCAGACACACAGTAGCCAAAAAATGTACTCGGTGGTTTTTTCAAAAGCTCAAAATTGAGGAATAAAATGCTCCGAAAATGCAAGAATGTCACTATTTTGAGTTTTTATATTAAACTCGGTTCTTCTCGATTACCAAAGCACGAGCAGAGGTAAATAAGGCTAACAGCTTGTTTTTTTTTCTGAAAGGTTCACTTTTAGGACAACCTAAGTTCTTTGATGGTATGCGTTTCTGTGCGGAAAGTTTAGAATATGCTCATAATAGACTCTGAAAATCTTTTTGGCATTTAAGTTGTGGAGATGTCTTCCGAGTTGAATAAGTCCAAGTCCAAATAAACGAAAGATTAGAACTGATAGTTTCGCGCAAAATTGTTTTAAATGTGTAGAAAGTAATGACCTATCGAAGGGCTTATGAAGAGCAAAAAGACTTAAGAAAAGAACTCATCTGGTATTTAAATCCTACTTGAGAATTAGCCAATCCATAAACATGACTTGAAATCAGCGAAATTTTCGTAAAATGCTTCATTAAAATAGCTTCCAGAAACATAGACACGAGCCAAATCTAAGGACTACTCAAACATTCAATTCAAAACTCTTAGTACTTTTTGTCAGTGTACAAAACTGCAAGAATGTACGAACGTGAAGAAATTTTGACGAGAAAAAAAAAACGCAGAACTTGATTTGACACCGCAGTCGATGGAATGCCGAGCAATTTGTCGCAATTTCGAACATCTCATTCGCATTAGCCACTAATCACATAAAGCAACGTTAGCCTTAACAAAAAAATGACGTAAATGAGATAAAAGGTCTTTTTAACATTTAGCCACGAAAAAATTAGCAGATTTGCCCTAAAATCACATCATTATCGCAGTAAATGACAGCGCTTCGTCATCATGAATAAAGTTGTAATCGATAACATACACTCCACATTGCACAATACGTAAAATATAAACATTTTCGACTATGAAAAAAGGCGCAATGCATTGTATAAACAAAGAATGATGTACGCATGAAAATAACGAACGTCGATCAAAAGTAGGCTGGGGGGCTGATGACAGTTTTGTACGACCCAATTCTTCGAAATCGATGTGATGGCTCGAAGGTGAAGGATGATTAGGGGAATTATTAAAGATTTCTTAGAGACTCTGTTTACTCAACTGAAATACAAAAAAAAGTGAGTAGTGAAAGGATAATAATTCATGAACTTACGCCATTTATCATTTGGCAAATGAACAGAGATCAATCAAAGAAGAAGAAGAAGTCATCTGTAGAAGAGAAAAATGTAAGATTTCTTTGCCAAGACTGCAAAAAAATACAATCGAGATGGCTCAAAGGCACCCGCTCTTGCAGCGAAACAGATTGATCTTAGCGCTAGTTCAGCTAGACCGGATATCGAAAGGTGACAGATTAAAACACTCAAAAATGCTAATGATGCGAAGAACGTGTACGATGTTACAGCGGATTTGCTGAGGAGCTAAAAAGGTGTCACCTACAGATGCCACGAGGGGGCGAGGGGTGGGGGGGAGAGGGTGGAATGTAAAAAATATTATTAGTAGAAAATTATTTTGGAGGCTTTGGTTGCAATGAACTCCTTATCAATATTAATAGGAAAATGAAATAAACTCTGCAGATGGCGAGAAATATTTTTCAAAAATTTGCAAAAATATCGATTTATAGCAAGTATTTATATGTCAGAATATGGCAAAAGCATCGTAATTAATTATTAGGTAGGCAGATAATTTCTGTTACATTTTTATTTTTCATCCGAAAATTCTTATGTTTAAGGAGTGTTGACGGGATGCAAAGGTCTAATTTTTAATTTTTTTACTTTCTAATTTTTAATTTTAATTTTTTCCAATTTTTCAGAATTCCACAAAAAACTGTAACAGAAATTATCCGCCAACCTAATACATATGAACTGGAAAGTGAACTAAAGGAAGAATTCTAGGAATTTTCCAGCTACAATGCTCTTGAAACAGAATCTGTGACCGTGAAAGCAATTGAAGAGAACTTTCAACCTCGAACATGCTAATCGAAAAATGACATTTGCAGTTCTGCGGAAACTCAATTATAAATTCCTGACCAAAAGTATCACATTAAGCAACTACATTAGGAGAAAAATTTCAGAAAAATTTGCCAATTTGAGGAGAAAAATGACATTGAAAAATACTACCAAGTTAATCTAATTTACAGGAGTAGTAGAACCAAATGTCATGGCGAGCTACAGTCATATAATGTGTAATTGATATGTGCAACCGCACATCGTACGCAGCACTCTACGACTTTTAAGTTACAAACACTCACTGAAGCCACTTTACTAGAATAACTTTCAGAGAAATGATAGGCTACGCTAGTTTTCAAGTACCTAGGCATAGAAACAGAAGAATACAGAAAGTAGTTAGCAGCTTTCAAGCACACAAGGCGTAAGATAGCGCGCGTGATGTGCAGTACACATGGTAAATCACAAATGACTAAAAAAATTGACTCATAAGGAAGCAAAAAAATGTGCAGCTTTAACAAATGTTAGAAAAAAGGTATGGCTTCAACAACTTGTATGTCTAGAAAAACCTAAATAATCTGTATAAAAACTATCAGTGTAATTCATAAATATATTAACTTCAAGAAAAAAAAACTTTTTTCCAGCACACGCGCGGATAAAATCCATATGAAATTATCAAATGATTTTTTATTGAGATTTAAGGTTTTTTGCAAGCTTACGTGCTAGAGAACCACATCCGGAAAGCCTTAGCACTAAAATCCAATTAATGGGCACCGAAAAAAATGCACGTGATAAACTGGCGTAGAGTGAATTGCATTAGTCGAAGCTATCAAAAGCCAAAAGCTGATTCATCTTCTCTCACAACTTAGCGTCGTAATAAGATAAACGGTTGAACGGCGTGAATTAGAGTGTGCGCGCGCCGCACGAGCGCGGCAACGGAGGAGGCACAGGATTTGCACTCTGAGAAAGAGGAGCGCGACGAGCGCTACGTGTGAAGATAAGAAGGGCAGAGAGAGGGAGAAACGACAACGATGAGGGAACAGCGACGAGCGCAACGCTAGGGAGGAGGATAGACGCACATGGGAGGGTGGAAAAACTCGTGAGGAGAATGGTTTATAGTGGTCGTACGACGACGACGGTTTGTTTGACATACCGACGAGTGCGTGTGTGGTTGCGGAGAGAACGCAGAAGTGTGGAGCATTGTCCCTGACCATGGACGGACACACCATCGACGACGACACGAAGGGCGACGACGACGTCCAAGGCGCAAATTACCATCCTTTCCATTCTTTCCGAAGCCCCCCTCTAGTAGCCACGGCGCACGGTCTGCGCCCCTTTGCGTCATACCCCTTCCAGCAACCGCTATGCGTCACAATTGCACTTTGCAAGACAATGCACCTCATTCCGACGGATGCAGGTGTGGATGAGTGAATTCAAATCCTCATGGCTGCACCATATTGAATACCATACTTGGGAAAAACGAAAGCTACTAAACCTGTGAAAATAAACCAAAACTTATATTAAAAAAGTAGTTTTTTTTTTAACTTGAGAGCAGCAAACTCTTCAAAATTCTGTACTTCATACATTCATGAAAAAAAAGATAGTTTGAAAACCATCGGAGCAGAGGAGAAGAAAATAATGGAGGGCGGGGAAAGGAGTCTGTCAATGAATGAATGAGAAAGAATGTCGCAATTTCTGGAAATTTTGTGTAGCAGAGCTGCGTGAGTAACTTGTTCTATGTAATTCATGATCAAAACATTTTTCACAAATTGTTTGACCAAACTTGGGAACTTCTAAGTTTGTCCTCCCCCCTCCCCTCCTAAAAAAAATTTTTTTAACCACTGTGGTAAATTAGTGTCAGTGACTTTCGACACACTAGTTTGGCTGATTCCCGTTTTGACAGAGCAAACCGCATAAGAATTGAGCAGCTATTATTTGCCTTGGATTTTTGTAAGGAACCCGTCATACTTCGCCGAAAAAAGCTCAAAAGCGCCCAGAAGGGCCCGAAAAAGCCGGAGAAAGCCCAAAAAGCCGAAAAAAAGCCCGAAAAAGCCCAAAAGCGCCAGAAGGAGCCAAAACGCCCCTTGTGTTTTGACGCTAAGGTATGGTGTTGATTTCGCAACCAAGTCTTTTTGCTTCATTTTCTGTCGTCTGCACATCAAAATAATGTCAGGATTCTACCAAATTTCGTTTCTGTGTTCCGGCTCTTTCGGGCCTTTTTCGGCTTTTTTGGGCTTCTTTGGCCTTTTTTCGGCGAAAGATGGGTCCCTCAGCAGTGAAGCATAGTTACGTGTATTGTATTCAGTAAGACTCCATAACTACTTTCGACTTTTTAAATTTCGTCTCGTTGTGTGAAGTTATATGCACTGATGAGTAATTCTAGTACATAAATACATAAAACTTTTGTCTACTTAGCAAAGAACAATAACATTTGTGCTCTGTAAATTGTGAGTTTTGCCAGTTGTATGCGAAAATTCGTCACATCTGAGCGCTGAAGTTGTTTTTGGAGGCAGTCTAAATCGCTTGAACTGGCCGACCATAAATTAATAAAGGTATCAAAATCAAAAGGCACCAGCTCTACCTTTTAAATTTAAAATTATTTCGCTCTTTGGAATCTAACTTCTCGCAAACTTGATGGCAACTTGGATGTGCATCTATTCCGCAGTATTTTGGCAAAAAAAAATTTCCACAACAAAGTTAACGTATTGATTCTGAATGGACCACTTTTTCTTCGATGACACCAGCTTATCCTGAAAAAGGTTTCAGAATTGCTTCTCAGCCTATTAGAATAGATTCGAATTTCCCATTTCCATGTTTGTAATTCTCAGGCCCTCTAGAAGAGTTTATCAACGCTTATTCAAAAATCTACCCATCATTCCTTATTTCCCAAGAAAAAAAATAGTGCATGAACCTTGAAATTCAAGCAATCTTGTCAAGTTTTCCGTGAATAATGTCACTACATAACCTCGACTAAGAATTCGCAGTACCACCGTAAAGGTCAAAATCCTCGAGTACAAAATAGGTAACTGTTACCGCCAAGATGCACTTCAATCATTTACTGCGGGTGGCGCAAAATGTCACTCGTAAGGTTAAGTGGTTGCCATAAAAACCTAGTCTGCGTTCCGTTCTTTTCGAGTAATTCTGCCCTAGAAGGATGCGGATACGAATGTTCATGGTAATCTTTAAAGTTTCTGTGGCTTAGAGTCCACGTAAATCAAAAGCGGGTCAGTGTTTCACAGATACAATGTAATAAGGACATGCACCACTAACCATAGATGCGTCCGTATTGTCGGCTGGGCATGGATCGTAACAAATGCTGCGATCCGAGATGGAAAAAATTCGAGGAAAAGATCAGTAGAGGCGTTGAAAGTGATAGATTTGTACTACAAGTGTCAGTTGTCAGTGTTTTTGTGATTATCCTGGGCAGCTTATACAAATGCTGAGTTAATGAACATTTCGCTGGTTAGATAGGTGCCAGACTAAGCGAATTTTTTGTCCAGCTGCAAAAGGCGCACAGAATTAACGTTAATTCTGCGCGGGACCTGCAGCTGAAGCAGGCAATCGAGCGCGGATTTAACGTTAATTCTGTGCGTCTTTTGCAGCTGAACAAAATAGTCGCTTAGTCTGGCACCTTAAGGAAGAGAAAGTTAGTTGCAAGATCCATACTATAAAAATTTGATCCGAGAATTTTTTACCCTTCTAGTACCTTTGATGTCAATATGTCGACCTGTAATCTTTATTATAGAAAATTAGACCATTTTCTTAACCTCTGACGTTACAGCGAATAGCATGGTAAATAACAATTTTTGCTATCTACTACACTATTCTCCTACTTTTCTTATTTACCACCGTAATTTATCAAGCCGCAAGAATGGAAGAACATGTGACTGCCACTGCAATAATTGCCTTTTTTACATTTTTAATCACATGAATCACAAGAACATGAACACAAATAGAAAGAAGAAACAAACATTCATGACGAAATAGGCAAATAATTAGTCCGACGTCATCTACGTTCTCCAGAATTTTTTTCTAGAACTAGACATTGATCGGTCGATATTACAACTTATATCAGTAGCGGTCCCAAAATTCTCATTAGAAGCGCGATAGCATTTTTTTTACCAAAAAAAAGTTGTGACGATAGCCACGTTGTTTATCACAAATAATGTTTTTTTTCAATGAAATTAAACCAAAGGTAACTGAAGGTAAAAAAGCTATTTGCACAATGATGCGAGCAGACGAATCTTGAGTATCTTGCGACCATTTCTCGACGTTCCTCCCCCCCCTCTTTCCTCCCCCTCAGGTTTGCCACAGTGGTATAAGTGATTAGCAACTGAATCTATACATGCTACTCATTGATCTTTGATCTATTCTAATGATATTGAGCGAAAACTAATCTGTTTGCCCATCGTGAGCTCAACGATTAGTGTCGGCGTCAAGACTCACGACCATTCCAAAGCTGATTACATAAATGGTTTTTCGAGGGGGGGGGGGTAGCGGGCAGAGTTTCAACTAAAAGACATTAAACATTATAATTACAGTAGGAAGTGAAACATCAATACTAAAATAAAATTTTGATTTGAGTGGGCAATAAAGTATTACCCTGGTGGCCATTATTTGTATATATACTAATATAATATATAATATATTTTTATTCAAATGGAATCGCGGTGATCATAGTACACGCGAAGAGTTTATGGAAACAGTGCCAATTTTTGATGCAATGTTACCGATTTGCGTGGTATGAGGAAAAGAAATTACAAAAATGAAAATCAATAAGATGACCAGAGAGATGATTTCCAAAGGCAATTGTTTTTTCTTTCAAAAATACTTTACTCCAGGAACGAGAGAAACCGGATTTGCCCTGGAACTGAGTAATTTGGGGCGGAACAGCTATGGATTTTTGAGCCTTAGGTTTGACGGTGGTGGTAAGACCAAGATTTACAACTGGAAAAACAACAATGTCATTGCAAAAGTAAATTTAAGGACATAGCAGGCTTGGAAATATCTGAAAGGACAAGGTACTTATAAGAATGCGAAAATAGCAAGAGAACTGATGAACTTTTGCAAACTAGAATCATCAGGGAAATCTACGCTGTTAATGACTACTACAAGCAGTTGGAATAGCTAAAAGTGAACATAAATGAAGTTGGTGAACAGGAAGACTTGTAAGCAGGTGAAAAACAAACTTAGAGCATGAAGTGAAACTCGTTTGGGAGTGTACTTCTAAACGGATTAGACCGCGCTAAATGCGCTATAATCCGAAAATCGTCGAACGCGAAGTGAAGTAAGACGATTGGGGCGAGTTTACGCAGGATTAAGTAATGAGCAAAAAAGTTGAAAGGTAAGAAAGTGGATTTTGACGCTATACATGAAAAACGCGAACCTATAATCGTGTTAGATCCTCAGAGGAAATACCACAAGATCCTGGAATAAGAACTCGTTAGGGACCCAAAATCAAAGGAAGAAGTGCAAATTGTGGAGCAAGGGAAACATTCAACACAAAATCCTCAATCAAAGAAAATACTTCTCACTTGTAAACTATATTATGGAAAATAGGAACGTGCATTTGCAATAAGAACAATTTATTACGTTCGTATTGTGGCCAACGTTTAGTTTAAACAAACACCACACACGAATGAATTTATGGCTTTGCAGAAGGCCCGATGCACATCTACTGCGTCAATGCACGTCGCATGACGCGAGCGAAGTTTCATCGCCGTGTGCGCACGTCGAGTGTCACCGGTTATAAAAATCGACTAGGGCGAGAAGTCAGTTACCTGGGGCTTTTCGTTACTCTGTTCTTTTTATAGTTTTATTTAGATCAAATGATTACAATCTTATGCTTGGATCTCGAATCTTCGTTAAAAGCAGTCAAGCAATTCTTTCACTTTTTTCTTGATCAACAAAGCTTCAAATTGTCATCCTCATTCTGATCATTATCGCTAACTATTCATACTATGGCTTAAAACAAAGACTGTCTGCTGCCAGTCATCGTTACCGTATCATTAAATTATCACAAAAGATTTTTTGTTGCTCATTTTTGTAAGTCAAAACTCGGATAGATACAGAAAGAGAATGTTTACAAATCAGATTAAGATAACTTTTCTGATAAAAGCAACGAACATTAGATTTGAGCAACAAAAAAGATACTGACAGGCAATGATATTTTGTTTCTGAGACTGTCTACGTCATTGAACCAAGAAGCAAAATTCATTATGTTGCAGTTAGAATATGTCAAGCTTGAATTTTTTCAAAGCAATTTTCCTGAGTCTGTCTCAGTAAATCAACTTTGTCTTCTTGTATGATCTGCTGAGAATGGTTTTGATGATGTTTTGAGGCGAAATGCTGCGATTTTCAACGGTTTGGGCAAATATAATCACATCAAAGAACCTTCAGTCTTCCACGAAGAAAACCATAAAAACCGCTAAGATACTGTAAGAAAAGAAAGTGCTTAAAAGGATTATATGCTGAGAAGACTGTACATGTATGATAGCGTAATAGTCACATCTTGAGAGTGTCTGCACCACTCCATTTGGTATGTGTGATGAGTAAGAAAACTGATAAGAACGTTCCACAAGGACACACACACTCGAAAGTGCCACGAGTGCTTTCTGAGAATAACTCGGCACAAACTCTCCACAAAACTCTATCTTTTCTAATCTTGTCCCTTCGAGTGTTTGCGAAGAATTTTTTCTTTGCGAGTTTGGTTCGAAACGCAACCTTGCCACCATGGCATACGTTGTTCAATTTTTCTCTAGTTATAACACACATCATCCGTTCATAAATCATTCATAAAATCTCCTTTCGTCATGATGAGTTGGGCGAATTTGGGCGAATTTCTCTGTACATCATGCATTCTTCCAGAGCATTTAATAATATGGACTTGCCATCCACTTCGAAAACGTCACCAACTATGGGGACACATACCACATACAAACGCGAAGAGGATATGCAAAAGATGGTTCAAGGCTTGAAGGATCTGATGGCGTCACGGCGTCCTCCAGTCAATCGTAATGTGCTAAAAATCAAAATGGAATATCGCGGGGAAAAGCGATGTATCGAGATGGATCGACCTGTGTCGATGAAAGCGCTGCAGGATCATTTGCAAAAGAAATATGGTAAACATATCAACATGTATTATCAACAAGGAAAAGGCGAAATAGTGGTGTCTATCAAGAATCAGGACGAGTTGGACCGGGCCGTTGAGGTATATATTTTGTTTTTTCGAAGACTTTTCTGCTTCTTTGTTTGCCAGTCATTTCGTATTCTGCTTTCACTATTCTAAGGGCTTAAAAAGTGTAGTATTCATACATTTTAATGTACAGTATACGTATCATCAGCTCCCAGAGTCATGTGGAGGCGGGTTGCGGACTTTCTCTGACTATAAAGGAAACCTGTACAACCTCCACTTTCTGCATTTGACTCTCTCGTTAGTTAGGCTTAACCTTATAACCGGGAAGTCCGCAACCCGCCTCCACACGAAACTGGGAGACGATCATATTTTTTAAAGACTTTCCTGCATGCTCATGTTAGGAAAGGAAAGCAATGCTTATTATCAGACGCGTCTTGTTTAGCTGATTCTAAGTTCAACTTCCATATTGGCTGAGCGGTTTTCCGAAAGAAATTAGTAGGGTTTGGAAGTCCAAGCACAACTAACATCCAGACTTTTGACTTCACCCTTCTAACGGCTCGTAGCATCTTTTAGAAATCGCTCAGCAGACATGGAAGGTAAATATGGAATCCGCTCATCTAGACGCATTTAATGTGATATACATTTCACAATTCACCACTGCAACTTGGGATCCTTTCCTTTAGTAGAAAGTCGATGCTAAAATGTTCTCCAAAACAGTATGATGAATTCATGGACTACGCTGCAGGTGGTGGACCGCAATCAACAACGTTGTTTGCGACTTTTGCTTTCGAAACACCAACCTCTGGAAGCGGATGTGCCTGCTGACACCCTTCCCGACCAATCCGGAACTTACACCGGAAACATTGTCGAGGTTCGCTCTCCATCATATACATAATCATTTTTGCTTAATCAATAACTCTTGCGTTCATAACCAGTCAAAATGGGTACTAGAAGTAAATACCCCACTTATGATGCCAACTTTGAATGGAGTCGTTCGTAGCCTAGCAACATGTATTACGAAAACCAATTGCCAAACTTCCTTGTCGTCAAATTTGCGACAAAAAGGTCAATAGAATGCTTTTTCAGGTTCCTTATTCTATCAATTGTTCGTCATGTGGTGCCAGTCGCGTTTCATTCGCGGCTCGAAGTACAGGTGAGTCATCCTGCTCGAGCGGTGTGCAATGGGATATCGACGAGAGAAAACTTAGCGCTCAATCTCCACGTGCACCAGTTCACTGGAAAGAGGCGAAGTGTGTTATTTTTGCTTCTTTTTTTGCCATTACTTTTTTAAACGACGTTTTCGATTGTGCGTTTCTTATTGTGATTCTGTTTCTCCACGTATTTCGTTTTTGTTTTGACATTAATGTCGTCTTTTCTATTTGAATGCTGCTCATTTCCAGATGTATAGGCAGTGGTGCTTTCGGAAGCGTTTATCTCGCTTACGATGTCGATACTGGCATGGATCTTGCAGTCAAAAAGATACCCATCATCCCTGACAACAGAGAGCTCAGGCGCGAAGCGCAGGGATTAGAATTTGACGTGCAAGAATTAGGTATGCTCAAAAAATAAATAAAAAAGTAAGACTATGTTTCAAAGCCGTTCACTCCTTCTTAGGACGCCTTCAGCACCCAAGAATTGTTCAGTACCTGGGTGTGCAAAAAACCAGCGACAAAATACTGATATTCATGGAGTATATGACTGGAGGTTCGCTTAAGGACCATCTCGCGTTGGTTGGGGCTTTATCAGATCCTGTCGCAAGGAAATATACAGCACAGGTAGGGAAGCATTTCCGTTTGATTTTGCGCATTTTGACAATTCTATTTTGATTCTATTTTAGGTGTTAGAAGGCCTTGCTTTTTTGCACAAAAATCACATAATTCATCGCGATATCAAGTCAGCTAACATATTACGAGACTCATTTGGAAATGTCAAGATAGCCGATTTTGGCTCAGGTAAAAAGATGCAAAGTTTGGCAAGTCAACAAGGAGCTTTCCATAGCACAATCCACTACACTGCTCCTGAGGTGAGCAACATGAAAGCTTCTTCAAAATCTTTCTTTTTCTTAACTGCGTTATTATAGGTGCTACTGGGGAAGACGGCTTACGGGCGTAAAGCCGATGTATGGAGCGTAGGGGTGACATTGGTTGAAATGCTAACCGGTAAAGTACCATGGAAAGAATTTGAACCAATGGCAGCGATGTTCCAAATTGCTTATGAGGAACCGAAATTCAATGTGAGTTTTTTTCGCGGTAGTGTTTCAAAGAACAAACATCTGTGCTTCTTTAGCTACCCCCAACGGTATTGCCAGCAACAGCTGATTTGTGCAGAGTTTTGATGAATAAGAACTTCGACGAAAGGCCAATGGCTGCCGAAGTTTTGTTGAATCATCCCGCTTTCAAACTTATCCAAAGAAATCATATCCGCCCAAATACCTAGTATGTTGTTATATATCAAAGCTTCTTAGATAATAGTGTAGGGTTTGATAGATCGGGTAGTATGCCTTATAAAATTGTACAGCCATTCTGATATGCAACAATGTTCAAGCATTTTTGAGTTTTTTAGTTCTCTGAAATCACTTCCATTTTGAAAACTCATTCTTTAACGTATGCTTTTGTATTGTTTTGAATAGGTATATATCGATGCACATTCTTTTACATAGTTTTTCGAAAGTATACCTTTACATTTATTTTGGCTCCATATCTACTTAGACATTATTCATGCTACTTATCACTGCTATTTAGTTCTCGGTTGTGTCTCAATCCCTGTGATTTTATTCACTTTGCTCAGTGTCCATTCTAGTCGTAAATCACTTTGTTATGAATCATATCATATTTTGAATGAAGTTCTAAGTCTTTGTTGTCAAGGTAAGACTACGGTAAAATACCGAATATTATCTACGAAGGCTGTACACAATTTCGTTTTCGGAATTTGAAAGCCATTTACATCCACAATCATGTACTTCACATCCACAGTCATGTACTTCAGTGGTTTATTTTTCTTTGGAGGTTTTTATTTGAAATTGTTTGAACATTTTGTCTTTATTTTCATATGATTGCACTTTCAACGTCATTTCATTTCTTACGAGGGATAGTCACGCAGTCGAAGTGGTCAATCAGTGCATGATGCATATTGTTACTGAGAGGTTGGGAGGCTGATTCTAATTTGCCTTCCTTATAGAACGTTTCTGGGAAGGCTGAGCGTTTTGAAGAGACAAATAAAAGCGCAACTGGCAACAAACTCGCTAGGTGACCTTTTTAGCGTGCAAATGCAATGCATGAGTGTATTGTGAAGAGGTAGTTGGTTTTATTCATTGCAAAATGTGGTCTGACACTCGCTACTGCTAGATTTGCGAGCTTGTAGATTGTAATTGTATCGAATTCGTCCCCGATGCGTTTTTTTGCAAAAAAAAACACCGATAACTTTTTTGCAGGGGATTCTGCAGGTAAGGAGCGCAGTTTTGGAATTGGCGTTGTGAGCTCTCAGTAGCCATATGCAATGCTTCTTTTAGCCATTTAGAATTCGTGATTCCCCTGTTGGAGCTATAGGGCATTCGAAAAATCGTGACGATGGCGCGACCGCGCACGACACGCACACACCTGGCAACCATTTTCTTAATTTTCATTTCTACTCGAATGGTTTTTCTCCTTACATATGGCAGTATTTAGACATTGGAAGTGACTGAGCTAAGAGTCGAGGTGATGTCTTTTTTTATGAGTGTCTTCTGCTCTTGTAGGCGCTAAGACCGCAGTCAAATCCATCGTCCGATTTTATGGAATCATACTTCTTTGGGGCACTTGCGGACTGAGTTGTTCAGAAGTATTATACTTCCAGTCCCTCATTTATTTAGTCCTCTGACAATTAGGGCATTCACTAGACGTCTTTCACATCTTTATCAAGTTGCTCTGTGCTCAAAGTTTTCGATGCTTTCAAATTGCTTTTCTGCTATTCTCTAGCTCAAGCCTTCCGTATCTGAAAAACATGGAAACGCGGCGCAGCAACAGCTGGAATTTCTACATCGTCTTGGTGAATCATACCTTTTATATGTGGGAAACTGTTACGTACTTGTCATTCATGCTGGTGCGCGGAACCACAATAAATCTCGTCGATATACCAGTTATTGTGTAAAGGTCGCCTTATGAGAACTCGACATGTGTTTTCTGATTTGTTACATTGATTGTTTGATATTTCTTCTTTTTTTTGCAATTTGTTTGCTCATTTCGTTGAAATTAGTTATTTTCTTACTTTTACGACTAAAAGCATAACATCCTTTGCCTTTCGATTTATGATCGTACTTTGTTTTTCGTATCTGATGTTTTCTACGACAAATTCAAACTTTGATTCGCGCGTTTGCGTTTAACTTTCTTTCACCATCGCAGCTGTGCTCTATATGTAATTTTGAAAGAACACTGTAACCCAATGTTAGCTCTGAATTTTGTAAAATGCTAGTAGATTTCAGTTAATCTCTTATTTCTACTGCAGTGCTCAATTTTTCGACAAGCTCAAGTATTTGATAATCGGACATGCTTGAGACATTGAAGGAAACTATTGTCAATGTTCAAAATGAGATATCATCGGGGTGAGTGGAAATTGCTTGATTTTTAATTCTTTCCTATCAAAGTATAATTTTTTGTGATTTCATTTTACAGTGAGGTTAAGCTAAGAAAAGCTTTTGAGACATTGAATTTTGCACCCAATTTCGTAGATTATTGTAGGAACTTGCAGAATGTAAGGGTCATACAAAATGTTAGTGCAAAACTGCGTAATCATGAATGAAATACGGCAGATGGTCGAAAATAGCTGCGAAAAAAGGTCAAGATCAAGTTTATTGCAGGGTCGAGCGGCTTCGATTCAACGTGGCACCATCACTGGCAGCACAGCAAAAGTGAGTTCTTTGTAAATTAATATTTCACGTAGGTATAGATAAATACGAGAGTTAGCAAAGAAAAAGCGACGAAGGTAAAATTTCTCTTGCAAAGAAAGATCAGTTTGTGAGATAGAGAGGTCTGAAAGGGTGCAGCAGCATTGCGATTTTGGTAGCTTATCAAGTTTCTCGGCTAATATCGCTTACATCGAGAGATATATGACAATGGACTTTGAGAAACTTGATTATTGAACTTCTTATACTCATTGCATATCGGTTCCATTTATGGCATTTACCGTTTTATCTTCCAAGGATTGCACAGAATGAGTTTTTCTGAAATGGTCCATTTTTCTTGCGCGGTTACTCGACCAAATTTATCTCCTTTTGAGTACCTCAGGACCAAAATTCGCGAAAGCTACAATGTTTTTTGAACATGGGACAGAAGTTGTGTTTTGTAAGAATGTTACATCTTCCAAACCATTTCCTTGCAATGAAATTTGAAAAACTTTTCTGAACTTTTGACCCACCTGAGACCAAACCACTCACGCAGACAGCGCACAGAATATAGCTCAGTTAGATTTTGAGCGACAGTGATCCAGTCAAGCAGAATGGACAATAATTTTACGAAAATGGGTCAAGCGTTGTTAAGAATACGAATGAGGCAAAATCATATGATATGACTCAAATTGTTGTAGGATTGTGATGTAAACCGCGGTATGATGGTGAATCAAATTATTTTGAATTGTTCAAAGTATTGTCAGTTTCGAGTAGGAAACGGTGGTGAATATGATGAAAATGTGATTCCTTTAGATTCAAAAAAATGAGGACAAGCTGTAGTCTGTACATCGTTAGTGAGCGTGACAATTATCTTACGAGACAATCTAAAGCTATCCACATATAGTGCGTGATTGAAAGGGCAACGGAATATGTGGTTTCACAATATCAAATAAAAAAAGTCTTTTCCTATAGATCTTTCGAAATTCTTAGAGCATATCTAAGTTCTTTTATTATTATTTCATACTTTGACGATGTATCGGAATTGGGACAAAATTCAAATTCAGAAATCTAGCTCCCAATTTCTGAGTTTTACGTAATTGCCGTAAATGGAATGCTCGACTACCCAAATCACTAGCGATAGGGGTTATTTATGCGCAGCGCGTGTGCATCTGCATAAACCCTGCCAAAATATGCCCAACCTACACATACGCCCCATTTTTCTACATATTTTAGACGTAGCATGACCGTCGACGTTGAACTCGAAAAGTTGGTTTGAATATTTGTTGTGAATCAGTTGATGAAGTCTTCAACTCTTGAACTAGTTTTTCTATATGTCTTTTTAGATGTGTCTCAGATGCCGTCGACGAGATTGTGAAGACATCAGCTGGCAGCGATATGTTATTGAAGTGAGTTTTTTCTTATATGTGATTGTCTCAAATAAAATGAGAGAGTGATTTGGGAAAACAGCCATAAAAATGAATTCATTCATAAGTTGTCGGGTGTTTGTTTTTTTTACTTTGCATTACTGGACTGTCAAGTTTTTGTTACACTCTTTTTTGATGAAAAATGTTTGTAGAAACGTAACCGCCTCTGCTCCAGCCGAATCTAGAGGTAAAAATATTGCAGCGCAATTTTTTGTTTACCTCTCAACAAACTTTGCAAACACTGCACTGCAGATTCGAAATGGAATGAATACGAAATCTTTGAAAACCCATACCTTGACCTATCCTGCATGCCCCATATCTCTCGGGTTTTCTCGCCAAATCGACTCCTTGGCGGAAAATCCGGGTACATTTTGCAGAATTTTTCTTTTACGGTCTTAAAACGAAGATTGGGACAGCAGTATAGGGATCGGTACTATTTTCCATGAGAATCATGCTGGATTGATTGATGATTCGTGCAGAGACGAGAACAGCTATAGTCAGTCTGTATTAAATTATTATTTGATTATTTTGAATTTTTGATCAATATTTTATCGGTTAATAATGCTTTTTGGGCTTCTAACAGATATTCTGCGTCTGAATTTTTTTTTTTGAGTTCAGCAACCTAACCGCTAATTTGAATATGACCTTGGACTGCAAGCTAGTGGAAAATTGCTAATGTCACCGTTACAAAAGCATTCATGAGCCTTGTCCGAGAATAAGACATTGGCGCGCCTTTTTTAGACATCGTAAAAATGTCAGTGAGGAGGGTTTCTAAGGTCATATGTATATTTTGTTGCTTATTTTTTGAATTGAGTTAATAATGCCCTTTAAGCGCGTGAGAACAACATTTGAGTGGAATATATGTTGAAAGTCAATGTGAATTGGAAGCTTTTAGATAAACAGACTTTTGCAGATAATCTGCAGATACGGACAGTGTCCACTCTATAAAGAGCACTTTTTTGAAAGAAATGAGGAAAACCGGAACGAGGATCATCAGATCAGAAAACTGCCATTTAGACAATTTAATGCTTGTATCGAACTGGATATTCTTTGAAATGAGGTACTCCAATAAGGCATTGGTGAAGAAATATAATAGAAAAACTTTTTTATCGCAATCTCTGCAAAATTACTGCTGAAAATCCCCATTTTATGCGCGCGTGCTTGCCAATCAACTCTTCAAGTTTTTCTTTCCTCTTTCTTTTTTTTTCATCAAAAATTTTGATAGGGTCATAAAGGTTTTTTGCTGAACTGTAGCGAAGCACTTTTTCGATTCAACAGAGGCTTGCGATCTGCGTAAGAAACGAGAAACTCTTTGTTGCGCCATTTACAGCTTTCAAATGACCTCAGAATTGATTCAAGCGAAGATTGAAGTGGTAGTGAAAATTATGAAAAAAGTTCTTCATGATCGTTTTATTGAAATTTCTTTGATGCGCTAGTGAAAACGTCGTTGAAAAGGTAGGTACAGGAAACTCTGATAGTTTTTGAGAATCCCGTAGTGCTAATCGGCAATCGTCGCCGATCCAGACTTCCTTAAAAGGGCTTAAGTGGCGACGCGTGAGAAGAGATTTGTCAAGAGGTGAAGACAAGTTGTATGATGTGAGAAGGTACATAACGAATACACGTAAAGTTGGGAAGAGATCCAAGAGACGTGAGCTTGAATTACCCGAGCCCCGTTGCTGTCGAATAGCGAAAAAGTCGTTCCAGTCCGGATCATCATAGCCGCGTGTGTGGATGGTTAGTGTGCTAGTCATCGCCCCCTCGAATTAGCCGCTTCTAGAAGCTATCATAAACATTTTGTCTCTAAGAGTTGGAGGAATGAGGATGTGGAACTTCTTTTTCGGCTCCTTGATTATGGGATGAGTGCCTGGATCAGCTGGGAAATAGGAAACGATGGTTTTCAATGTCAATGAGAAAATTAATTGAGGAATGCGGAAATGAATTCCATTTCTTCTACTTGCTTATTTTGTCCATACATTACAGTTCTTATCATTATTTATCACATTATTTTGATGATATTATTTTCAATTGCATAAATTTAATGGCGCTCATAAATGTATATAAAAAGCCTAAAATTGTTTGTATACGAGCGAAAATGCAGCGAAAAAGACGGAAGTACGAGAATGAAGTAAAACTGTTAGCTTTTCTTGAAAAATAAGGTTCTAATGGCTTTGAGTTTTACACTAAGCACTGATAACTGTCGAGTTTTACAGCTTTGAGAGGGTAAAAGGTTCTAAATCCTTGTTTTATTATGTTGGTCTAGTCTTGCACCAAATATATGAACATCGTAAGCAGTCATTCATGATTCCAACGAATTTTTAAAATTAGCGTAGTTAAGAGGAATCCATGAGGTTTTCGGTAGTGCTTGAAACAAAAATTCATATTGAATATTATAGTGATAAAAGCTAATTAAGAGGAACTCGCAAATTGAAATTTCAGTAGAATTTGGAGTCTTTAAAAGTCGCTATGAAGTTTAAAAAGATTCATTCTTACATTTGCTTGTTTTACGACCTATACTTCTCAATGGGAGAAATTTGGGTAATTGGGTTGGTTTTCAATTTCTTTACCTATACGTTTCGTTTTTTTTTGTTTTTTAAACTATACGTTTAGATTTTTTCGAATATTCATATGCACCGTTACATAGAACGCTTACTTTATGTTAAAAAAATGTATAGCTCAAACTTAGACACTCTCAGAATTTTTTTAGCTGACGTTTAGCATTTCTTGGTGCAAAACTTTCGTGGTAACCTAATATTCAAATTCAAATTTTCAGAGCTGTGGACTATGGCAGATAATAGCGCCTTTTCCTGAAAACTGAATGCCACCAAAATCTTTTTTTTTTTTCAGAAGAGCCGCTAACGATTTTGCCTCACTGACCTGCTTTCTTTTTTTTTCGCTGACCTTTCGCCTCTTATACAACTAATTTCGAATCTCCACGGACATTTTATGATCGCCTTAGCATTTTCGGGGGGGGGGGGGGTTTCACATGACGTGAAATGCGCACAACTTACGCTAATTTGAGTTTTTTTCCAGCTCCCGAATCTCGTTGAGAATGACCGAGCGGCTTAGATACTTGAAGTGTCTCATTTTGGTGAAAACCAATGTGCGCACGATGAAACAATCCCGTTGCTTAATCTCATCCGTTTTGTTCAAATACGATGAGAAAAAAAGGCGTAAAAGTCTTGGCTAGGGGGTGGGGAAAAATTAGGAAAGTAGATAATTGTCAAAATAGTAGTTGATAATAGTGATCAGCTCTCAGGAAATATGAGTAAGGGGCTTTTCTCTTTGAAGGGCTCTTTCTCTTTTTTCAGAAACGGCTGAGGGGAGCTCCGAAGTTTTAGACGAGTTATCTACGAGCTCACCTTTGACTATAAGAGAATTTCAAAAAATCAATAGATGCCCACATTCGCTTTATTCTCGAACTTAATTTGCTAATATGAAAGCGAACCCGATTAGTTGCACGCTTCATCAATTCTTAACAAAAAAATTAGATGTTCCCGGTCTCGCTTATCATCCCATTAAAATTCAGATCATTTCCTTTTTTGTCATTTATCAGTTCCCGAAGAAGTATGGGAAGATGTCTGGGTTGATTGATCCATAAATGGGGACTACATTTTACTTTGTGTGGTTCTTACAGATAAAACAATTTAACGTCATCAAAGAAATAGAAACTCTAGACGGAAAAATTCAAGAAAAATGAGAATAACTCCAGATGAGAACATTTCAGTGCAAGGAAAAAATCGCCTACCTTTCACCATTTGGAACAAAAAAAAACAAACAAAAGTGAAAAATCACTTTAGGTGTAAATTTACACAAACAGACGATCATACGACATAGAAAAAAGGGAGAAATGAGATAGATGAGAGGTTTTTTCTACTATACAACATCGGAAAAAATAAGATTCAGGTTTTTCAATTTCCTTGAAATAGTATTGATACTCATGGAAGTTTCTGTTTTCTGGTTCAATAGTTATTTTCGACCAAAGCCAAATCTGCTGGGGACAGCGAGGGACCAGTTTAAGGTGCCTGAGATTTTTAAGGCTTTAGTATCTATAGAGGTGAACAACAGGTCTTTATGTAAATTTGTTACATACAACGGAAGAATCTCCGAAACTTCCTCGAATTTTCTCCTTATTCTCTTTGTCTTGGGCTGTGATTTCTCGATGTATCCATGTCAATGTGAAAATCCGATTTTTTAAAACTTTTTTAATTATTTTTGGCAAATTTCCAACTAGCATTTTTGAAGTGATCAAACAGTCGATTGCCTTTGTAATACTACTTCTTGCTTCCAGAAGTTCATAAAAAATGTGAAAATATAGAAAACAAAATTGAGAGAATTTTCAGAAAATAAAGAAAATTTGGAGGTTGGAGTACTGCAAAAAATTATTGTCTTTTTTACTGCGGTTCATGTCTATGAAGGCAAAATAATCCCAATAGGAAGCTCTGTATTTATCTCATGCAACAAATATGAGACCTTGCCGAGTTTCCTAGAGTTTTTCAGAGGGAGACGAAGAAAGTGTAACAAAGCTTGTATAATGATCTAGCAGCAGGAGTGTTTTAATTTGACGAAAAAAAAATGTGAGAATTGCAGATGATCAAAAGAAACATAGAAATTATTGATGACCCAGTCGCGTAGTTGTTCGATTATGAAAGAAACGTATTTCATCTCATGTAGACAAGATCGGTAGACGGATAGCTGACATACAGAGACGAAAACCGAGCGAAAACGTGAACTGCTTTAGCACACCTTGGGGGTGTGTGTGAATCGCGGAGATATGCGAGTGCGACTTCTTTTCAGCAGTGCGTCAACTGTAAGAGAAAAAACTCGTTCTCACATACAGTGAAGGGGGGGGGGCTCTCAGACACTTCAGACGAAGTGAAGAAGTTTACACAAGCGTAGAAGTTCATGGCATAAATTTTTGCAGATTTCAACTATCATTGGATCAAATGAGAGTAGTGGCTGATGAAGGAGTTCAATTAGCAAATCTATGCAGTACTCGAATGGGACGCGCACAACAGGTTTTCTAGTAGTTTCTCTTCTTCTCTTTTTTCTACGTCATTTCTCCTATATTATTACCTTGATATCACTTAGCCACAAGTACTACTTGATAGCCATTCACTTTACTCTAGATGTGCAGAGAACGTGCAGACGCAGTGATGGCGATTGACTCGTTTTTGAGGAATGCATCCGATTTGGAAAAGAAGATGAAAGATATGAATAGACAGGTGGGGAAGGTTTTTGTTAGCAATTCTGTCTGAGTTTTCTAACTAACTTCAGGTTGATAAACTTGTTCGATTCTGCAATCAAACCGAGCAAGCAATGACCCATCTTGAAGCATTGAACAATATCGTGAGGACAGAAGAAGAGGTACTTGTTGATTATTTTTTAATCTTGTTTTCTCTTGTAGTATTAACTTTTGGTCCCAGGAAATGGCCAAAGTAGCCACGCGAGAACGCGAGAATTGGTCCCGAATAATTGCACTTAAAAAGACTGAATCCATAAAATTGATTTCAGTGAAGTTTCCTGAATTTGCTTTTCCATCCGCGATCTAAAAATAAATTTTTCAGTTTAGGCAATATGGGCAAAAATTCCGCTAAGGTTTTATAGAACACAGCACATAGACAAAAATGAAAAAGAAACAAAAGATAACGTCACGCGAGGACTGGTCTCCAAATTTTGCGTTGAAGATCAAAATAGGGGTTTGGGGAAGCGAGGATTGATTTCCGAAATTTCCTCTTTGTAAAAACAAGGGAGTTTTCGAGCGAACCTAAGCTTCACCTCCAGTTGTACTATCAAAATTTCCTATGTCCCCTGATACGCAGTTCATACGGGGAAGGTTACAGTCAGCAAAGGGACCAGTTCTCGTGGAGCTAATCCATGGCATTTTTTTATTTATGTATTTTATTTGAATCACAGAACAAAGGTGGAAAATATAGGTCAAATCAAACTATGGAGTTTATATAAGACTTTTTCCTCGATTTTTACTTTCGGGCAATTCCAGGTGGACCTAATACGACAACAAACCCGCTCAGCCACCACCATCCTCAATATAGATCCCAGTCCAAGCCCTGCTCTTGTACTGAACAGTGAGTTGATAGTGTTATCTTCAAAGCAGTGCCCAGGCAAATTCTGGTATGTGGATTTTTTGTGGATGTTCAATAAAATCTTGATTTAGCCACTCCAGCGTCTGCTCATACCATCTATTTTTAGCTGAAATATTAACTTCAAGGTCTTGCCCAGTATCGTAGCCAAACGCTGGTCATACGATGTGGGCAGCAGTTTAGAGTGGCATCTCTTGGCTAAGAATAAATCATACTAGACACCGTTTGAGCAGCGAAATGACTCCTAGCATTTTCGCACAAATTCAGAACAGAAATCCAGTTTTTGGCACTTCCTTAGAATTCCAAGAACTTGATTCTTCCTTTGATCCCCTTGTTTTTCAGCGGCTGTCCGCCCTGGTGATGAGGCACGAGAACGTCAGGAGGAAGTGATGTTGGAAGAGTTCCTCTCAGGAAAAAGGCCATCGTCTCCGGTTTGAGGAATGGCCGAGCGCAATCAGAAGAGCTGTGATCTTTAACCAAATGCAATCGACTCAATGCGCCACGTAATTTATTAGCCTTGATATATCAACGACTCATCAAATAATTGATGAGCGCATTAGAAATGCCTAAGAAAAAATGTATTTGCAGGAAAAAATTTTATTTTGTGCATCTCAGTGAGTTTTATTTTGTTTGATGTTTGCTTGGCTTATTCAGCTTTGTTAACATAATGCATTCTGTTGACCATCCATTCCACTAGTTATTAATATCTAAGGTATCCATTAGCTCTTGCTTTGATATTTTTCTTAAGGTAAATGGGTGAAGATGGGTTTTTGTAGAAAAGTTAGTGTGTGTTATAATTCAGGCTTTGTAACACATTGAATATTTGATTCCTATATACTTTATAAAGTCTAGTCAATGCTATTTTGTGGGGTTTTCTTCCTAACACTTCTTACAATTTGCTCCAAATCATAATATACTAAAAATCACTTTGTAAATCACAATGAAAATAACTAGAAAATGAATGGGATCATGATCATATCAAGTTGTCTATTGAATTTTCTACTGGTTCCAAAATTTTTTCAAATTGGTGATTTCATTTTTCAGTGTATTGTAGGCTATGTTGTGAGATACACGCAAATTCAGTTTGATTTCGACAAACTAGAAAAAAATGCGTGCACCTTTCAAAAGTTGGTCATATTCGAAATTCTTGTTGCAAAAAATAATAATAAAAATGGTAATTAGTGAAAAAATTTTGAGAAAAGGATTCAGCTGGAACTTTAATGAAATAGTCAAGCCGAACGTCTATGTAAATTGGTGATCGAGGAGCTGCTAATAATTTTTATACAGTTCCGGTTTTTTGAGTTAGATTCAGGCTGCCCGCTTCATTTCAATATTTGATCAAGAATCTCGAATTAGACCAGTTTTTTGAAAATGCAATTTTATCTGCTTTGTCATTAAAAATCAGACAGTTAGTGCGTGTTTGCAGCTCACAATATAATCTACATGTTGAAAGATTTCGACAATGTGAGAAAGAGGTAAGTTATGGAATTGTTTGAGAAAATAAGTGTTAATCCAATTCTTCATGGTCTTGTAAAAATTATTTTCAACTTCAAAATTCATTTAAGAATCTCATTAACTGCCTATAAAAGTATTTTATTGTAAGAAATGAACGTTTCTAGAAGATACGATTCGGCCTGTCATTACCATCAAACAAAACCCGTACAGTGCTTTCCGAGTGCACATTCCTGTGCGGCGCGCAATGAATTCTGACCAATTTCATTCGTTAAAACTCCGAAAAGACTTGCTAAACCGGGGTACAAACCCGTCTCTTAGACGTAAATGTTGTAGATTACGTAATTAAATGGTGGCTAAGAGTTAGCGCTAACGACTCTCAGCTCTAAGGGACAATCGGCTTAATGGCTTGTATTCATCCATAAAAATCTGCAGTCTCACTTTTTGCGATGATAATAGAATGGTGCGAAAATCTATGAGATCGGATGTGAATCAGCTCGGTGCAGCTTGCAGATCTTATAGGCAGTGTCCAGGGAGATGTACTCGCATGGGTTATTTGCCTGGAAACTGAGGAGAAGATCCTAGCTAAGGCACTGCCCAAATAGCAGCGCAAATTATTCATTCACGGCTGAGATTTCCAGGGTGGAGGAACGAACGCCTCAATTAGGCCCCGCCTCCGCGGACCACTGGTCCCAACGCGATGCGCAACAGTAGGACGAAAGGACCAGCAGCCCGCGGCGGCGATGCCTAATTGAGGCGTTCGTTCCTCTACCCAGATTTCCATTCCAAAATCCCGCGCCTGCACCATGACCGTAACTCGCGAGTAAGTTAGAATGGGTCCCAGCGCGAACGTAGTGTTAAAGTGAGCGAAATCATTTCCGGTACGGTCATGGCACAGGCCGGAGGGTTTGAGGACGGATTTCTCAGCCGTGAATGAATGATTTGCGCTGCCGCCTGAGCAGTGCCTAGGTTATGGCCCTCATCAGTTTCTAGGCGAAAAACGCATGCACTCAGATTTGCCTGGACTGCCTTTGTGGGTGGAACACTTGTGGACAAGGGAAATAGAGGCAGTGGAGGTTATGAAGGGGGGGGGGGGATGTCCTCAAAAAAATTTGGGAATTCTTCAAATTCCAATCTCCAGTCTATCGCTCAAGTCTAACCAAGCAGCACGTTTTCCAGTGTTTTATAGTCTGCTGCGCTGCGCTTACGCAACCAATGTAGGTTAATGGAACCGCAAAACTACTAAACTGACCTCTGTGGTCATGCATGACACATGAGCCGTGACTCATATCACAAAACCGATATAGCTTGACTTGACTTGCTGTTGTGGACTGATCTGGTAACAGTTATCAGTGAGTCATGACAGTAACATTCCAGCTTGGTCATTATCTGATTGGTTAGAAGCAAGAGATCACCTCTACCCTTGACTTGTTGACAGTTACGCTAAATTGGTGATGTTTTCTAGCAAATAAGCCTGGCACATCTGCTTACTGTCTGAATCCCTTCATCAAAAATTCAGTAAGAAAGCAAATACTGTCCAACAATGACGATCATAAAGAAAAAATTCATTAGAGGCGGGTGATCATTGGAAGAAATTTTCCAGGCTCGCCGAGTTTTCCAAAAATTTGTGAGATACTTTGCAAAAGTACTTGTACACTTGAACTATATCACTTTGCAGACTGCTGAGCATCCACCTGTCCCTATCTCTACTCCAGTGAAAATTTTGCAAAAACATACCTCCAATTCAAGCTGCAGCACCTCTGCATTTGAGTTATCTGGATGTCGTTGGGTAAGCTGGAAAGAGATGTGACGATATAATTGCTATCTGTGACAGCTAGCTAATTACAATCTATATCCGCTCTCCTCTGAGAATCGAACATCACTCCTAAAACAAAGTCATTCTGTGATATAATGGACAGTGCCGCAGAACCTGAACCCTTTCGGGTTTTGGCATAAAGTGATCGCCAGAAACTCGTCCAAAGAAAAACTCTAGTGATGGGTCAGTAAGACAAATAGTACCGTTGTTCTCAAAAAAAATGTAAATAGAGTGTTACAACTTCGAGATAATCTCATTTCTGTGAGGTAAAAAGCTAAGAGAACTTCATTTATTATCCAAAGAATGATTACAAGCCAGGTAAATTTTACAGTATCATAAAGCAAGCAACTATAAAGTATTATAATCATTGACAGAGATCAATAGAAAACCGAAGCTGACACAAGTTCTCCGAGTAATTAAGAGGCTTATCTATCATGCAATTAATCATATAATTGGGTAAGAGATTTCTAAATGAGTATGTGCCAGAATATAATAATTTCTGTCCTGCGTTTACCGCTCCGACTTTCGTTGCGTACCAGCGGCGTTCGACTGTCCTCATGAGCGCAACACGCAAACGCCGCTGGTAGGGCAGTCGCACGCCGCTGGTACGCTGCGGAACTCCGCTGGCAGGAGAATGGTACGCCGCTGGTACGTTAAGAGGGTACGCCTTCGGACCGCATGTTCACCCGATTTTTGATTACATACTAATTGCAGCATTTTGGTTTGAAAATTGCTATTTCGTCATATTTTATGAAGCCGAAATCAGCGCAAAATTTCCTGCTATTTCGATCGATGGACTTCATTGAGTCGAAATCAGGGGATTGTGGGCCACCCCTACAACACCTAGCTGAGGTGTTATCAGGTCACTTAATGAGAACAACAACTCAATCTTATTCTTTGTCAAGTGCTAAGAAGTGTTAGCTAACCACTAAAATGCTGAGGCTGCCCAACCACTGCGTCGTATCCCATGCGGGTACGGCTTACGCTTACAGCGTGGGGTAATGTGATGGGACGCCGCTCGCTTGGTTGGGTTGATGGAACGCCGCTCGCCAAAAGAAGGTACGCCGCTGGTAGGGCGCACTGAGGAACGCCGTTGGTACGTTAAGCGCACTCCGCTGGTACGCAAAGCCATTTAGGTACGCCGCTGGTACGCAACGAAAGTCTGAGCGTATATGACGGTAGAGAGATGGAGAAATGATACAAAAGTTTTACACAATAAACATTCTGGGCAAATGCGAACCCGACTCGAAATGACACCGAGATATAGGAAAACCGCTTCAGATCAACTAAATTCACAGTGAACTGCCCAGTGATCAGAAGGGAAGCAAAGGCAGCTTCTGATTCGTTGCTGCCCAGCAAGGGAGAACTTCACCCGGGTAAGTGGTCCGTACCAAAATATTCGATCGAACCTGTGGTGAAGACATAAGTATGTGAAATGTATATAGATCCAGAATTCGTACCTGCATCTTGCACCGAAGGATTGTTTGTTGTCGTTTTTTCGCGTATCCCAGGTAAACTCCGTTTGCTTGTTGGCCCCGGACGCAAGCCATGCGTCAGCCAGACCACGCGGTACGTTTGAGATCTGCAAAATCCAGTGGTAGGATGGCAATCACAATGACAAAATACCTCGTCATCTCTGATGTTCAAATCCCCTCCAAAGAAGAGTAAACAGTTTGGATTAGACGATATGATGTCACGAATCTTCTCCATGCATATTTGGAATTGCTCCTTCCTGCAAAAATCAACAAATGGCATTGATCCAACAAAGTCGAACTATATGATAATATTTACCTTGCTCTGCTGTGATCTTTCATGCTTTCCAAATGCGTATTTAGCAGGTAAACTTCCTGTTCACCTATTCTGCCCTGAACAATAGCTTTGGCTTAACACATCCACATCTACCAGGCAAACCAAGATTTTTCAAATGCAAAAAAAAAACAGAATACTTAGCGTAAGAATAACGACAAACTAAAAAAGCATAACTAAGCGCAAGAATAATGACAAACTAAAAAAGCATAACTACGATCCTCAGCCGCCACCAGATGAGAAAAGCATAATAGGAAGAAAACGTATTTTGGCAGCACCTACCAACCTTGATTATCTGCAGTGTCCTTCCCATACCAGAATTCTGATAATGAATAACATCATGACTAAAAAATAGAGAGCGCAAATTGATAGATTCAAAACATACGACCAAAATTTACCTCTCAACTTCGAAACTTTTACTGACTAGTATTGCAGTAAAATATGGAAAGTCCATGTTAGAATAATAAATGTTATAAAGCTTGGTTAAGCGATCAATCGTAGGAAGTTCTCTGAGCACAACCTCTTGCAGAAAAACGAAGTCAGGATTCAAGCTGAATATTGCTGTTCATCGTTATCTCCAACAATTCATGGATGCAGAACTTACTTGCTCACTATCTTATAAACAGCTTTCATGCGTGTGGCTAAGCTATTTCCATCAAGACCGTCAACATTCCAAGATACCAAAGAAATTTCCAAACCCTCAAACCCATATATCAGAGCCAAATTCACTTGAAATGACAGAACAAACTCTAGCTCTACCGTAAGATCAATAGGTCCAGTTTGGTGATTTGTACTTCCCGCGGTACTTGAAAGGACCTGTACATCTTCTTCATCGTTTTCGTTGGCACTATCTTCGTTTCCAAAATAGAAATTGATTGCTTTCTGGAAATTTCGTATAAACTCCAAATTAATCACAATCTCACGTGCTAATTTCATGTCTGGAAAAATGAGATAAGATAGCAGAAAGCGAACGTCACGATATCGTTTTCGTAGAAACTGACGTTGACATCCCAATTAGTGCTCTCAAGAATTGACAGTGCAGCTGACTCCTCCGCATTTGCGATGGCCATGAAGTCTGTCAGCATTTCTCGCTTTTGCGCACTCAACTGCTGTTCGCTGCTTTCTGGAATACTTGATGTGAAGGCAATTCCAATATCTCTAAGCATTTCTGAAATACAAGAAAGAATTTTTGAGAATAAGCACAGTCCGAAGTAGACAGAACGTGGACAATCACCTGCAGATATATCTAACAATGTGAAGAAAAGGAAGAGCACACGTACATCTTTTTCCAGCTTCAAAAATGTTTTCTGCCTAGGTCATTTAAAACGCTTCCCTAGTTTGCCTGTTCATACAAGAACAGTGCATTCCCCAGCACTGTTCCCGTACGAACCATCGACGTGGCTGTCTTTTGACGATTATTTCAACATGTCAAATTCAAATAAGCGCCTTAATTCCGCTAAAGTACTAAAACGATCGAAAGGCAGCCACGTTGATAGTACTTATAAGAACAATTCTGAGACATGCAAAAAAATTACTCTATGTGCTCAACATCCATTATTAGTTACAAACCAACTTTCATTCTGATTCCGTTTGATGTGGGCCATCCCTCTCAGCAACTTCCTCACGTCACATTTCTTTGATGAATTTACAGAATTATGTGATAGCGACACAGTATGTTGGCACATAAGTTTTGCAACTAATTTTGTAATTTTTCTCTTTTAAATGTAGTAACGCATTCACTATTAAGCATAAAGGGCCGGGCATACTTCACGCGATTTGGCAATATTCCAGCTGTCCATAACTCACTGTAAGCACATTTTGAATGTACAGAAGATAGGGTATTCTATCAATCCATGTAGGTTATACACCTTATGCATGTGCAATTTGGTAGCGTTGAATCTGATGACTTCTGACGAATTGCCAAATCGCGTCGCGACGGGAATCGCGTGAAGTATGCCCGACCCTTAAGGTAAATTGGGTAGTAGGCTACAAGTATGCGCAAACATTTTGATTTTTAGCACCGAGGTAGTGCAGATTCTCGCATTTAAATGTGGTCAAGTACGAAATTTCAAGCGTCGGAAAACCAAAAATAGAGCCGTTCTCGGTCTGAATCATACACATCAAGCCGAAACTGCACCCAGATTGTTGATAGAAGGACCTCTAATGATCTGTACAGTCTCGGCTTGATGCGTTTAATTTAGATTGAGAACGGTCCTATTGATTCTCCAACCCTTAGAATTTCGAATTTGACAAGCTTTCGAAAAATGCGTGAATTTTCTCCACTTCGTTATCACATATCAAACTTCTGAGCACATTTGTAGCCTACCACCCAATCTAGATTATGCCCAGTAATATATGCATCGCAGTAAGAGAAGGAATCAGTTGCAAAACTTATGTGCCAACCTATTGATTTGCAACTAAATATGGAAGGATAACGTGTGCTATTTTTGATCCCATGGATGAAAATGTGAATTCAAATCAAATCCAGCGTGGATCGCAAAATTGAAGCCATTGTCACCCTTTTACTTTTGTACTGACAGAAATGAATACCGATCGAACCACAGCCGGGCTGACATTGTATTCACAGTTACTTTAGCGCCCGCATGTTTGCCGGGAGACAGTCAAGAGGCGCGATTTCTCCGGCTGTCACTAACTCAAAACTCCAATTTAGTGCTGTGCGAGTCTTCAAAAAGTATCACATAAAGTGCATTAAATTACTGTTTGTCTGAGGTTACCAATCGCCGAGTTTGGCGGCTTTTGCTGGGAAACGGACCGAAATATATACGAATTCATTCTTAGCTGCATTTTCATGGGTTTTTGACCTTCAAAATTGCTCTTATGACATGATTAGCAAGGTTGAGCAACCCATGCAACTCCTGAATATATCTCCATCTAAAATTTCAGTACTTTTAGAATGTTATAAAACACTTATTATGTGTCTTTGCGGTTCATCTGGCAATAAAAATTGCGCCTCTTGACATACAACCATGTTTACCACATAATGTTCTTCGATTCATAATTGAATCCTTACTGAATGATCAGGCAGGTGCCTAATGCTTATGTCTTCCTATAAAGAAAATTTTAGAAAACGAAGAGAAATAGATCTCAGATTGAAATGCTTGATCACCTACGTCACTTTTTGCACGAAAGATATGGAAAAAAGAACATTTGCAAACAAAATGAAATTTAACAATCTAAATAGTAACGAAATACGATAGTTTAATTTAACAAACCTTGCTCATTTCCTCCTTCACATCCATCTCCAGCACCATCAAGCTCAATCGGTGATAGCCTTGCTTGCTCGACGGAGTCAGATCCATCCTCTTGTTTCACTTCCAACTTTGGCTGCTTAGCTGGGCTAGGCTCATCTTTCTCTTCCTTCACTTTAGACATTACTTCTATAGCTGAGACAGGTTCGTCTTCCTCTTGTTTTACTTCCGACTTCACTTGAGCTGAGACGGGTTCATCTTCATCTTCTTTTTTAATTTTTGACATGGACTATCTGAATTCAAATAGAGCTTGGGAGCAACAAAGAAGCAAACAAAATTGTTTACGAATTTACTTTCGCGCACATCATTGGACCATTGCCAATCGAATCGACGAGACGCAACACGGCTGTTGCGTGTTGGAAAAGGCGGACGTGGACCCTCCGCCCATTTTTCTGCGCCTTGCATCTGCGTGTCAGCTTGAGCGTTCCTTCTCGGATTAATTCCTTACGCTGTTTCAGTGACGTGTCCAATTGTTCCATTTTCTTTGGCAGTTCTCTTATTTGGGAATAAAGTTTTGTACTCACTGAGAGTCGTAAATAACCTCATTTTTGGCACAAAATCTCAGAGGAACTCACTTTTTTTTCCTCCTTATCTATTCTCACTTCTATTTCTGTCTTTTTACTCGATCTCGCACGTATTCTTATGTCTAGGTTAGAGCTATTAGATGGTAGCAACAAACAACGGTCAGGTTGCGATGACGATCCTCAAGGCACGCTTTGGAAGCGATGTACGAAAGTCGATGCTACATCATGCGAACGATCTCACGCTTAACGACCTTACGCTTATGATTCAAAGAATCTTCAAAATTGGATCTGCTGAAGCCATCGTATTGAAGTACAAAGATTCGGGTAAGTTTTGACATTGAATTTGTTAAGATATTGTTACTGCAAATTTATAGTCTATCAGGGTTTTCATGAACTATTTCCGGTAAAGCCTTTTCCATTTTCCTCTACATATATATACACCATTCATGAAATTGATCATGAACTCTACTGCGTCATTGCGCGTGCCCCGGGCATATAGTACCCATACGAAAATAATGCTCCAATGAACAGCTCAGTCACTACAAGTAACAAGTATCCCGAGGTTAACCGTTAAAAGAGCGAAAGGCAGCGAGACGACGTGATACTATGGGAATCCTGCTGGGAAACAAACGATAGCTATCATTTGCATGCAAGAAAATGTTTTGAAAAGCGACGGAAGCAAAGAAAATGCGATCACAATTGTGTAAGCGACGGGCGCAGGCGCCGGCATTTTCACGCTTTTGTCATTGACCTATAAGGACTCGGGCAAAGTTCACGCGATTTCATCGTCGCGATTCGTCGCGACAAGACAACTGTAACGATATCATTGCATGCCAATCTTCTTTCTTTCTGTTGTGATAGTTTTACAGCACGATTAATCGACTAACTATCACAACCGAAATACAAGAAGATCGGCATGCAATGAACTCGTAACACTTGTCTTGTTGCGATGAATCGCGACGACGAAATCGCGTGAACTCTGTCCGAGACCTAACACATTTTTCCCAAGAATCTACCTAAATTCGTTGAAAAGGCCGTAGTTATTTTCCAAATTCTTGAGTAGCACGAATAAAATTATTTGTTACTGTACATAGACCGGCAGCACGTGCACAAATTGCCATTTCAGCGGAGCAAAACCCTTTGACTTTTTTTCAGCTAGACATTCTTTTTTGTTTCTTTTTGTTCATTCAGCGTTCTGGTATGTGATATTGAAAAGAAAAAACCACATGTCATGACATCATCGGGGAATCATGTGAAAGAGCTCTTTTCACCAATGAAATCTAAATAGATCAGTTTCAGCTTTGTCATAGTCTACGCAAATATTTTAAGTTCAAGTGACTCTACTTTTTTGGGCCATAAAAATATCTTTCTTGTCGTGTGTATGTTTGCCCTAGTGACATACTGGTTACCATTCAGTGTAATCGATGCACATGTTCTGCAATGCAAATAAGTTTATTCGCTACAGAATAGACTTTTGTTTTCCAGAAGGAGACTTGATAACGCTGTCTGACGATTCCGATCTTTTGCTTGCCTTGCAATCGGAACAAAACTTGAAGATCGATGTTTCACTCGATAGTAAGGCAATCGCCGAGTTAACCGACATACAACAGCAAGTAGTACAGATTCAGGTTGGCCAGATATATTCGTTTTTAAACTCTTCATTCACACATCAAAAATGTTTTTTCTGAAGCTCGCTACTTTTGACTAGCAGTAGCGAGCTGAAAAAGAATATCACGAGAGCCATAGAAATAAGCTTGGCACTGAAATTCTCGCGTCTTTCTATATTTTTGAAAATTTCGAGTGTTTCTTAATATTGTTTGAGTTTTATATTCAAATTTGAAGAATATCACGCTATTGGATTGTTATCTTAGGACGACATACAGCGTCTGCTGAAGTCTGTGGCTGGACTCCACATTCCCAGCACTCACGCCGCTTCGCAGTCCATCACTTCGCAACATTTCGAACCTAATGAGGTGAGGATCTCTTGTCTGAGAGTGCAGAAGTAATCCACTTCGGCTCAGTTTTGTAATCTTAGTTTTGTAATATCTTTTTGAGGTTCTCCCTGCTGTATCTAACCAAGGTGATGTACCACCTTTACCCGTGAATGGGTTCGACGCCACGCCGCATTCTCCACCCTCACCTGTACCTTCGGAGAAACCGGAATTACCGGCAACAATTCAGCCATCGCTTCAGGAGCAGGTAAAATTTTCCATTTTGCTTTTGTTTTGCTTTTTCCTCTGTCTGCTTACTCTACCTTGCACAGGTGCTACCGGATGGTCTTGCTCGACATGACGTCGCACCTTGTGTAGAAGAGATTCCGCTAGAAGCTGGAGCACCAACTGCTTTTGCCCCACCACCGAGCGAATTCGCTCCTCCACCCACGATGCCGCCGGCGGTACAAGACCCGCATGGTCCTCCACCAACTCAGCAACAACAACAAGGACAGCAGCAGCAGCAGCAGCAGCAGCAGCAGGCATTTGCGCCTCCTCCACCATCCATTCCTTCAATTCCTTCATTCCCACAAGCAAATATGCCACCAGCAGGACATTTCTCGCCATCGCATCCCCCTCATGAACAGACTCCACCGCAACCACCCCAACAATTCGTTCCACCCCAGCAACATAGTGCTCCACCGCAAATGCCACCTTCTCAGTTTGCTCCACCACCTCAACAGGTAGATTGAGAAATATTCTGTTTTCTGAATAATCAAATATCTCTTTTAGCAAAACTTTGCTCCACCACCACAACAACAGCAATTCGCTCCGCCACCACAGCAATTTGCGCCACCACCTCAGGCACCTCCGCAGCCACAACCACCAACTCCTCAGTCATCCGTGTCATCGACTCCTATTCCGCAACCTCAGCAATTTGGTGCTCCACCAAGTGGAATTCCGCAGCAATTTGTTCCACCGCAGCAGAATTTCGCGCCACCTCCACAGGTTGGTTGAAAGTTCGAAGCATTAGTGTCTTTGTGAACTAAATTTGGTCAAATTTGTTGGCGACTAGGATTGGTATATCCGTGTCAACGACAGTGTCGCCGGCTCGTGCGGCCTTAGTCCTACGCTGCTGCAAACCTAAAACCTTGCGCTGCGTCTGCGACATGTCCTCCAGGCATTTCCCCACGCCTGAGCAACCACATCTGACGGGTTTGGGAAAATGCCCAAAGTATACCACCGCATACGCAGCGCAGGTCTAAGGAAGGCGGTCGCGAGGGATCCGGGCCGCACGAGCCAGCGAAACTGCATTGAGGCAGAGGAGTGTTCAGTTTTAGCTTATATTGAGACCTATCAAGCAAGAATCTTTTTGTTTCTTATGCGCTACCGTAAAATCACTCATCTGTTGATTACTTGCTTAAACTTTTACCATATATCAACTGTTCAGGGTTTCGCTCCACCACAACAACAATTCGCGCCACCCCCTACCGCCTTTGGTCAACCACAGCAGTTTGGAGCACCACCTTCCGAACCGGCGCCACCTGCAGGAGGTGTCCCGCCACCATTCTCTCCACCTATGGGCGGCCCACCAATGGGTGGCTTTGCTCCACCACCGATGGGCGCCCCCATCGGTGTACCTGGAGGTAATCCTTTCGCACGTGGTCCAGGTCCTGCAGGTTATCGCGGCTCACCGTATCATCATTGATAACAGCACAAAGATTATGTATCTAAAATAATTTATTGTCGACTGTTGAAATGTGATTGATAGTAACTCGTTTTCCCTTTTGCTTAGAGGATTGTTTTCTGTTTTGTAAATCTGTGTCTCGGACGGTTTTAGCGTGGTGTAATATGGTTATATATGCGCGGAAGTTTCCTAATTCACGAACAGATTTCTAACGTGTATCCGTGGTGTACGAGATAAGTGGATTGTTGCTGTTTAACTTACTATTAAGTAAAAATTTTAGTTGCCATGGTTTTTATAGGTCTTTTTGACAGTATATGTTGTAGGCAAAATGGCAATAAAGGTACTGGTTGGTACTGTGCTATAATGAAAGGCGTTGTGAGCAGCATCTAATGCGTAGGTTGAAAAATTTCATAGGTGTAAAATCAAGACCCTCGGCTTGTCTTGTATGCCTTTTCCATGAGGCTTGAGGTGCGATTGTAACTCTGCACCGTAGGCGCTATCAAGCAGCAGAGATGACTGGACATCCGGAGCTCTAAGATTTTTCTTTTCATATGCAGTACTTCGCTTTCTTGAAAACATTTTGACATAAATCAAAAGAAACTTGTAGGTACCAGTTTATTGCCTCATGCTCCTTGTTTGCATTTGGGGACTCAACGATCTTAACTAGGGCTAAGCGTGGGGTCGCATGTTTGTCCTGAGGGTCACATTGGGGGTTAGACTGAGGGAGGGATCTTAATCACAATTAAATGCGTTCACAGGGATTGAGAAAATACTACGTTGAGTAAGATGAAAAAAAAAGAAGGCTGGACCGGCGAAATCACCACTCCACCAGAACTGAAGGAATGACTGTTGTGAACAGCATTCTGATTAATTCCACTATCGAAATATTAGCCAAATCATAATTTTCTCCTCTTTTACTTGCACATACATACACGCTTAATATAGTGTACTTGCAAGTTTATGCAATGCGGTAAAATTTGCGCGTGAACAAGTAGCTGCACCAGCACTGCCGGCATTTTGCGCGCGCAATTGGCCGCCGTCACAGTCGAAGCTAATTCCTCACGCGCAAATTTTACCACATATATTAAGCGAAAAATCTATTCGACGAAAAATCTAATCTACTGTACGTGAGCTTACCAAAGGAGGTTGCCGTGTAAATTGGATATCTCCACTCAGCATTTCAAGTACCTCTGCGAGCTCCACTACTATTACCTTTTATATTTTCCAGTGTTTAACGTATTACAACATCGTTTACCTTTCAAAAAAAATTCCTTTATTGGGAGACTCAAAATGAACTTGATAGAAGACCCAAATCACACGAGCAGTTTCTCCATTTCCAGTGAGATTGCAGAGAAGTGAAAATTGCTGTTGTTAGAGACTTTGATTGTAATTATAAGGACGAATAAAAGTCCGAAAAACTAAAAGATTTCGGGACGAAAATTCCACGTGAAAATACAGGGCGTCCCAAAAAAATGTGAACACTGTTTGATCGTTAATAACTCCCTTGCTTTTATGTCTTTCGCCGAGCTTGAGGCACCATTCTGTAGAGCGAGGTCTAACTTAGATTTGTAGTATGGAGCGAATCGTCAATCTCTCTTCATTACTGTAGGATTACGGTAGGAATTTTGACGAAGATTTTAAAAGGTTGAAAACCATATTCTGCCTCGGAACAAAACCAAACAAGCCAAAAACTTCTATAAATGGGTAATGGAAGCCGCTGAGTTCGAATATGAAATTTCCACTTCACTGTGACGCTTCTTTCCAAGGTTATCCCAGGTAAACCTAAATGACCGAATTTCCAGCATTTGTCAAAAATGTGATTACACCGTCAAAAAAGCTAAAAACACTCGTAAAAACTTGTGTTATGGAATCAGCGTGCGCAAAAACCCTAGTACACGATTTTTCAGATTTTTTGGAAAAAATTTTGTCAAATGGCATATTTCACAGTAGATCCACATGCCAGAAGTTCATACCGTCCTACAGTAATGAAGAGCGATCGGTGATTCGCTCTATACTACAAATCTAATTTGAACCTCGCTCTACAGAATGGCGCTTTAAGCTCGGTGAAAGACATGAAAGCAACGCAGTTATTAAGGATCAAACAGTGTTCACATTTTTTTGGGACACCCTGTAGTAATGATAAAGCATACTTCAACTTAATATACATACTGTAAGTTGTACTTTGCTGAATATACTTCTATGACGCATTGATTTAGTCAAAGCTTAGCACCACGTATTCCTCGCAGCTTGCTACCCCAGCTGTGGCAACACACTGTCGTGACCATCTCATTACGTATGCTGGTGGGGTAGAATAGCGATGTTCGTGGTCAGTCATGAAACGTATGGTCCAAAGGTCCACATGGAAACTTCTCCCTATTCTAACATCTGTCCTTGTATCAATAACTATCTTCAGCAATATTCGCAACGCTTGGAGCTTGGAAGGCAAGAGGTAAGCTTTTTCAAGCATTTTCGCTCCTATATATGGCGTTATTCGATTGAAATTCCAACACTTCAAGAGAAGATGACGAAAGCATTACCTCTATATTACTGAGCAATATCTCTTGCCAAAACCTATTCGATGGAGAAGAACAAGAAGCTGCCATGGCAAAAATGCTGCAAGTCAATAGCAGTAGTATTATTGACGCTATTTTGGACAGTTCTGACAGGTGCCGTCATTTCTTTACCGAAAAGAATTAATAATCATTTTTTTATTATTTGAAGATAATAATGGGTATTCGCAAAGGAATATAAAATAGTAGTTTGCGAAATGGAAAATTTTTTGAGATTATTTGATCTGGAACATCTTCAACACTTTAAGCTAAAATATCATAAATGTAAGCCTTGATCCGGATAAATAAAAACTGTACAAAAATGTGAATCTTAACATGGGTGAGTATCCTTAAATTTCTTGATATAAGTACTGATTATTATTGATTGGTTATTAATATTAGATAATAATAATAATAATAATAATAATAATAATAATAATAATAATAATAATAATAATAATAATAATAATAATAAATATTGATCGATCCGATTTGATCGATAATAATAAATATTGATCCGCAAAAATTAGCGACGCTTCCCAACAATTTTTGAAAAAACATTTATTGGTATGCCAGCACTAGGAAACAGCACTTTTTATAGATACTAAGACTGGTTTTGCTACATTTTTGATCATAATAATATTTTGATAAACTTTGCCATAATTGACCTTTTCTTTCTTAATTCTCAGGCAAGTCCCTGAAATCTTTATTTGCAGCTGTAACACCATAGAAAAACTTTTTCGATTCTTTCCGACATTATCCGCTGAAGAAAACGATTTTCCAATTGCTTATGCAATGTTGGTGCATAAAGATGTTATACAGGTATTTTCCTTTATCATCGTTAACATCAGGCCTATTAATTACATTCAGGTAATGATGTTACTCTCAGCTTTGTACCAACTACAAAATCAATTTTGTATAGCCGTTGATGGCAATAGTAATGAAAGATTTTGGAATGTGCTCAGGAAATTAGCAAGCTGCTATTCGAACATTCAGATTTTTGTGAGTCAAAATTTTTTGTCAAGTTTTTCAGCATACCGCTGTAAAATTTTCTTATTAAGAGAGTTAAGAAGATTGAATGGTGCTCGTTCGGGATCATCGAAGCTGTTTTTGATTGCGTTGTGCGTTTGGCCAACTCAACTTTACAGTGGAATTATATACAAGTAAGAACCATAGCTTTCATTTCATTACCAAAGTGGCTCCGTACTTACTGTAGTAGTTCACACAGGGTGTCCGTAAAAAATGTGCCTACTGTTTGATTGTGAATAACTCTCTTCTAACGAAGTCTTTCGAGAAGCTTTAGGCACCATTTTGTAGAGCTGGCTTCAACTTAGATTTACAGTATAGAGCGAATCGCCGATCTCTCATTCTTACTGTAGGATTACGGTAGAAACTTTGAACTCATTTTTCAGCCTTTCACAGCTAGAAAACTCTTGCAAAAACCTTTCTAAATTCTGAGAAAGTTCAGACTAAGATTCTTGAGGATGCTGATTCTAATTGCAACATCCCCATTACCGTAATTTCTCGATAAAAATTACGGTATGCGCACTGTGCATACTGCACCTTCGCTTAACTCAAAAAATGGCTGTGAAAGGCTGAAAAATGAGTTCAAAGTTTCTACCGTAATCCTACAGTAAGAATGAGAGATCGGCGATTCCCTCTATACTGTAAATCTAAGTTGAAGCCAGCTCTAAAAAATGGTGCCTAAAGCTTCTAGAAAGACTTCGTTAGAAGAGAGTTATTCACAATCGAATAGTAGGCACATTTTTTACGGACACCCTGTATATCCCCAAGCCGCGCGCCAAACGCAACAGAGATCGAAATTGCTGGAATTCTTGCAATTATAACTTTCTAAATAGTGTTTACTTCAAAGACTGGAACCCACACTAAAACGAAAACCAAATAGGGAGAAAAGACAAGAGAATTAAACCTTGCGGTTTGGCGGGAAAGGCTGCGGGAGGAACTATGAATTGCCCCAATAAAATTTAAAATTTCTCAATTTTAAAACATCATTTACTGAAAATGATTATACAGGATGTCGCAAAAAATATGCCTACTGTTTGATTGCTAATAATTCTGCTGTCATTATTTTTTCGAGGACCTTTAGGTAACATTTGTAGAGCTAGCTAATATGGAGCGAATCATCATACCATTCTCTCTTCATTACTGTAGGATTACGGTAGAAACTTTGAAGAGGGTTTTGCGGAATTTGGGGGGTCATACTTTACTTTTATAAAAGGACTGAAGAAGCTGAAAACTCTTACACTCTAGGTTAGTCAGGGTTATCAATTTTAAAAATGAAACTCGCACTTCAGTAATGCTTCTCTCATGAGTTATGCCAGGTATAAGGTAGAGATTGATTTCTGGTATTCGTCAAAAATTTGTTTAAGTCCGTCAGAAAGCTTTGCGAACACGCAGAAAGTTATGTAATGAATTCAGCATGCATGAAACCTTGTTACACAATTTTTCAGATTTTTTTTTTGGAAAATTCTTTTCCAAACACCTTTTCACAAGGACGCCATATGCTGCAAGTTCTTACCGTGCTCCTACAGTAATGAAGATAGATTCCTAATTCGCTCCATACTGTAAATCTAAGCTGAACCCAGCTCTATGAAATGGTACTTAGAGTTTCTCGAAAGACTTTATTACAAGAGAGTTATCAACAATCAAACATTACAAGAGAGTTATCAACAGTCAAACAGAGGCACATTTATTTGGGACACCCTGTATTTTTTTAAGATCCTATCCGGAGTTGACGCTCCACTTAAAACGAATCTGGAAAGTGTACGAATCCTCAAAGCCCTCAATGGTTCCTTCAACACGGAGATTCTCCCTTTCGAAAGATATCGACTACATGGAAAAAGGGTAGGTGCAAGTGTGCTATGTGAGCACGAAATTCGAATCTTTTTTAGGCAAAACGATCTCCACTGCCTTTAGTGAAAAGCTCCATGTCAGTAGTGTTTTCGAGAGAAGCAGCGAATTTTATGGTCGCAAATCAGGTGAAAAAATGGCAAAAATGCATACTAATAAAGCTTTGCATATTTTTAGGTGGTTCACGAGCAGCTCACGTTTTTGAAAGGTACAATATGTCCGGATGAATCATTCTGGGCAACAATAGCTGGAAACCCTCATAGTGAGCAGTTATAGTTTATTATAAAAAAAACTCCATAAATTTGGAAAAAATAGACATATTAAGTTCAAGAAAAAAAACCTTGCATTTTACAGCATAATTTTTGCTACCGTGTGTGTGATTTTTTGTGAAAAGTTCCGGCATTGTGAAGTTTTGATTAAAAAAATACGTATTGATTTGTGAGTATGTAAAAGCGAATCTTGACACCTTAATTTTCATGTATCTCGTCTTACAGAACTTGCAATGCCGGGAGGATTTGATGCCAAAGAATTTCTTCGGAGAAAATTTGGCAAAAATTACGCAAAATGGTGGTAAGCTTCTTTATTACTATTTTTTGGTTGCTAGGCTATTCATATTTTTATTTCTTTTTTCACAGGAATGGAAAAACTTGCTCCTCTCAATGGGGAGAAATTTTTGATTTATTCTACGTTGGCGAGTTACAGGTTTCGCGCAAATGTTGGACCATGGATAACGCCGCCTAACACTTCAAAAATTGAACTGCAAGAACAAAAACCATTTCTAGATAACTATGTAATCTCTCGATATCAACAATGGCAAATCAGGCCAAACTCCAGGTGTCGAGGTATTTTCATAACTTTCGATTTTTGAAGTTCATCTTCAAATTCTTTTTTTTTTGTTCAGGGCGCTACTATCGCCTTTCGTGCATTTTTGGGGTGGATGATCTACCGATATTGGTGAGACGGCATGAATTAGTAGCCCACAAATTGTATATAGATTTCCAGCCAGCAGCATTTCTTTGCTTGATTCGGGTAAGTTCAGACTTCTAGAAATTTTCAAGTTTCAGTTTTCGCTGAAAGAGATTTTTCCAGGAAATCCGTCAAAGAAGCCTACATCCCGTACAATTCGACGCAAATATTTACAAAAATCTTCCGGATGGTCCCATTTAGGTTGATGGCAAGATATAACTTAGATAGGCATCTTTTGTTTAATCTGTTCGTTAGTCCTCAATATTTTTTCTTGTGATTTGTTCCTTATATTTATTTCCTTATCACCAAAGGTTTGTCTTGCTAGTGCATTTTTTCAATCTTGTGTAACTGCGTCTATAAAACTCATAAACGACTGAGTCAATTATTACTACGAATGAACTTGCTACGACCTTCTTAGCCGCTACCAAGCTGGCAAGAATCCAAAGCGCCCGCTCAGACTACTTGAGTTTTACCAGCTATTGCCGTTCTTTTGACACTTTCCATTTTCTGCCCTTTTGTCAAGGATCCGCTAGGTCATGTGTGTGCGAACAAGTAAGGATAGGCTCGAAAACAAGTCAATATATGTCACAAGTGTGAACTAACATCACGCGATGCGGATGCGTGGCAGTGAGCTTTGGTGGAAAATGCCACTTCCGTTTGAACGAACTATACACAATGTATGGATTGCTGCTTCCTGCACCAGTTGAAAATAATCGCATGTACCGGAAACCCACATAGGAAGGGAAGAGAATTGATTTGGAACGTACAATCGCAGTCATATTTCACAACCAGTAGAAAACAAAATGACGTAATTGGAAATATCCGGATTTTAAGGCGGTTTAGGTGACAAGAGGTCTCGGAATCACGACGCCAATTACTAATCTATAATTGGTCACATGATGGTGATTTTTTTTGGCGCATTAGGCCCCGGGCATACCTCACGCGACTTCAATCGCCACGCATCGGTTTGGCATTTTTCCAATAGCTCATAACTCATGGCAAACGCATTCCATATGTACAAAAACTAGACTAATGTTTCTATCTATGAAAGTTTTACGCTCTGTGCATTTGTAGACTGCGAGTGTTGGATATGAAGGCATTTGGCAAATTGCCAGAATGCCTGGCTACTCAAATCGCCTGGTGCTCGGATCTTTGATTGCAAAATATAAGGTGTTTCAGAGTATTTCTGTGCTTGTCCACTTTGCTCTTAGTAGAAGTGAATCATGATATAAATTCTCGTATCACATAAAAAACGATGGTTCAATTAATTAAAATTATCTGCGTCAAACATAAATCTGAAGATTCAGGAACTTATTTTGAGCTTACTGAAGGGTAAACATCACGAAGTATTGCTGAACTATGATGGCACTATCATGTCTTTTTTGAAATCCATTAGATTTCAAATAGATTTCTCTATTTAGAATATTATTTAGAATATTTAGAATCTCTATTTAGAATAAATAGATTTCTCTATTTAGGTACGCGTCAAAGAACTTCGCCACATTTTTGGTCAGATATCACTGTCTAAAAATACCGCTCATATGTTTGTTGAACTTCTTAGACAATTCACCGGAAATCCGCGGGACAAGCAAAATTTGCAGCGGTTCCGCGGGATTTTGTTTACTGCTACAGAAGTGGAAAATTTAAAAATGGGAACTTCCGCGGGATTCCACGTCGGACTGGTTAGAAACGGGAACTTCCGCAGGACTTGTTACAAAACGATGACTCTTGCCAACAATTCCGCAGCACTTTGACCTGCCAGTACTTCCGCAGATTTTTGAATGTGTTGTCCTTACGATCCAGAGGATAGTAAGTGAGACTCACAGTCAATAGCAAGGATCGAATCCTGCTCAGAGGTTTCATTTGCTATTGTGGTTCGCATTCTTCGGAGCTTCCGCAGCGTTTCATTTGGAAATTTTCGCAGCACGTTTACGGAACTTCCGCAGGTGACCCGGCGGAACTTTCCCAGACGTCTTGCGAAAGTTCTTCTCTGAAAGAATCTATCGCCACCGTCATGGTGTTCGACAAAACTTGGTTGGGGAGAAGGAATGCTAACATGTAGTCAAGAATATTTTTTTCATTTCATGCAAATCTAAGCTTATTGCTTGAAATTGCCGCAATGGGTAATATTTTAGGATTTTCATTCTCTTCTCCAGATGCATAGAAGATGGGTAAGCTCTGCTTACATACTGCTCACGAAGTTCTTATTTGGTTTGGGCAGATTATCTGAATCCAAACGCCATCAGCCACGAGGAATGCTATTATGCTGACTCAGTTGTCTACTACATACTCGTCATTTCATCACCTACTACTATAGCATCAAAGTTTTATTTATTTATTATCACTCAATAAAACAACACAACAGAGTAAAACAATAACAAAAATAACGTCAATATCATAGTATTAATCTTAACATTTTCTGTAACAAAACGTAGAACAGATACTCACTTAAGTATCAACCATTGCCATTTGTTGATCAAAAGATTATTGAGATCATTGAAAGTTCGTTTTCCATGTTAACTTATTAGCGGAAAAAATTACATTTTAACACGCAGTCATCACGAGATGGGTTGTAAGCCAAAATCAAATCTACTTTACTTTTTATTTAGTAAGAGGCGTTGACTCAAAATCTTTATTCTACTCTTTGGTTCTAACCATAAACAAAACTGATGGTTTAGATCAATACCTTATGACTAACATTATTTTAACCTTCCAGATAATTTTTAGTTTGGTGTTTAGTTAGAGGGTTAGTTTGTAACTACCGGACTGATATAAGTCTTGAAGAAGTTTGAAGAAACTATCGAATCATAAATTAAAATCGCCTTGAATGGCTTGTACAAAGCCGTTGCTCCCTTATCGATCATCTTTTTACAACAATATAATCTGCGAGTAATTGCAGACCAAATAAATTTTCTATGCTTTTTTCAAAAGCTTACTCGTAATTTTCTCTTCTACTCAACTTATTAGCTTTCATTAGCTAGCTTAGCCATGTGTATTGGGGAAGTTATGGCTCTAGACAATGGGAAAACAAGCGCGTTAGTCTTCTCCCAGAGCTCTCGAAAACTTCCTGTACGACATCCGTTTTGGAGTAAAAATAGCCTCAAAATCATTTTGTTCGGCCCACGAGAGCACTATTGAATCTGCCAAGCACGGAATGCATTTTCACAAAGTAAAAGTCATTCCGTTAATTTATTTTATGCGGGGTTGATTGCTTAGCCATTTGATATTACTATTGCGTGTGTTTAGGGTGATTTGTCCTCTTTACTTATTCTCAAATTTTCTCGGAAAAAAATTGACGTGGGCCGCATTTTGTAGATTAGGTTTATTTCTGACGTTATTCTAGACTAGGAGCACTTTATAGTAATTGTATCTAGCAGTTTTAGTCTGTAAAAATTGTACGTAATCCAACGCAAACGTAGAAAGTCACGCTTTCGACTACAAGACGTAAATTTGCAGAAAAACCTGCGAAAATCAGCTGACAACTTGTATAATAATAGTATCGTTTCTCTGACAAATAGCTGCCCTATATGACGCAGCTACTTCAAATCCCACGCAATTTTACGGGCTATTGAATGCTATTCGATCCGCAACGTTCTTGAAACCGCTGTTGAAGTGCATTTATGGGATACGTATGGAATTTCTTCCTCTAGATGTCCTGGATACATAAGGCAAAAACCCGTCTGCCAGTGCATATTTGCAGAGTTCTGCGGGGCCTTAACCTTTTTTTGGGTGTTCTAGTTTTGAGTTTGCAACTTCAAGGTGAATAGCCCACGCAGCTTGCAATGTTTACCTTTTTTAGGAGATATATAAAGGGGGTAGGTAGGCTGATTTAGTCACAGAAATTTTCTTCTTTACCCGCAAAACTTGTAAAAAATTTAAATTGCTCATCAATATGAATAATTTATTTCCACATTCATTTATTTATTGCAATCCAGACTTGCGGGGAAAAACTACGAGCAAGTATACATACTAAGAAGGCCACCTTGTCTAGATTTTGAGGAATTTTATATATTCTGGTTTGAAAATTCTTCGACCATACAAAATCGTTTTTATATGCTATAAGTGTAGAAAAACCAGAATATCTGCAACTACTCTTTTGTTTATAGCACTCTAAATTTGTCAGAATATTTTGTAAAGAATATTTTATGCACATAACCTAATGAGACCAGAATGTTCTAAATTTGATAAAGGATTTGTTCATGAAGAAAGCTTCTAATAAAATCAAAAAAGAGAAAAATTCGATATTTTATCAAATAAGCCACTGACAGAATCTATGCGTAATGATGTCATGCTTGCTTTTTTTTTGTTTTTTGCTATTTTCAGCAATTATTTTTTTCAATACTTATCCTTGATATTTAACGTTTACCAAGTTACAAGCTATTTTTACACAACTTTTATGGCGATAATAAGATTTTATTGCTAGTTTGAAAACCATTGCACTCAACCCTATATAAATCCGTTGAAATTGACTCTTTATGTATTTGAACCCATAAATCTTTACCTATTTCATCTCATTCAAATTCAACAAGAAATTACTACTCAAATAAAGCTTTGAGTGAGTCTGTATTTGACCAGCTCAAGCTTTTATGTCACTACTGTAGTTTTTTTCGAAACTTCTGCAATACGAATTGCGACATCACTGTTTGTTAAAATCAAACCTCATTTGCTCTGTAAAAAAATTGTAGTGGATGCTTAGTGGCTACTAAGACCAATAGAAACGTAATGAGCTTTTTTGAATAATACTATCTTGCCTTAAAAAGATTGCACGATTTGTGATTGTAACTTCCTGTGACGAACTTCTTTTATTAATCTCATAATCGAAACTACTATTGTGGTGGATACGGCTCCCAACAAGGAAAAAGAATAATCTTCTGTGTGTTACTACAAAAAGAACTGTTATTGATGTCATAACTAACACAAAGCTGCTGATTTTATAATCGAGGCTTTCTCAAAAAATAATTTGCCAAAACTCAGCTCAACCAGGGCAGTTCATTGTCGCTAATGATAATATTGAAACGCAAAACTGCTAAAAATGTCGGTTAGTTTTCTATTTTTTAAGCATGTTTGGTCGATGTCTAGCGATCACTCTTAAGGGCCGGGCATACTTCGCGCGATTTGGCAATATTCCAACTGTCCATAACTCACTGTAAGAACATTTTGATTGTACAGAAGATAGGGCATTTTATCCATCCAAGCAGGTTATACACACTCTGCATGTGCGGTCTGTTAATGTTGAATCTGGAGACTTCTGGCAAATTGCCATATCGCGTCGCGACTGAAATCGCTAAAGTATGCGTGGCCCCCTTCTCATATAACACTTTTGAAATCCATACCAACAATCAATAAATCAGTAATGAGTAATGCGTATATTGCCACATTCGAATAGCACTAGGATTAATTATAGTAAAGAATACTACATAAGCTCAGCTATGTACTGGTAAGTACACAATCATAATTTTTCTCCAGAAATTTTGCTTCCCGAATATCTTTTGTCGTCATCGCATCTATTCAAGATGTCTCAGGAGGTGTGCTCACTTTTTGGTGGTTCAAACTATTTTTCTTCGAGATAATTACAAAAGTTGGGTATCTCCATAAAGAATGAATGAACAAGGACGAACTTATTTAGAATTGTGTTGAAGCGATTTTGGTCTAGAGTGCTGTTTTGAATTTAGACGTCCGCTCTTGCAAAACTTATGAACTTTCACTCAAGGAACATTCTGGAGATGCTTATCTTATCTTGTCTACAGGTTGTATCATAAAATACATATCAAAAGGTCTATTTTCAGCAAAATCAAACGTCTAAGAAAAATAATCGTAACTGTTCATAGACACATGCGATCGGCATGACTTTTCTTTATTTAACCAAGATAGCCCGGATAACGGTGATCGAACAATTTTGCATTTCTAATGACCAGATTACAAAAAAAAAGCATTTGAGCGTATATAGCGCCTAGAAAACCCCGACAATTTCCGTTCCAGAGAACCCGCAGGTCGGCTTTCCGGAACGTGATTATATGGGCCTTCACAAATGGGCGTGCATTACTGGAAGGGGCGGTGTCGACTTGAGGTCCTAATGCATCTTCGCTATTCCGAAGCAAATTTCTAGCTTCTGAAGCGATAGTTTGCGCGCGACTTGGACATTGGGTTGATAGGGGGTCCTACTATCGTAAGCTGCCAAAAGCTCGAGACTCCTAATTCAGGGTGGACGGGTCTTTAAAGCTTTCAAAAGATCACTACTTTGAAGAACATCGTTGAAACTAGTGGTTCCAATTTTTCCAAATTTTGTTAATATTTTCAAAATCCCTATCAATTATCAATCAGTAATCTGAATAGTCTTGTATTACCACATTCGAATCGTACTAACATTCATTATGGTAGTAAAGAAGACTATATAAGCTCAATTTCGGTATTGGCAAGTAAACGATCATTAGTATTTGGTTGAAAATTCGCCATGTACAGCTAATACTCTAGCAAAAAGCAAAACCTTCAAGCAAGTACATAATGCTCAGGTCGTATTCGTCACAGACGATTGTTTACCTTAACAAGTACAAATGGGCCCTTGTCTCCGACGATCTCAATTTTAAATAGAATTCTGCATATTTGGCACGATTTCAAGCGCCAATATCCACCCGATAACGACAACAATAAGGCGACAAATCACCACAATGTCGTCAGATTTGCTTTGTTTATACTGCTTCTATACTGAGATATTGCAAGTGCTCACTTCGTCGCAATGTGATCATTTCACGGGGTGAAGGCGGTAATTAACTTTTCGCAATGAGTTATCCGCTCATGTTCACTCATATCTATTTGAGGATCTATAAGAGTAAATATTTTGAGCTAGTACACGATTTGTTCTTAATATGCGATCACTAATTTCATGATCTCTAAGCCTTACGCTTAGAAATTCTAATTTCAAGCCATTCACTTCGATGTGGACCACCGGGTGGCTCATGATCTTTCCCAGGATCGGACTTTTTGTTTTCACGTCAATGCCACCGGACTCTTGAAACTTGTGAATGCCGTTGTCTGGAAAATTCAGAAATTGCTTTATGAACAAACCTACATTTGCTAAACAAGCAAAAGTTATCTGCCATTTGATAAATGCTTCAAAACGTATTTCGGTGCGAATTAGGTATGCTGACCAAATACTGTATCAAGGTTAGAAAGTAGAACTATGCACTCATATTCGTACTGTAATGAAAACAATCGATAGGTTTATCTAAAAAAAACAATATACAGGGCGTTTGTAGAATCGTGACGATGGTGTGACCGTACGCGACACGCACGCACTTCCCGCAACCGCATATTCTTGGTTTCATCTCTACTCGAATGGTTTTTCTCCCCAATATGGCTGGATGTTCCAGGCTCAGTTCTTTGCATTCCTAAGCTTCGTTTTCATGCGTCATGGATGTAGAGTTGAATTGGGATTTGGTACACTCAAGTTTTCTTTATATAGCGAATAACAATAAAAACTGCGATTTGCCATTTTGAAGTTCTCAATCCAAAAAAAATTTTCCTCACACTTGCGTTCGAGAAAATAAGGACCTCACTTCTTTGCACCTCTTCTTCATAAGGACGAACTCCGCCAGGTTTGAACCGCCTTCGCGGACTACTGGTCCTGCAACGACATGCAACAATATTGCAATAGGACCAATTGGCAGCGAAGGTGAAGTCAAACTGGCGAAATTCGTTCCTCTACCCGATACCAAACACTAGCCAAAAATTTGCCTGTAGTAGTGGTAGGAGCCGCAAAAGCGACTGAAATAATTTATTAGCCAAGATAAGGGAATTTCTAGATTTTTTCCTCTTGCCAGGTCATTTTCTCAAGGAAATACAGTCTCACAAACGTACTAAACCTTAGAGTCATCATTGTTTAAGTAATAGAATGCTCTTTTCGCATTGTGTATACATAATTTGCAATTCGCCCCAAAATTTCAAGTAATTCAATCAGTCCATTGCCCTTATAGCTTTGCTAGAGTGTGATTAGAATAATTGTATCCTGATGCAGACAAAGTTAATTCAAATCTGGGCGTGGTCAACAGGGCATTCAGAAGAAGAATTTAGTTCGGAATAGAACATCCGAAAGCAATGAATCTTAATTTTACGACTTTCACAAAATTGTGGCATTCCATGGTAATTATTCGAGGTTTTGCGAGCCTAAAAGTAGGCTCCAAATCGAGATTATTTTGCCATATTTTGGGCTACTGATGGCTCTTTTGAAGGAGTTGAATCATAAATTATTTGAAATCTATTTACTATGAAAAATGGAGCAATGCTCTGTCCTGAATCTTCCTGTCCCAAAATTTTTACAATTTTTGCTATGAGTGACAAATTTTTTGTTTAACTCAACTTCTTTTGAAACTAAGTGTTTGCGTGATCAGAATATTTACAACCCTTTTACCACCTACACGTCTCCTATCTATCGAGGTAGTATAGAAATGCTCAGTTATATTTTATTCTCTACTTTCTTCTTTCAACAATGTCCTTTACCTTGAATCACTTGAAATGTCGGCGCATTACTTAGAACGGAAAAAAAGGGTTAAACTTTAATTCGACATTTGGAAAATGCCACTGAAATAAATAACTATCACTTGGATCACTTGCACCTAACCATGTACGTACATCAACATCATTTTTTTTTTATTTTTAAGGCAAAAGTACCATTTTCTTCTATATTTTCCCCTTATGAGCGTAGATATCTGACATTTGTCACGCTTTTATCAAAATTCTCAGCTAGCAACATTTGTCATATCGTTCTCTTTTCGCCTTAACCTTGGAAAAAATCCTTATGTGCAATTTCGCGAAATATCCGATGTTTCAGGGTATATGATGTGGCCGCTCCACGTTCTGTGCATGTGCCTCCTTGCTCTAGTCTCCGTTCGAGCTTCCGAGGTGAGGAAAACCAAAGAGTTCATGAAATTTTCATCTTAATATGCGAGATTTTAAGGATCCGGATAGAATTTTAATTTTGGTTGTCTTCATACTAGGTTTTGCACAAGAAGAACCCCGTAAACGGCACGGGTTGCTAGCGTAAAAGCTAAAAAATCAAGTTTTACAGTTTTCTAAAAAAAGTAAAAATCTATGTAAATAAAAAACGAAAAAAACATATTTACGATCTCTTAAGTTTTGGTACATGTACATACAATTGTGAATTGTAATTTCATTACCTCTTATAATTTATTATGCCCTCCCCTATAGTATTTTCGCTTTTTTTAAGCGCCACATACCACGAAACAATGATTTGTAGTATTTCTTGGCAACTCGATGAAAAATGGTTGCCTTCATATTGCAAATTAACAATTGAGAAAACTACTCAGAAAATTACCAGAAACCACAACCAATGGAGCTTTTAGCAAAGTCAAGTTTCGCTATTTTTTTGAGTTTTTGTACTGATCCCCCGAAAAAGTTTAAGTAACGAATAAATAAAACAAACGCTAGCCCCTGGGATACATAACAATTTCTTTCAATTCCATAGCTTATCCATAGCTTGCTTCAAAATTCTCAAATTATTTTTATGATGCTATCAAATTCCATATATGGTGAACTTAAACTCATAGCATCAAGGCGACCAACTCGAGCGTTATTTCAAAACGACATTTTCTCCTCTTTCAAAAAGATGTTGCTTGTTTTTGATTCGTGAAACACTTGGGAATAATAATCAACAAAATCCAAGTATTTGAAGGTGCCCTAAGCTGTACCCGGAAAAGTCGAGCTTTGATATCTTCAATCCCTGAAAGCTCATTTGTTCTTCAAAATTACTGCTGAAATCATAATTCACTTCTGAAAGTAATAAAAATCGAGAAATTATCGGTGTTTGTGGTGTCCAGAGGTGCTAAAATTCGGTAGAATTGTTAAAAATTCTGTCAAAAATCAAGGGTTATGGTGAGGAGATCAAAATTGTTATGTATTCTGTAGGGTTTACTCTATTCCCTAACTGGACTTGTTTGGTGAATCAGTAAAAAATTCAAATAAACAATGAAACTTAATTCATCGAATGTTGCGAAGATCTTCTATAAACCTTTGTTCCTCGATATGTGGCGCTTGTTCAAAAAAAGAGAAAATAATTTTGGGACGGACTGATATATTGCACAAATACAGTATGTGTTAATTACGTGCTCCCTTTCGCGTAGGAAGTGCGAATGCGCAACGCGAGGGCCTTGCATGCGGACCTACGATCAATAATGCCAATTCGAAAGGCGAGGCCATAGACGCGCGTGGCAATTGCGCTTACGGAAAAGGGAGCAGATGATTGACACCGACTGTATGATGCAAGTGAGAAGCGGCGCTTTTGCACCGCTACCGTATGCTAAGTTACTATACACAAGCACTTTCACAGCTTTTTTGGTTTGATGCGACGTCACACGAAAAGTGTCGATGCCATTTTTCGTACCTAAAGCAAAAACCATCGCAGTAGCAGCTAAGATCAGCTTTTGCTTTCAAACTCTACCTGCAAATACGGTAGGATACGGTAGACGGTGCAAAAAGGACCGCAGCTAAGACGTGATCGTAAGAGAATCAAACCATTTACGTAAATCTGTTACCCGATAATATGTATCCAAAAAGAATGCGTTTTTGCATAATCTTTAAAGATATTTGAATATTCAGAGTTCCGACCTATACAATACGTACAATCCACGATTTCTTGTTGGTAGGCCCGACTCAGATCAGGCTTTTGAGACAATGTAGGTCTTCAATTTCTTTTTTCAATCATAAAAAAAATTAAATTTGCAATTTCTAGACGTCCAATGTTCAAACGACAAACAGTTGAACGCCGACGAGATGATCAATTTCTACGAAGCCGATGTTTCTTCAATCCGATCACTTGCTAGCACGTCAGTGCTAAATTCGAAACCCAACCGTATTTCATCATGCGGATCTCGTTTGTTTGTTAGTAATGGTCTGTATCAGTGAAATGAAGATTTTATAGTTTTTGCAAGTATTTTCCAGTAATAGAATCCAAGGTAACCCCGATTGTCCAAACTTGTGCTCGAGTTTGACTTCCAGAAGACATATAACATATTATACAAAGATGTTTGACAACAATCAAGCAAAATTTCTTGTGCTATCTATGGCAGCGCCTTCTAAATTTTCCAAAAGCAGAAGATGCTTCAAATATTTTTTCTTGTACTCATATAGCAAGAAAGTTTGTATAACGAAACAACCATGAAGTTTACGTGCCTTCGAAGTGTGTGTGTGTGTGTGTGTGTGTGTGTGTGTGTGTGTGTGTGTGTGTGTGTGTGTGTGTGTGTGTGTGTGTGTGTGTGTGTGTGTGTGTGTGTGTGTGTGTGTGTGTGTGTGTGTATTTGAGTGGTTCTATCTAACACTGCCAAGTTTATGCTGATCGAGCTTTTCTGTGGAAAGTTATGATTTTTTGTGTAAAATGCAAAAAACGGCCGAAATGATTTTTTTTTCGCACTTTTCTGATGTTTTCACAAAAATCATAACTTTTTACAGGAACCTCAATCAGCACAAACTAGGCACTGTTAGAAACAGCAAGCTAAGAAGACTATAGGAAACATGCTTTTAGATTCTTGAAGCAGTTCAGATTCAAAGCCTTAATTATAAATCCAGATTACTGAGCCTTCGGAATTTTATCTCTGGAGTCCCTTGTCGCCAAAGAGCAAAGTTTTCATTGAAAAGTATATGTTTTCTATCGGGGATATTTTTTATGTGTAAATACGTTTACATAGGGAGCAATTACGAATTTTTCAACATCAAAGCGACAGAACTTTCGGTTCAACCAGGTAGTATGATATGATGCAATCCAATCACTAAGAACTTCTTGAAGGTAGAGCGGCAAGCATCCTTTGAAATTCGCTATTTGGTTAAGATCAGTCTCCTTTGTCAGTTTTTGTCATCGAAATTCAAAAAAAAAACTTGTACTTCGAAGAACTTGCAGTTGACTATACGTCGACACGTTAGATTCCCGTCTCTAGATTGGATTGAATTTTATTCTTTTCTTCTGCTAGTAAAAGCTAGAATGTGGTTATATATAGGGGTGATGATTGATTACACAAGAAAGAGAAAACGAAATATTAAGCTCATTGAAGTATTTGCAGCGTTATTAACTCTTATTGTTTGGTGAATACAGAAGTGCATTTGAATGATATTAGCATGTGACAAACAAAGCTTCAACACCTTTGATTCAAACAGGTTAAAAAATAATTTTTCCAAGTTGAATTATAAGGTAATAAACTCCTCGGTGGTCGCTTTGCTCAATGTTAATATAGACGCCGCACCAACCATTCAAAGACTGCAGCCCATTCGTGTAGTTCATTCTAACAGTGGCAACAGGCTTAAATGGGTATGTTCGATTTACACTCGAGTCGTGTATGAAAGGGTTACCTGCATGACGAAGATTGCCCAATCATCAAGATTTATGGAGCTCTGGATAGTTCTTGCAACAGTTGCAGGATCACTAGACGCCAGAGCTGCCTCGATAACCTGATAGACATATTACTGCCAAAAGCTTGCTATGGTCTTAGTTTACCGTAAAATTACCGGTTTTTGCAATTCTGGGAGGCAATCCGCGACACACCAATAGCTTTGCGGATCGTCCACTACACCAGCTAAAAACTCAATATTTCAATAACTACCAGAAAGCTTCAAGCGAATTGTTGCTCTAACCATTGTAGTTTGCAAAAAAGCAACTAACAATAAGAAAGTTGCTTGGTTGGGGTTTTTGTAAGACAATATTCCCTAAGTTCGATAAGAGCAGCATTTCTCTCTTCTCTCTTTATCATTTTACGTTATTTTCATCAAAAACTCGCTAGTATAGAGTTTTTTTCATATTAGAATTCCAAAAGTATTGCAAACTTACAATCTTCCCCAACTTTTTGATGTTGATGAGAATAAGAAGTGATTTTCTTTAATATTCTCTCCCACAGTAATGTTGTAGTTAATGTGGTAGTCAACTTCGATTCCCCCGGAATAGCTCTGAAAATCATCACATGACGCCACTGGCATAGTAGGATTTTCGTTCCGAGAAAGCGCGACAACTAATTTTTCCAAATGAAGCCGCGTAGATGCGTTAGCCACGCAATCCAGAAATTTTTTGGGGTACGTGAAATTTTCGCGGGCCAGTGACCCCCGAAACTTCAAAAGAAAAGGGTGACAGCAGCAACGCTCCCGAAAAATTTTTGCAAAGCTAATTTGAATTTTCAAAAAAAAAATAAAATTCTTTGTATTTACTAGTTTAAACAAGTTTCTTGCACATTTTTATGACTCATTTGAGTAACTTTTAACGCGACACATTCTCGTGAAGGAAGGGAGGAGGGGGGGGGGCGGACAAATGGATTTTTACAAATTACCGTAAAAAATTTGGAAGGGACATTTTTAATCAGTATCCTGAAAAGGGGAAACGTATGTTATTTGATTCAATCTATTTTTCCATTGCCGAAAAAAGTAACAGGACTCCTTTTTTTACTTTTTTTGGTGCTAGATGTACTACGTCTACACTTGTATACTACAAAAGTTCTGCAAAATCTTGTATTTTTATTTTCATGGCGGTTATTCTTTCTATGGCGCAGGAAGACAGCAAACGTTCATGCAAATTTGCGCTAATGTTACCTACAATCATAAAATTTAGAAGTCTGGTTTTGATATGCACTTGTAGCACGCTCTTTGGCTATCATTGCAAACATTTTTCAAGAATTCGCATGCTTTTAATTGTTTAAGGGAAGATTTCTGAAAATTTTGAAGCCAAAGTTCTTGATGAAACTTGTAGGAATGTTTTTTGTTATTGAAGGCACGGTGTTTTGATTACTCATGCAAAACGAAACTACATTTGAGTATTAAAAAAGGCTTTCAGAGCATACAAAGTTTTCTGTAAAACTGATTTCTCTATAACCAGCATTACAAAAAAAGGTCTGGACAAGCGGTTTCGATTGTAATCCATTATCAAAAAATCAAGGAAGCTGCAGAAAAATCTAGACTATGTTGATATTATGGTTTTTAAGTATTATTGACGCAACGAGACAAGAAGCACGTCATCCAAACTGGAATCAAGTGAGGCCGGAAACTATCCAAACACCCTGTATGAATCACTACAAGTGATCGTTAATAACCAGGGATGAGCAAGAGGTCAGGCAGAAGCCCTTCAAAAACGACCACCCCCCCCTTTGAAAGCCCCTAAACGAACCTCCGCTTCACCTCCAAGTCCTCAGGGTGTTATATTTTGAAGAAGCCTTCACTGTAAGTTTCCATTTTTTGAAAGTCCGTAAGCCCGACTGTCTGCGATTGCACGACCAAACGCAACTTAACGGCAAGTTCTAGATCTGGATAGTCCTTTTTTCAGAGCTATAATTTTCACAGGGGTGGAGTGTTTGGCTCCAAATTTTCAATATAGCAAGAGGCTTTGCGCTCAATACTCATATCAAAAAAGGGGCGATTTCTGAATTTTGAAGGCAAGTAAAGAGGGTCAGGCGCAACCCCTCAAAAGCTCAGGCGGCCTGATCTTTTGAGGGCTTGCGCCTGGCCCCATTAACTTTATTTCCAAAAATGCTTTTCTACCCAAGTTTTATTGGCCCGTAGTAAACCCCCTCTCAGCGCAACTCGGCTGGGGGCTGGCCTACGTTGAACGTAAAACGACTCAGTCCGGCATCCGGTGAGCCATCGATCCGGATTTGGATCGCTTTCTTGACCTAGAGATCTTGTGCGTTCTCAAAATGTTTAGTCTTGAGTGGAAGTAGTCGAGCAGTTAAGTGTTTGGGATTCAACGCGCGGTGCCATGGTTCGAGGACGCCTAGCGGCGAATTTTTGCGCCATCGCTGGGTAATCTATGATAGGGCCGCCATATGGAAAAATCGATGATGACCGCTATCAAGGATATCACCTAGCAAATGGACAGTAACAAAACTAACGTACTTTGACGGAGATTTCATGAAAAACGGGAATTTTTTTAACAAAGATGAAACGAAATAAATAAGGAGATTCTCGTATAATGCAGCTACTTCAAAAGAACCAAGCCTGCTTCGCAAAAAAGAAGAAAATTATATCCTTGTTTTCCTCGCCGCAATCAGCTGTTCATGGATCCTCTCCCATTTAGGCCTCCGAAATCGTGCAGTTTTGGGAGTTTTGCACCGCAAGAATACGTCGGCTAGATTGTCCCGTAAGTTACTCACGAGCAACTTACGGAAAATTTGTCTGATCCTCCTCTTAAGCACACTATTTCTCTCGGGTCACCCGAAAATTCAAACTCGGATAAGTGGAATTCTGGTGAACTGACTGTGATACTTGACTGGACATTCTTCTGACTGTTGAACTGACTATCCTAAAGCACGAAAAGGTGGGCGGGATTAGAGTCACCCGAGGAAGTTCTTCTGAATGACTAATCTCAAGTCACCTGAGATGAATGGGGGTTTACTACGGGCCATTGATTCGCTAGCTCAACCCTCGAATATTCCACAGTGAGTGTTTGAGCTTGATTAAAGTTGTTTCGGCCTTGTGCTAATCCGAGGAGTCGAAGCACTCAACGTGAAAAACGCGCCGGTTAGGATTTTGGCAGCACTTTTTACTTCACTGTTTGAAAGCGATATGAAGCCCGATTTGTAGCATAGACTTGTAGAGAACATTACTTTGTTATGAGTATACAAAGCTGACTTTTCTCACTTCTGCAACAAAGTTGACCACGCTTTTTAGACGTTGAGAACACTAGAAACTGCAGTAGGTAATGGTTTGTAGAGCGCATAGAGGAAATTTGAATGTTGGTTATGGAAATGATACCCATTTCAACAGCAAGCCTTTTTGTCGACCTCATACGTCAAGGTAAAAGAGATGAAGATTTGAATTTTGGCTGAAACTTCCATTGTGGAAACAATCAGTGCTTATGACCGTCACTCCTCCATATGATCGCGATATCCACCGGACTAACGCATTTCTTCTTCACCTTTGCAGTATCTCCCCAACTTAACAAATTCG